CCGTACGGGTCGATGGGGTTGCCGGGCGCGCCTCCTGCGCCCATGCCCATCGACGCCAACGAGGCAAACGAAGGCGTCCCTCCCGCCCGTTTTGCGCAAAGAGCGGGGTCGCCATCATGCTGCGGATGCCGCCCAGCTGCTGCAGCGGGAACCTCGCCTCGTCGATGGGGGCGGCGTGGGAGCCCAGCGCGGCGCCCGAAGCGCTGGCCGACGATGGCGCCGTCCCCGAAAGCATCCGGAGCGAGTCGAGCGCCTGCTGCTCGTCGTCGCCCTGCCCGTCGATGGTTGACATGGCCGCCATGCCCGCGCCGGCAGACCGAGAGTTTCTTCGGCTGGCGGCCTGGATCGATCCCTGCGCGGCCGCCGCAAGCTCCCCGCGGCTGCTCTTGACGATGTCGTCCGGCAGGATGGGATCCAGGCGTGATAGCAGCACCTCCATGACCATTCGCTCCTTTTCCGCAGATGCGTCGACGTTGCCCGCTTCAAAGTTCCGCCGAAGCTGGGTGATGTAGTCTGTCGAGGTGGCGAGACGGTGGTGGGGGTGGTGCGATACTAGTCAGCATCGGTGTCTCCGGCGGGCAGGGTCGTTTGAGGACCAGCTCACCCTGCAGATACCCGAGCCTCTCGATGAGGTCGCTGTGCTCGATCTTTTCGCCCAGACCAAAGGCAGTCAGAAGAGAGAGGCCAACGACGATGGCCGAGTTGAACTGTACGGGCAGGAGGGTTCGCAGGCACGATGGATCGCGGACGGTGAGCATCAGGTGGACCTCCTGCGCGGGCGATGCACGGCCAGCGGAACTCACCATGGCATAGGCGCCTCCAAATGTCTGGGCCGTCTCCTCCCTCGTCAGCTTCGCCGCGTACTCTTTCCTCGCCCGCAGGTCGTTGAGCGCCGTCTCGACGCAGATCCGTCGGCTTTCTGGGTAGGGATGCTTGCCGTTGACCGCCGGCCGGAGCAGGTACGGCCGATGCAGCAGCGAGCGGTAGAAGCACACCTCGCTGTTGATCAGGTGGCGGTAGTAGGGCAGCAGCGGGTGGTGCTCGTCGAGCGAGGTGTCGATCTTGGATTTGCCCGACTTGGTGGTTGCGTTGGGAGCGAGGTACGGCGGAAGCGAGTCGACAAACTCGGCAATCATGTCGTCGACCTCGAGCACCTTGAAGTACGACCTCGATGCTCTGCCCCCCTGTGGCGCCGATCGCTCCTGGAAGCAGTGCGTGATGGCCTCGAGGCAGGCGGTGAAGCGGTTGCGCGCCAAGAGGTACGTCTGGCACGCGAAGCCGAGGGGCTCGAGGTCCTCGCGAGTGGGCATCTCGGTGGTGTGGAAGGTGATGGTGAGCGGGCGGCCCAGCAGGATGCTCCACTCGCGGTCGTTGTGCAGCACGTGCCACCAGAGCGTCCGTCGAGCAGCCACTTGCTCCTTGGGCAGGCGGAAGGAGCTGCCGTCGCGATGCAGGCCGAGGTCCAGGGCGTCCCGGATCCACGAACCAATCTCGTGCCAGCTGGCCCGCGTGACGCGGATGACGTCGAGGTAGCGCACGAGGATGCCGTGCGCCCAGCACGAGTCCAGGCTGGCCAGCCCGAGCGTCTCGCAGAGGACGAGCGCCTTCTTGGTGGCCCAGAAGAAGGCGTGCGACGTGGCAGACGACAGCGGCTGCACCGCCGGAGGCACCGACCCGAGCGTCAGGGTCGATAGGATGAGGGCCACCAGCGGCAGCGTATCAGCGTCGACGCGGATCGCCGAGGGCGTCGGCACCGACGAGAACAGCTGGCGGTAGCGCTCCCGCACCGTGCTGCCCAGGATTGGCGAGCGCGACCAGTTGTAGTTGGCGAAGAAGGCGTCAAAGTAGCGGTCGCACTGCTCTCGGGACGGCAGCGTCGCGCGGATGGCATGGACGTCGGCGAGCGGAATGGGGAAGCCCCGCCGCGTGGCCGAGGGCTGGATGTAGGAGAGCAGGTCCTGCGGTGACCGACCGGCCGAGGCTCGACCGTTGGTGTCCTGCAGCTGGGGCGCCAGTCGGACCGCCTCCAGCGCCGAGGTGCCGAGGAAGCCTTCATTGTCGTCGAGGTGCTCCTCGCCCGCTCGGTCCTGCTCGTTGTCCTCCTGTGCGTAGCTCGACGACCTCGACAACTCGGCTCGCGTTCGGTAGCTGGTCGAGGCTCGGGGACCGTCGTCTTCGCCGAGGTGGACTCGGATCGCCTTTTCCGCCAACGCCAGCCGCTGCTCGACGTAGGTCGGGTCCTGTACGGTGAGGATGCGCTCGAGCCGCGCTATCCTTGCGGTGGTTCGTGCCAGGTCGTCGACCTTGCGGTCGTCCCAGCCGTTGTCCTCGCGCTTGACCCTCTTGGGCGCGCTGGGCCCCACAGGCGACTGTGATGGGATCTTGTCGGTCGGTGCAGTCCCAGGGCCCGGAGTGCCACCAGAGACGCTGCCTCGCGCCGACGGCGGAGGTACGCAACGCTCAGGCAACCTCCGCTTGATGCAGTTGTTGCACGGGAACCTGCGATCGCACTTCTGCTTTCGGCGGACTGCGGGAGCAAAGGGAGAAAGGGAGGCCGGCGCTTCGGTTCAGTCCCGCTCACTGACGCGCCGTATGAGCTCGGTCCGAGGACCATACTCACAGCATTCGACGCAGCTGTACTGCTCGCGGGGCCGCTTGGGCGGCTTCTTGTCATCCGACGTCGACTTTCTCCTCTCGTCGTGCATGGACTCGTCTCCATTGGCGGATGCAGCGACAGACATGGAGCTTGCGGAAGTCTTGATGGTTGGTCTGCCGGGCTGGTGAGACTTTTGCGGCGGGTCCGAGTGCTGCTCGGAGCGTGCATCGTGCTCGCGAGAGGGCGAGGGCGAACGGTAGCGCCGAGGCGACGATGCCGGCGATGACGCGCCGCCATAGGTGACCGAGTCCCGTCGGCGCTGGTGGTCGGATGACGAAGCGCCTGGGGATGTGGCCTCGCCCATCTTGAAAAGTTGCACACCGAGTCGAGGCAGAGCTGGAGGAACGAGAGGGTACGTGCGCTAGCTTGCGGCAGGAGAGCCGGGTGGAGCGATAGGCCGTGCGGAGAGTGGTGCGGAGCGAGAGGGTGACTAAAAGCAGCGGCAGAATCGAGCTGGGACAATGATGGCGGTGGTGGTGATGATGGTGGTGGTGGTCGAGGAAGCGGTTGGGCTGTACCCAGTACGGGGAGCGGAGAGCCGGCGTGGTGGAGATACATAGGAAGAGGCAGCGAGACAAAAGCCAGGCACGCCAGCTCCCGGCGCTCTGGCCTGGCCTGGCCTGGCCCGGCCCTTCTGGCGGGGCGGAGCGCGGGGAAAGCAGAAAAAGAAAAAAAGCCGCGGGCGCCGGCCAAAGTGGGGAGGCCAGGGACCCTCGTGCCGCCTGGTCCCGTCTGCTCGGAGCGCAGCCCGTCGACGCCGGCAGACAGCACACGCTCTTCTTGGCGAGGCGATCGTCCCGGAGCGGTTTTGGGAGCTGGAGCTTGCACCGCCAGGTCAGGCCAGCAGGCCGGGCGAAGTGGCATCGGAAACAGAGGGGGGCGACGGGCCGAGGAGCAGCGGGCGAGCGAGCGAGACGTGTCTTCGGCAGACGCCCAACCGACCTTCCTGCCAGGCCGACCCGGTCAGCTGCCATCTGCCTGCCTCGACGTGGGCGGTTAGTTGCTTGTTTGCTGGCTGGCAGGCAGGCAGGCAGGCGCTAGTCGGCCCCTTCCCCGCAAAACCAGTCGAAATCCAGGCACCGGTGAAAACGCCGAAAAGGCGCGCCCACCGCTCTGCACGCACAGCAAGCACGAGGCTGGCCTGCCTGGCCACGCTCGTCGGTCGCTACACGCTCGCCGCTCCGCCATATCGGAACAGCATCAGGTTGTCTAAGCGCACGGCTCCCTGAAAACGGGAGAGAGCATCGTCGACGGGCAAACCTCTAGCACTAAACAGCCAATCGGACGCAGACGCAGACGAGACGGGTATGCGCGGCGGATGTCAGCAGTGTCCTTCCCTGGGCCGCTCCCTCACCGCAGAGGGCCACTGAGACACTCACATCGGGCACCGTGACGGGGATGCGGACGGCGACGGCCAGCCCGCCCAGCGACGTCTCCTTGTAGTTGGTGTGCATATCCTTGGCCGTCTCCCGCATCGCCGTGATCGCATCGTCGAGGCTGACAGAGTGCTGCCCATCTCCCGCCAGCGCCAGCTGTGCTGCCGTCACCGCCTTGACCGCGCCCAGCGCGTTCCTCTCGATGCACGGCACCTGGACTTGACCTGCAGAGGGACAGGGGCGGAGATGATGCTGAATCGTGTCAGTAAGACGCCAGTCTCGAGCAACGCCCGGCCTCGTTTTCTCGCGCCCATACGCACCTCCGAATGGGTCGCAGGTGAGGCCCAGGTGGTGTTCGCAAGAGATGCCGCTCGCCTGCAGGATCTTCTCGGGGCTGCCTCCGAGGACCGCCACAAAGCCGGCCGCGGCCATGGCGGTCGCCACGCCAACCTCGGCCATGCAACCGCCTTCGGCCGCAGAGAGCGTGGCGCCGCGCTTGAAGAGCATACCGATGGCCGCCGCGGTCAGGAGGAAGTTCTGGACATCCCTGCCCGGGTCATCGTCAAAGATGAACTCGAAGCAGTACTTGAGCACCGCCGGCAGCACGCCCGCCGCACCGTTGGTGGGAGCTGTGACGATCCTGCCGCCGGCAGCGTTCTGCTCGTTGGTGGCGATGGCGTAGCAACTCAGGTAGTCGATGGCGGCAAAGTTGGCACGCTTCGGAGGGCAGGGCATCACGGGGTGGTTCATCGAGCCAATGATCCGCTTGGGCCCCTGGGACGACAGCTGCAGAGACTGGGTAAGGTCGACGAGATCCGACGAAGACGAGCCCGGACCGCCTGTCGCTCCTGCGCCTCCGGATCCCAGTGCACCGCTGTTCGTAGCATCGCCTCCTCCTGCTGGCAGAGCGCTGCCGCGGTAGACTCCCCGCATCAGCCTCGAGTAGAGCGCGGGAGCCCTCCTGCGCACAGCCAGCGGTCCCGGCAGCACCTTTTCGGTGCTCTCGACGCCCGCTCGGATGCAGGCGTCCATCACCGACCAGATGCGGAAAAGCTGCGGGAGGGCGCAAGACGGTATCGGTCAGAGGCGGCCGCGCCCTCGATCCAGCCCTTGCCAGGGATCCACCGACTCACCTTTTCGGTCACAACTTCGGGCGGGTTCCACGTCAGCTCGTTCTCGTAGACGATCTGGGCGATGGTGAGGTTCCTCGTCTTGCACTGCCTAAGCAAGCTCGCTGCGTTGTGGAAGGGGAAGAGCGGCCCATTGGCCGGCTTCGAGGCAGTCCTGTTGACCTCGGCCGGTTGCTCCGACGCGCGAACCGCGACCTCGGACCCGCCAGCCGCACCTGGCAACGACGCCGACGGCGCCTCGACTTGCGGCAGCAGGCCGTCGTGCGTCGAGGACCCCGAGCGGCGGACGTCCTCTGCGTCCTGGCGCCGCAGCTGCTTGTAGAAGACGTTCTCTCCAAAGTCGATCGGACGGGCCGACACCTCCTCTGTGTCGGTCTTCATGGCTTCGAGCGAGGCAAAGCTCTCGGCAGTCGACGGTGCGTCGTCGGACGAGGACTTGGCTGGCGGTGTCGCCAGTGCTCCATTCACGACGAAGCCGCCGCCCTGAGGGTGACGCGAGGATGACGTGCGATCCCTTCGGTCAATCATCCGTCTAGCATGATGGCGGTGGGGCATGCCGCTTTGCTGCTCGGCCCACGTCCACTCACCACCGAGTAGTAGTCATTCGTCGCCAGCATCTCTCCGGCCTCGTCAAAGACGCTGAGGCGCAGCCCGTTGGGGTGGTGCGGAAGGACCTGGCCAAAGTTCCACTTAAAGTCCCTCTGGTAGTCGAAGGCGATCTCCTTGCCGTCGATGGACGTCGCTTCGGCGCTCCTCTTGAGCGTGCGGGCGAGGTGCTTGCCGAGAAAGAGCTTCTTGGTCGACTTGATCTCTGCGAAGCGGGCCGGCACCGAGGGCGGGTCGACGGTCTCGCAGTCGTCACCCTCGAGCCCGCTCAGCAGGGCTTCTGGCGTTGCGTGTCCCGCGCCCGTGAGCGCCAGGCTGCCGTAGACGGCGATCTTGATGGTGTTGACCTTGGACAGCAGGCCGAGGTCGTACAGGTCCGAGACGAAGATGACGCCCGCCCGCATCGGCCCGACGGTGTGCGACGACGAAGGCCCGATGCCGACCGAGAAGAGGTCAAAGGTCGAGATGACGGCATGCTCGATCTCGTTGGCTTCCGAAGCCGCTTGGTTGGCGAACACCTTGGTCGAGGCAGGTCGAGAGAGGGCGGGGATCCGAGGACCGGTCGCGACACGGGCAAGGCCGCGGGCAGAGGCCCGCAAGCTGGTCGGTGACGGGAGCGTCGTCAACCTCGGGGCCATTGCGATGGTTGCTGCCGTCGGCACCGGCGTCGAGCGCCAGGTGGCCGAAGCTGTCCGTGCCGTTCGGAGCATATTGATGTCGAGGGAGGCTCAGCGCAGATGGTGGTAAGAGGAGGAGCAATGGTGGCTGGGGCGAGCCAACGAGGCAGCCCTCCAGGCCTATCTGGCGCCCCAGCTGGCAAGAGGCGAGTGCGGGGCAATGGCGGGCACGGCCATAGCGGCGGGGCCAAAGGCAGGCGGCGTTCTGGCCGATAAGAAGCATCAAGCAAGCCGCCCTCCGGTTACCAAAAGAGGCAGGCTAAGGCGGGCGGGCAGAGGCAGCCAGGCTGGCAGCCAGCAGGGTCCAAAGAGCACCCTCGCATTCGACCAGCTAGTCCCGGACTCCCGCCCTTTTCGCCGGGCCCGTGCCGACACGCTGCACACACGTACATCATCAGCCAGCATGAACTGCACCTTCTTCTCAGAGTCGCGACTTCACCAGGCTGAGCTTGTGGCGACGCTCCGACAGAGCTGCTGCAGGTCAAGGTGACCGCGCCGTCTTTCCGTGCTGAGAGTCAAGCTTCAGCTCTTGACACGAGCAGCGCCGTCTCTGGCGCAACGGCCTTGGCGCTGTCGAGCAGCTCGTCGCGCCCTCACACACCTTCTCCCGCAGCCATGACGGCCCAGCAAGCAGCACCTGGACCAGACGCATCTATTGGAGACGGCCGTCTATTTCCAGAAGGCACGGCGTCGACGTCCTTCCGTACCATCACAGCTCGCTGTGCGCCGTGCCTGCCGACGCCTCTATCGCCGGACCGAGGTCTGGCTTGCCGAACAAGGTCTCGAGAGCTGGTTGGAGCGGAGGAGCAGGAAGACGGCGGGGTCAGCACTACTGCAAGCACAAGCACATCGCCAGCTGCTCTGAGGGACCGCCGCGACTGCATGTCCGGCCAAGCACACTCACAGTCCCTAAGCTTGCCATCGACGCTTTCCGGCAAGACGACCTCCCACTCGATGTAGAGCTTGCCAAAGATCATGTCCCTGCCGAGCCGCGACGCCTCGTCCGAGACGTCGCCAATCATGGTACCGGCGATGGGCATGCCCTCGTCGTCAACCGTCGAGACAAAGCCGGGCTGCGTGACGCCATCGCGCCGGACGGTAAAAGTGCGTCCGTCGAGGTGGGTGATGTTGCGGTGGAAGCCGAGCAGCGCCTCGGAGAGCGAGATGGGCATCGTCGTATAGAGCGAGCTGTCCTGCCGGCGGAACTTGCCCTTCTCGGTGTTGGAGCTGTTGGGGGCGAGGGGCAGGAAGCGACGACGAGGGATGACCAGAGCCTGTCAGCACGCTGTTGCGAGGAAGATGTGCCTCACCAACGCCCGATCGCAACTCACCTGACGCGGACGATGATGTCGCCGGCCTCAAAGTCGGGGCCCTCGTCCGACTCGCCCTCGATGATGTACTCCTTGCCCTCGGTGGCCCCGCGCTCGACCTCGACGTCGACGGTGGCCTTCTCGCGCAGAATCTTTGCGCCCTTGCACTTGTGGCACTTTTTGGCGATCGTGGTGCCGCCTCCGCCGCAGACGTCGCACGTCATCTGGGCGTTTGTGACAAAGCCGGGCATGATCTGCTGGCGGACGATGCGGACACCCCTGCCCTGGCACGTCTCGCACGTGTGGATGTGGGCGGGCGACTCGGCGCCGCTGCCGTCGCAGTGCGAGCAGAGCACGTGGCGGTCGTACTGGATGCTGAACGTCTTGCCGTTGTAGAAGTCTTCCAGGGAGGCCTCGAGGTTGAAGGCCTTACTGGGGCCCTTTCGGACGGCGTGGCCACCTCCGCCGCCGCCGCCAAAGAACCTCGAGAAGATGTCAAACGGGTCGTGCGCCTGCTGGTGCGGGTTGTCGCGCTGCGCCTGGTGCTTCTTGACACCCTCGACGCCCTGCCTGTCGTAGATCTTGCGCGTCTCTGGGTCGCTGAGGGCCTGGTAGGCGTCGCTTAACTCGATGAACTCCTGGTGCTTGTCCGGGTGCTTGTCGGGGTGGATCTTCTGCGCCCTTTTCCGGTAGGCTCGTTTGATGTCGCGGTCCGAGGCCCGCCGGTCGACGCCGAGTACCTTGTAATAGTCGGCCGCCGCTGCGAGTGCGAATGTGGTGGCCACGACGAGAAGCACGACGAGGACACCGAGGGAGCGCCATAGCCGGCTCCCGAGCGGGGCAGAGCCCATGGCTTCAGTGCGTGCCGGGATTTATAGAGACGGACAGAGACGTGTGCCGGCGGATGAGGTCGACGCAGCTGCAGCCGGGGTCGATGGACGCAGACGAGGTGGCGAGAGCAACGGCGAGTGCTGGCGAGAGGTGGTGGGAGGTGGCGAGTGAGGAGCAATTGGGCGGCGCAAGGGCAGGTGGGGGAACGCCCTCCTCGGCGCTTTTCTTCTTGGAGGCTGGCCCGTCCGCGGCCGGTCTGGCACACTGGCCGGCCTGCGTGGGCATGCATGCCAGCGTGGCGCGGATTTTACTCGGACCCCCTTTTCGCTGGCCGGCCTAGGCTAGCCTGCTTGGCTGTTGGTCCCTCTGCTTCCGCTTCCACGCGCGCCCTTTCCCCGATCCAACTCGACTCCCCGACCCTATCCTCGTCGCCAGGGATCATCGACGCCCGCGACCACCACGACGCCGTAATCAGCGCTCTTCCCGGCCACCTCCCGGGATCTCATGGCTATCCGACCGGGCCGCTCGGATCTCCGAATGTCGGCTTTACGCTGGGGAAATAACGAGGATGCCTCGCCGTTGATGCCGGCCTGCCGCCATCGCCCCGGCACCTCGACGAGAATAACCCGGGAATCCATCCGAGCCTGACGCGTACATGTCTCGAGTTTCTAGGCAGACGGAAGGCGCCCGCAACGAGCTGCGCGGCGGTTCGCAGGGCTTCAGCCCCCTTTAAGACAGGCAAGGCTGGGCCCGCTGGCCCTACTCTAACCCTCATGCTTCACCGACCCCATCGATCCCTCGTGCTCCTCCCAACTTTGCTATCATGCGCAGCCTGCTCTTCTGTTTTGCCCTCTGGATCACGCTCGCCATCCTCGGTATCCAGGCCCAGCCGCTGAGGACCTATTTTTTTTCCATCCACAACCTCGGCAGCGCCCTGTACGAGCTCGAGCTGTACCAGGGCCAGCTGCTCGCCGAGATGACCAAGGTGTGAGCCATGAGCGAACCCCTACAGCCGAAGAGACCCGCGTGGCCGCTGCTGACCTTTGGTTCATGAACCAGATCGAGCCTCGCCTGGCGGTACAGCCCTGCCAGCGGATCCTACCAGCTTCATACTGGCGTCATCGTCGACTCAAACGAGGTCTGGCGTTTGGATCGCGGCCTCCTAGATCGCGTCGGAATCTTGACCGGGAAGGCGCCGGGCGATCACTTCGCTGTTGACGAGGCCCTCGACGACCTGTGAGCTAGGACCTCGGTGCCAATGATGCGACTCGACTCTAATCCGCTCTCGCGCGCTCCCCTTGACGCTCAGGTTGACGGCGAGAAACAGGGCACAGACGTGAGTGAGCACGTGGACGGCGACCTTGCGCGTCCATCACAGCCACCTTTGTCGCCGCGTTCTGCGACTTGCCGGTCGGGCCCTGACGCTCTGTCCACACCGCCCTCCGTTCCCCGACGCCAGCCTGAAGGAATGGATCAAGGTCAAGATCCGCGAAGCAGACGACCGTGCAGAAAAGTACACCAAGGTCAACCGCGACATCCACCTCGATCGCTATCTTATGCGCGATGGCCTACCTCCGAGCACAAGGGACAGGGCCATGCTGTTCAAGTTCTCCCTTCGCGCCGTCTCGTCGATGCGGTACACGCTCAAGGTCGCCTACAGGAGCGCCGAATTTGCCCGGGCAAAGGTGCGCCAGATGCTGCGACCTGAAGATGCAGCCCCCTTCCTCTTCTGGATGGGCGACTTTGGCTGGATTCCCTTCCACACAGACGATCGCGCGATGGATCTGCTCTTGCACGCCCTCGGCAGGCGCAGGTACAAGCTGTTGCTTCCAGAAGAGGCTCTCCTCGATGCCAACGGCCAGAAACCAGCTCCGGCATGGACGGACAGGGTCGGTCGAGTGCTGCTGAGCTTGGACTAGGGCCGCTCGACGAGGATTCCTGGAGCAGTTGGAGGGACTAGCGAGATGTGCCTTCATCCCTTCGTATAGAATCAGATAACGCTGTGGCTTCTCTTCCCTGCGTTGGAGCTGTGCCGTGCTCAAGAGAATGACTTTCGCGGCAGGCAAAGCCAGCCCTTTCCTCTTGAGCCGCCCTCCATGCACCCATCACGACTCGGATCATTGGCGGAGCTGCATCAGACCAGCTTGCGGCCGTCTCTCGGAACCTGGCCCGACGCCCCGACATGCTATTGACGATGCGAATTGGCGGCCGCTAGGGGCTTGTGGCGCCAGCCACCAGCATCAAGAGGGCGACGCCCCGAGGTCACCTTCCCAGCCAGAAGGCCCGACTCGTCACCACGCCCCACGAACCGGGCCATCGGCTATTCCAGTCGACCTTTCTGCGAAACTTCTGCGATGTCGTCGCTTCTATGACCATCTTTCCCCCTCTGTGCCCTTTCGCCTTACATCGCTCTTCCTGACCGCTTCCAGGATCGATCACGCACAGAGACTGCCCACAAGATGCGTCTGCGGCTCCTAGTGCTCTCCATGGGCATTGCCAGCGCCAGCGCGACGCTCGCGGCGGCGCAAACGTCGTCCTACTACTTTTCGCTGGCCAGCGCCGGCCTCGTGATGGGACAGCTCGAGCATCGCATCGCCATGGCCAACGAGGCGGCCGACAACCTGCAGGTATTCTCGAATGATGCCGCCTTTCAGGGCATCACCGTTCTGCCACAAGCTGACGATGCTGCCCTCGCACCACAATTCCCTTCATAGCTTGATGCACTTTCGGATGGGAGACCGGATCGAGTTGGGAACGAGGAGCTCGGAATCCTTGAACCAGATCTGGGAGCTGACGGGCGATGCCTCGTTGGCTGGAAAACCTCTTGGAACGGTGCTAGAGGTCGTGTGAGTGCAGCTTCGTTCGAGCCGTGCGCTTCTGCAACGAGACTAACTCGACCCGCTCGCGCTTACTTCCGATCCATTTCCTCCCCTTTCATGGATATGACGGCGAAGCGAGAGCGGCACGAAGGCAGCCCGCCAGTGAGTGCTGCCCGTTCGTGGTTTCGAGACGAGCGACTGCCCTGTAAGAGCGACCCAATAGTGACCTTCGAGGAGCGACGACTTGACACGCGTTGCTTCGCTTCCACCTCTACCCCTAATCATAGAATCATCATGTGGCTCAGACTGAAGCTCCAAGAGAGGGCTTCTCGGCAGGCGGAGGCCGAAGCGCTGCTCCAGTTCATCGCGCGCGGAGGCTTCCATGACCGCACGGGAATGCCACTGTCCGATGACCAGGCCACGAGGCTCGGGTACATCGCCAGGCTGGCGACCGAGAGGCAAAGGACGTCGCTGAAGAACGCCCAGGCGATGCTGCAACGCCACAACCGGTGGATCAACGACAATTTGGCCCCGCACGACGCCGCCAGGCTCATCGAGGAGCTGGGAGAGTACAACTGGCCCCAGTTCGCTGTGCACGACGAAGCCATGAAGCAAGTCGTCACCACGATCAACAGGAAGCTGCCAAGATCGATCGTTAGGGTCGTTCCAGAGAGGCCGGGTCAGTGACCCGTCAAATTAACCACAGCCTCCGCCCAACCTCTGAGGGGCGCTCGAGGACGGCCCCATCTATCGATCCCAGGCGCTGGAGTGTGGAAAATCGATCGTCTCTGGGATCTTTCCTGGTCGCGACTAAGGGGCTAGATGTATGGTACAGGGCTCGAGGTCACGCTCGCGTGCCTTCCCGTTACGAAAGATGTGGGGTCGAGATCCAAAAAAGAGGTCCTCCGCATCTCCTACTTTACAGACGGTGCTTTGCGGTTGACGAGGGTGGAGGGATTCGAGCGGGGTATGCGTGTTGCGGGATGATGCGGTAGGGACGTGAGGAAGCGCGATCGAGAGGGACGAGGATGCTACAGCCTCGCTGGCGCTGCTCGCTAGAGCGACCAGCTGTAGCAGGCCACGTCGGCGAGCAGACCGAGATCGAGAGGGACCGAGCGGGCATCGACGAGTCGCCAGAGGAGTTCAAGGCGCTCATGGATCCTGTCCATGTCCAAGTGGCAGGCACGGTGCAGGTCGAAGAGGATCGCGCGGATACGCTCGCGGCCGAGACGGGGAGCTGATGCTGCCGCAAAGCAGAGCGGCAGGATGAGTCTGAGGGAGGAGGCGGGACGCAAAGGCGGAGACACCTGCAGTCAGTCACGCCGCCCGGTCCGTGTCACTGTCGTGCTTTGACTCGAGACTCACCCCTGCGTGTGGCCGGCTCGGACGGCCTCTTCGCAACGATCAAGCACCGAGGCCATAGGGCGCGTCAGGGTGAGGTGGTCCGAGGGCCTTCGGAACAGAATCGACTGCATGTAGAGATCTGCGGTTGCCACGTATAGGTCGTTGACGAGGTCGAGCTGCATCGGCAAGGTGCAAAAAAGGGCACGAGGAGAGCTTCGTCAGTCGAAGAGACCTTTGACCGGCTCCGTTAGACGGGAATGAATAGGCAGAGGGCGAGCCACTCACCAGGTTAGTGTGGGGCGACGTGATGCCCTTGGCCGAAGTGGACCGAGTCCACCAGGTCGAGATCTCCGCTCGCAGCCCGCGCACGGTCGAGTCGAGCCAAACACGCGTCTCCTCGTACTCGGCTGGCAGTGGCGCCGACGGGATGGCGCCGGTGTCCGAGAGGGTAACGCTGCGGCCCGTCCTGGACTGCAGCTCTTTGCGTGTCACCTCGACCCTGGTGATGCGTGCCAGAAGGTCGATGAGCCCGCGCCGGATGCCGAGCGTCTGCGAGACCGAGTCGTCGCTGCGTGCCTCTTCCGAGCTGCCCATGAGGCGGTGCCACCAGGTATCCCACGGCTGCAGGAACAGAGGCGGCGGCTCCACGATCAAGGTGTCGAGCGTCTCGTAAGCTGCCAGCTGCTCGACCATGAACTGGCTGGCGCCGTCTGCAGCATCGACAAGGGCGGCAGGCCCACCCAGCTCGACGATGGTACTCGTTGCGTTTCGGAGGGCCCCTCGCCAGTCGGTGTGTCCCGCGAGTCGGTCCCGGACCGAAAGGCAGAGGACGGCAGCGAGCATCTGTACGGCATCGGCACGGGTGAGGCGATCGTTGCGATCATTGCGGCCGCTGATGGCCGAACTTAGCGCCTTGAAGCTCGCCTCGCGGCGACGACTGCTGAGCTCGAGGAGGAATGCGGATGCAAGGTTGTCTGCCGGGGCCGAAGGTGTGGATGAAGCTGGAATCGCAGCCATTCCGCTAGCCGTCTGCGCTGCACCGCCGCCGCCGTTCCGGGTCTGTTGTCCTTCGAAGGAGGGCGACCGGATGTCGCTCCTCGGACTCATCCGCATCGAGTGTGGGCGACCAGCCGGGACAGGAGACGCCCTTCTGGACAAGTCGAGGCCAGAAATGCTGAGGATGGCGGATCGGAGCGACTCGGAAAAGCCGGTGGCACCAGCGGGTTCCCTCACCGCCAACTGAGCGATGTGACGGACCCAGGGATTCTCGACGAGAGACAGATCCTGAGTGCAGAGCCTAGGCGCGACCTCGAAGACGAAGTGGCGGAACTGGGCGCGAGACGAGGATGGGTCGGTTGGGCACGGTGCCAGTTAGTACTAAGGACTGCCTCACGCTTCCACTGCTGCACTGCAATATACGGCTGCGAGGACTCACGAGGGACTGCTCTTCGACAGTCGGAAGGAATGGGGCGAGACTGTCAAAAGAGAAAGCAGCCAGAGGCTCAAACTCCCTGGGTTGTGAGGGCATGCTGCGGTGGTTTGTCGAGGTCGAATCCACCACCGAAGGCCTCGCGGAGAAGCCGGACAGGCGCGCGAGCTTCCTGACCGGGCCGGCACCGGAGGAGTCGGGCTCGTAGGCATGCCTCTCGGATGCGGCCCGCCTTCCGGCAGCATCCAGCTCGGTGTGGAAGCCGTCCTCGCCTTGCGCCGGCGCCCCGGCCGTGCTCCAGCCGTCGGATGTGCCGACGTGATGGTAGCCCTCGTCAATGCGGAAGCCGTTGGAGAGCGGCGGCAGCCTTTGGTATCCGGTCTGGAACAGCGGTGCCGCACCAGAGTCGTGGCTTTCGCGCTTGACGCCGTTGCCCGCGCCGGGGTGCAGAAGCGCTGACATGGGGTAGCTAGCGCTGGAGGGCTGGTGACGGCGCTCACTGGATTCGGCGTTGAAGGCTCGAGTCGGGCTGAGGTCCTGTGATGCCGATGTCTTGGACGACGAGGCGGCCGTGTCGACGCTGACATATACGCACTGCGACACGATGGCGCAGAGAGTCGGGGGGGGGGGGGGGGGGGGCTTTTCGTCAACGACGTCGTTACGCGCGCCTCGGCCGCCACATCTAGGCACATACCTCTCGATCGCCGCAGGCGCACCTCTGGCATACGGGCTTGGTCTCGTCGCACTTGACCCTCCTCTTGCGGCAAGTGAGGCAGCCGTGCATTGATCGTTCGTGGTACCGTTTGACGCGGCCGCCGGGGATATGCTTCGGCTTGCCTTTGGTGCCCTTGCTAGGCCCAGGCCGCGGGGCAAGAGCCGTGCTGGCGAAGGTCCCTGCGCCCGCGCCCGCGAAGCCGTAGAGGTAGCTGCTGCCTGGGCTGGTCGAATCAAAGGCGCTCTCCGACAGAGTCGCGTCCGGCGACGCCGTGTCCGTCGACCCTTCGGCCGTCCGGGCGTACGTCCAGGGCTGGCTTGATTCCGCCGCACTCATCATCTTGGCTCGCCCTTGATGGCAAGCAGCCTCTTGCGGCAAGGCCGGTGGCGGACGGCAGCGGTAGCGGTGATGCCTGTTCGCTTGCTTGGGATAGGGTCACGGATGGGTGGCGATCCGATCTGCCGCAGTCGAGGCGAAGATCGGCGCCAGGATCTCGCGGCGTCGCTAGTGTTGATGGGACACGTATCAGGGGACGTAAGGCTTCGTGTATGTGCTGCTGTCGCTGATGGTGACGGTATGGGGCTCGCTACTGGCGTGTTCGTGGCGGTTCAGTCGAAAGGTTGACGCTATGGAGGAGACGGATAGGGGGAGCGAAGTGCGACCATGCTCGAGGAGAGACGGTGAGTCGCAAAGCGCAGGATCAGGGACGAAGGAGAATGGAACCTCGGAGAGGCGATGCTGGAGCCGGATGGTCACTGGACGTCGAGGCACGGACGGGCCTGAAGAGCTGGTCAAGGTCGTTCTTTGTGCTGGAAAGGCAACGGTGGCAGGGTCCAAAGGTCCAGGTCGACGAAGACAAGAAGACGAGTCGGCAGAGAGGTGGTTCGAAGGTCAGGAACGCTGCGAGACCCAGGAACGACGGCGGCGGAGAGAAGGGACGGCCAGCAGGCAAGCAAGCAGCTGACTCCCTGCATCGTCGTCACTTACCCGCATCGATCCGGATCGTGTACATGCTACGTGCGCGCTGCTCTGCCTCTCTTCTCCTCGATGCTGATGGTGTGCTGTGGGGTCTTGTCGACGAAAGGCTGTGCAGCGTGGCGATTCAAAGAGCGCCGGCAAGGTGCTGCGAGAGGGGACGAGAGAAGCAGCGTGAATGCTGAGGCGAGCCCCTGTCGACGAGGTCGACCGTCAGGCAAGATGGCTCGTCAGTCGTGGTCGTGGTCGAGGGCGGAATCGGAAGTACGAGGCCAGGTTGCGAGACACAGAGAGGAGAGAGAAAGGTGAAAGCTGGCAACCACCTGGCCTCGAGCAAGCCACGTCGAAGGCGACCTGCTGGTCTGGCCCGGCCTCGTTTCCTTGCTCGTCTCGTTCATTTGCTCGCGCGCTCTCAACACGACCGGCTCCCGACAGGAAGGAGAGCTAGGTGACGGCTACTTTGCTGCTGCTGCTGCTGCTGCTGCTGCTGCTGCTGCTGCTGCTGCTGCTGCTGCTCGCCGGTTCGGAACCTGGAGCGCAGGCAGGCAGATGGATCAGGTTCGGCGGTCGGGTCTGGAGCGGGGCCGACGACATAATCGACCCACCCGCGCCGGTCCCAACGCAGCGCAACGGAACGCCAAACTCGAGGCTGGGCCGAGCGAACCCAGCAGGCAGGCATGCATGCTTCGCCTTCGGCCCGCCGCGCGGCTTATCTCGCAACAGATCAGGGGAGTGCCTAGCCGTGGGGAGAAGGCGTTATCGCCCTGGCCTGCCGTGGTGGGCCCCCAGGCCCAGGAGGTCGACGGGCGTGGGCCTAGCCCTTTCGGCTCAAGAGGCAGCGTTCTTCCCGAACCAAACTCCGACTCCGCATACAGCTGCCTTGCTGCTTGCTTTTGCTGGCGCCCCTGTCCCCTGCCTGCCAACCAGCGGCAGCATGCCGAGCCAGGCGCGCCGTCTGGCTCCTACAGGTACGCTGCGTCGGGTACTTTGCCCCTTTTGTGGTACCACGGTACCGCTGCTGTGTGGCTGGCTGGCTGGCTGGCTGGCAGCCTGCCTGTGGGTGTGCGTTCCGTAACCGCGCATCGCCATACCGTTTGGTACCACCGTGCGTACCGCATCGCCACGTCCCGAACACCGGCTGTTTGCATGCTCTTGCTCGCGAAAACGTATAGAGGCACCGGCAGGCCGCTGCTACCTACACTTCTTGGAAGCTGACAAGCTTAGCCTGATGCTCACGCAAGGTCAGCCGCCAGCTGCTAGCCGTCAGCCAGCAATAAGCAGATGCCGGTGGACGAGACGACCAGGCGGGACGGAGCAGACAGGCACGAGAGCCAGGCAGAGCTTAAAACACGAGAGACCGGCTTCGCCTAGCAGGAGGAGCTGGCATGAACCCGAACGCACGGGCATCGAAAGTACGTAGACTTGGCGACGGACCAAACACACCGCCGGCCGTCTCGACTTGGCTCGACGCACCGTGCCGTCCTTGGAGGCTCGGGCCTGGCCCTTGGCGCAAGCAAGGGACTGCTTGTCGACACAGCTGGCTGCCTGCCTGTCGCGCGTTCAGATCCCGGCGCACGGCATCGCACAAGCACACCGACCGTCCGTAGGTGGTTGCAGATGGGGCGACCCGAAGCCTACGCGCGCAGGCCGCCCTGCCTGGCCTGGCTCGCACATCGTCGGGATGAGCTAAGATTAGCGCAGGTGTCTGACCCCGACGATGTGCAAAGGTCGCGGGCGGGGTTCCAAAGGGCCGGTGCCGAGTAACAAGCAAGAGAAGCAAGCAAGCCTCGCCGCCCGGTTTGCCTCCTCGCTGGATGGCCCCGCCGCAGCAAAGCCAGGGCGAGCGCGTGTGAGCAGCGTCGGTACGTGCGGCAGCCCTCGCCCCTGCAACGATGCGATGCGCTGTGCTGCGATGCAAGCTGTGCAAGCTTTGCGGGCATGACACCCATTCAGCCAGCTGGCCAGCAGAGAGAACGGCTCGGAGCCCGCCACCAAGCCCCCAAGTGAGGCACCTCGCTCTGCAGAACGTGCCAGGCTGCTACAGTAGCTGATGCCGCAACGGCTGCTGCTGCGCTGGATGCGCCCAAGGGGGTTTCATGGCACCTGATCGCCCTAGACTTGCTTTCCGTCCGCGCAGCGGCGGCGTGCCTGTCCCAGAATAGTCGACCTGCTTCGGTGCCCTGTGGCGGTGGCAGCGGGAAGCAGAGATAGCCTCTTGGCAGGCCCCCTTTTCCTTCCATCCCGCCTGCTCGCCCCATCTCCTTGGGGGTCTCGCGGTGGCGTCAGCGTGGGGGGGGACCAGCGTTATCGCTATCGCATGCCAGAGCCACCAGAGTCAAGCTAAGATCGAGGTGAGCGCAGTCAAATATAGGTCAGGCTCGAGAGGAGGCATGGCTGTCCCGCCACCCGGCCCTGGACCGAGGATCCGATGGACGCTGCCTCTTGGCCAGACCCAAGACCGCTTGAGCCGATCGGACGGCCGAGCGCACATCCGAATCGCATCTGAGCCTGTCTGATCCCCAGCTGAGCTGAGCCGGCCTACCCTCGTCGAGGGCCATCAGCTAGGGAGGTCGCCAAGGAAAGAGGCAGCAGGCAGGGTATCAGACCGGCCGGGTCTAGACAACCCCCTCGCTCGTTACCATGTCTCACTCGCCAAGCGCCGGCTTGCTCTCACACAATCGGATCTCATAAACCCTTTTTCCCACGACAGGCTCGGCCTGTCCGCTCTTAAATACATTTTTGGCTTTATGTAGACAACTTTGCTCGCCACCGTCATGAAGGCGAAGAATAGTCGATCCTGGTTAGTACAATGGTCAGTATAGGACACTCTCACCGGCAGCCTCGCGGCGGCGGTACTGTTCAGATCGGGGTTCGATTCCCCGGCCGGGAAAAGTTTTGCTCCTTTTTCTTTTTCTTTTTCGAGCGGGAGGGCCTTGGCTGGGCGGGTACCGGTAATCCGGCGCGCGGTGAAAGCGGTTGCGGGCTTGGCCTCCACCCCCGCGCCTCGGGTTGCGACCTCGCAAAGGCAGGGGCAGCGGCCGAATTGGGCGCAGGGGCCAAGCAAGGCTTGCGTTGACGATGGCATGAGGGACGGTTTGCGGGGGAGGCGTCCGTGTTACTTCCCAGACACCCACCACCATACGCCGTTAGACCTCTGCACGCACAACGGACGGGAACGACGCTCGATCCAGGCCCCATCAACCAACGTCGAGCCTAGCCTTGCCCTGCCCTTTGCTGCTACTGCCGCCATGTCCATCCCGGGAGGCCTTGGAGGACCAGGAGGGGGCGGGGGACTTCCGCCGCGACCACCGACGGGCCAAGGCCTGCCCCTCGAGGGGATTCGGGTGGTTGAATTCTCCGGCCTGGCTCCTGGGCCTTTTGTCGGAATGGTGCTGGCCGACTTTGGCGCCGACGTGATCCGGATCGACAAGACAAATGCCACGCTGAATCCCGACAGCCTCTGCCGCGGCAAACGGTCGATTGCGGTGTCGCCAAAGGACCCGGACGGACTCGACCTGCTCAAGCAGCTGATCGCCACGGCCGACGTCGTCATCGACCCCTTCCGACCAGGTGTGCTCGAGAGGCTCGGGCTGGGCCCGCAGGACCTTGAGAAGGACATCCAGCGCGGCCTCGTCCTGGCACGCCTGACTGGCTTCCAGAGAGTCGGTGAGTTGGACGCATGGCGCTACCACGGAGTGCTGAGCGCCGCAAGCCAGCGCCTGCCGATGCAGAGAGATCTGAGCTGACGGCCGGAGCATGTCAACCTTTTTGGATCGGCCGCCTCTGCGCGCTCAGGCCCGTACGCCAACATGGCCGGCCACGACATCAACTACATCGCGCTGAGCGGCGTCCTGTCGATGCTGGGCAAGGCTGGCGACGCGCCTGAGCCGCCCTCCAACATCCTGGGCGACTTTGCGGGAGGATCAATGATCTGCTTGCTCGGGATCCTGTTTGCGCTCATCGAGCGGTCCAGGTCCGGACGGGGCCAGGTGGTCGAGGCCGACATGGTGACGGGGGCGCGCTACGCCTCGACCTTCCTGCTGCTCACCAGCTACCTCTCTCACCCGCAGTACGGCGCCATGCTCAACGACGGCACCGACGCGACGCGCGGCCGCAACATCCTCGACGGCGGCGCGCCTTGGTACGGCGTCTACAAGTGCCAGGACGGCGGGTGGATGAGCGTGGGCGCCATCGAACCCCACTTCTACAAGGTCTTCCTCGACGTGCTCAAAAAGGCCCTTCCGTCCGCGCCCGCTGGTACGCAGCACCCGAGCGTCAAGACGCAGTTTGACCGCAACGAGTGGCCGCAGATGCAGCGCTACTTTGCCGCCTGTTTCGCTCAGCTTCCACGGAAGGATTGGGAGCGCTTCTTCCTGCGGACCGACGCATGCGTCGCGCCCGTGCTGTCGCGGGACGAGGCGGCCCTCGACGGCGTCATTCCCGGCGCCAACCCGGACAATGTCGAGAGCGGCAACCCGGTGGTGCCGGGCGTCGCTCCGAAGCTCAGCAGGACCCCGGGCAGGAACCCAAGCGGAAGCGCCGGCGGCGAGTGGGAAGATCAGGGAGCCGAGATGCTCCTCACGCCCGGCGAGCACACCGACGACATTCTCGCCGAGCTCGGCATCGGCGGGGGAGACCGGCGCATCGAGCTGTACCGCAGAGGGGCGGTCGACGGGCCCGACAAGCCCGAAGGACTGATCAGGTCAAAGATGTAGCAGCGCCTATCGTGGCAACGAGTGGAATATCAGATTGATTATCGCGGAAGTCCTTCGGGTGCCTTCCGATATGGGGGCCTCGAGCTCGGCGGCGGCGTCATCACGCGCCGCCCCTCTTGGACTTCTTGCTTGCGGCTCGAGGGCTTTGGCCGTGTCCGGCTGGCAGCCAGTCGTTGTCGACGTTGGGGTTGACCTTGACCGAAGACGATGACGTTGAAGACTTCTGGGCGGCCTGGGCCTTGGCAATCGAAGCCTCAATCTCTTCCTGGCTGACGTTCTCGCCGGCCCGCAGCCGCGCTGCGATCTCGGGGGTGACCGCTAGGCGTTTGACGCCCGTCTCTGTTGGTTTCGGAAATGCACCAAGGTTCAGCAAGCAGTCGATGGCCCACTGGTGAGATAGGCGACGGGTCCAGCCGGGTCACACTCACGGAAGCCTGGTGCGCCCCTGCCGATGCCCGTCTTCGGATCGTACTTCTGGTTGAAGCCGGATCTGCCGTCCTTTGCCTTGAGGAAGCGGCTTGCCACCGCGCCGAGCAGGATGAGCGGTACGAGGACCGATGGGATGCTGTGGTCGATCGACAGCGGGACAGAGCAGGCAGAAGGCGATCAGCTCGCCTGTGCTTGGAGATCGGGCATGGTTCCGACGGCCCTCAAGGCTGCCTCACTCACACGATCCAGTTTCCCATGGTGTTGCTTGGCTGTGTTCCGTGGCGATGTCTGCGACGAGCTCCGGTTGTGTCGGGAGTTCCGAGGGAGGGACAATGGTGGACGAGTGCCAAGGTGGAGAGCGGCGGGGACGTGGCACCTCTCTGGCCGGCCTGCCCCTCTTTCTTCTCGGAACGCGGGACCGGACCCCGACCCCGCTCAGGGACGACAAACAGGGCGAGGCGGCTTCTCCACTTGGTCGGAGGCGAGATCACCACCACCACCGCTGCCACCACCATCACCACCGTTCGCAACACCGGCAACGCTATGGCCGTTCAAACGACCCTGCAACCAGGCGGGGCTTCTGTATCCGCCGCATCGGCTGCGGGGCCCTCGCTCGGTAATGGCGCCCGCTCAAACGCTCCAGTGAGGCAGGCGCACGACCGCGTGCTCGCCATCCAGGCCTCCCTGCGCGAGATTGTTCTCCAGACCGCCTATGCGCTGCGCTCGCGCACGCAGCTCATCAAGATGAACCAGGCCGGGAACCCCGGCGCAGCTTTGCCTTCTGGCGCAGACGAAGCAGCCACCAGCCTCGAGCCCCTCGGCGCCGAGTGTGCCCGATACCTCGCGCTCGTGCGCGGACTAAGAGATTATCTGGTACGTCCCTCTTGAGATTCGGCGTTAAACCTCATGGGATCGAGACTAGGTTGTTGAGCGCCGTGTCATCCCTTTTGCGGTCTTTGTTCCCGCTCAATCAGCTACACGCTCAAGCTTCGCTCGAGATCGAGCTGGAGAAAGCGACCAAGCGCGAGGCCGAGGAGGCACAGAGAGCCGCGGAAGCTGCGGCTGCCGCTGTCAAAGCAGACCAGGAGAGGCAGCAGCAGCAGCAGCAGCAGCAGCAGCAGCAGCAGCAGCAGCAGCAGCAGCAGCAACAGCAACAACAGCTGCAGCAACAACGACAGCGTTCGACTGAGACCGAAGAAAAGAAACCGGACGTCCAAGCAGGACCAAACAAGTCATCGGCGCCAGCATCGCAGGGACCGACCACCGCCGCCTCACCGACAACCGACCTCGCACCAAATGTCGGCGATGCAGCACCGAAGTCTGAGACAGCGGACGTGGACATGGACCAGTCGATTAGCACGCCGCCGCTTCCACCCAGGTCTCTTCCCGGTGAAGCTGATCAGCCAGCCGTGGATACGGCGGCGGAGCCGGCTCCGTCGTCAGTGCCGCCAACGACCGCAACGACCGCTGCTCTTTCAGGCTCGACCGCGGCACCGAGTGGAGGAGCCGATTCTTCCAACGCCATCGTCATCGACAGCGACGATGAGGACGATGTTCCGCTTGCCTTTGTGCCCAAAAGTGGAGAGAGCAGCGAGCCACCACAGCCACCGCCGCAGCCTCAGCCGCAGCCGCAGCCACAACCATCAAGCAGCGCCAGTCTGCCTGCCACTGCTACGGCAGCTCCCACGGGCGCGATTGACCTCACCGGCGATGACAGCCCTGCCCTCAAGAATCTTGCTCACCCGTCCACTTCGACGGCACCCTCTGTGGCGGACCCTGCGAGCTCGACAAAAGGCACAGAAGCCGACGATGATCCAGGTTCCGACCTCTTTGGCGACGGCGACCACCAGAGCACCGTGGGCGATGCGGAGAGCAAGGACGGCGACTCTGCGCCGCTAGCTGCCACCGCTGCTCCTGCCGCGACAGACCCAAGCGCGGCAACGACTGGTCAAGCCGGCACGACCGCTGGATCCGGCAGCTTTGGCGGTATGGATCTCTCCTCGCTCGGCATCGACATGTCGAACCTGCCGGATATGTCGGCCTTTACCTCGAGCTCGGGCGGTGCGGGCGCAAGCGGCGGTATGGGCGGACTCGACCTGTCCTCGTTGGGCGGCATGATGGGTATCGACATGAGCAGCTTCAACGCTGGCACGACGGGGTCCGGCGGAGCAACCGGCGGCGGTGATCCTGGAGACGCAGGTTTCCCGATGGGTGGCGACGGAGCTCCTGACAACGGTCTGGGCGGCATAGACTTGAGCAGCTTCGACTTCTCCAGTCTGGCGGGATCGGGCGGCGGCGAAGGCGACGGTTCGGGTGGGGGCCTTGACCTCAGCAGCTTTCTGCAGAGTTACGGACATGGCAACCAAGGCTCCGGGGCCTAAAAGCGGGTGACTGCTCTGCTTGCAGCAAGTTTCCCACAACGCGGTGCCAGACGACGGTCACAGGATGCCAGGGTGGTGACACTCGTTGCACGTCGTCCTTTGATCGATCCGAGGCCAAATATCCAAGGCCACGGCAATGTGCGGCGTCGACGTTCCTGCCCCTCGTGCGACCCGCGGGCCTACACGACGGCCGACCCCCACCTAGTCGGTGCTGTCGTGGAGACCTGAAACAACTCCCAGTCCAACGCCGTTCACCGGCCGCAGCGCGTTTGGCGGCAGGTGAGCCGCAAATCACCCACCACGGTCGCTTTGCCGCGCCGTGGAGTTGTGCCACGCGGCGACGGCCCATGATATGGCTGAGCCTCGTCTCCGCAGGCGCTTAGTGACGCAACGCGCAACCGCAACCGCAACCGCAACCGCAGAGGCAACACCCCCACTCGTGCACCTCGTCGACGGTCAGCCCGACAACACAGGGGTTGCACTCGCATCGTGTCAGCCGCTCACTCGCCCTTCCCGGAAGGAATTCACCTTCACAGCAAGCGAGCCCACTCCAGATCGCAGCCAGGGAACAGACGTGCGAGCTGTGCCAGGGACAAGAGTTCCTATCAACATTCAGAGCGAGCGGAAGTATAAAGCGGCAGCGCTCCCGCCATGTTCGACGAGCTTCTCTCAGCCCATCCGCCTTTCTCGCTTCCCCGAACGAATTCTGCTCAGCCCCCTCGCTACCCCGTCTTGATGATGAGGTTCTCACTCTGCTTCAGCACGCTGGTCGTGCTCCTCTGCGTCGTACTCGTCATCTTCCCGGACGGATGCCAGGCTCTCAACCACCATGATCGCATCCGGAAGGTCAGGTCTTCCGGCGGCTTGCACCGGCGCGATCTCTCCACCGGAGCCGATAACGGCGGTCAGCCCGGATCGACCTCGTCTGATGGCACAGCAGCTAGTACCCAGCCCGGCGATGCGGGGTCTCAGATGGGTGGCAAGACCAAGAAGGTCAAGAATGGCGCTTCTTCTGACCAGTCCTCGACCTCGGCTTCGACTTCGAGCTCGACCTCGCCCTCGACCGCCGGCAAGAAGATCTGCAGCATTGCCGACCATGGCGCCAACTCGAATGCCGACATCGGGCCGGCGCTCCAGGCGGCCTTCTCGCAGTGCGTCCTCCCGAACGGCAACGGAGCCAACACTGTCCTGGCAATCCCACAGGGCGACTGGATCCTCCGCAGCCACGTTGTGCTCCGCGGCGGAAACGACTTTGTGGTGCAGTGGGACGGCGTTGTCACCCTGCCGCACGACGAGAGCCTTGGCATCGGTCCCATGATCCAATTCTTGGGCTGCCAACGCATCCTGGTCACCGGGTCGGGCAAGTTTGTCGGTGGCGGCGTCAACTGGCGCGCCAAGGGCCTTTCGCTCAACCGACCCAACCTGATCAACTTCTACAGGTGCAAGGACAGCGAGATCACGGGTATCCACCTCGATGATGCTCCCATGTTCTTCCTGGGCCTCTCCGTGTCGAGCGGCATGAAGGTGCACGACATGCTTTTCACCTCGCCGCCGCCATACATGGGCTCCACGGACGCCATCGACGTGCAGTGCGCCAACTGCCAGATCTACAACCTCGACATCACCAACGGCGACGACTCGGTCGTGATGAAAACCCCCTCCTCGAACGTCGAGGTGCGCAACATTACCATCCAACAGGGTTACGGCATCGGCATCGGCACCGCGGGAAAGAACGGCGTCTTTGACATCTCCAACATCCACGCATCCGACATCCGCCTCATCAACGCCAAGGCGGGCCTGTACGTCAAGAGCTACCCCAGCGCCTCGGGCGTGATCCGCAACGTGACCATGGAGAACGTCACGCTCAAGAACGTCGCCAAGCCCATCGCCATCGACCCCTTCTGGCAGGGCGGATCGATGGACACGCCCGATGCGTCGAACAAAGCGAGCACGCTCGTCATCCGAGACTTTACCCTCAAGGACTGGGACGGCACCGGCGACAGCACCACCCGTCCCGTCATCTTTCTCAATGGGTCGCCCGCTGCGCCCATGCAGAACATGGTGTTTGAGGATGTCCATCTGACCAAGGAGGGCGGCCGACAGCCCAGCATCGTCACCAAGAACGCTTGCGGATCCGGCCTCCCCCAGATTCAGAGCTGCGGATCCGGTTCGGGAACTGGCGGAGGGAGCGGATCAGGAGGTGGCGGAGGGAGCGGATCAGGAGGTGACGGAGGGAGCGGTTCGAAGAACTGACCGACTGGTGAAGTCAAGCAAGAGAAGCAGAGCTCCGCCGCGCACGGGGTTTGCTGGTATGGCTGGTCCTCCGCCCGCACCTCCCCTCCCTCGCAGCCTATCCCTCCCTCTCCCGACCCGTTCGAAACTTTCTTTCTTGTTCTGCCTCTTGCTTCGACGCATCCTACATGCTACAGCCGTAGACGGTGATCCCGGGATGTAGCTCTCGGATGTCTGAATCGAGACGCAAGATTTCAATTCTCAAAGGGCAGCTGCCATGGACCTCGGTGCCGGGTGTGGACAGTGGGGGTGGGCTCCACTTGCCGAGGTCACCCACCAGCCGGCGGCCACGCGCGTTGCTGGACCCTGAAAGTCGAGGGCCCAACCAGAAAAAGGTTGCAGGCTGCAAGCCAAGCCGACCTGACCTGCTTCTTCCACCTCTCTTCCGCGCAGACCATCTCTCGACCACCTCTCACCACCGCCGGCCACGAAGCCCTCTTCCCTCCTCACTCTACGAGCAGAAGCGGCAGCCGTACTCGAAGCCGATGCAGGATGGTGGGGGGACCAGACTATAGTCTGCAGAGCTACTGGCAGACACGGTTCACAGCCAACGATGCGAGGGAGAACCACGGTCGCGGATTCGAGTGGCTGGCAAACGGCGATTGCCTCGTCGTCCCCGCTGCCCGGCATCTCTCGCAGCAACGGGCTGGAACCCGGACGTCAGCACAGGTATCATCGCAGCTCGAAGATACGGCAGCTGTGCCGTCCGCGAGCGCTCCGATCACGCGGCCCCAGAGAGTCCTGCACATCGGGATAGGATCTTCGACCCTCTCGGCCCAGCTCCACGACCTCCTCTCCTCTTCACCAGCACCATCGATGCCCTTCGAGATCGTCAACGTCGACTTCGCACCATCTGCCGTCGGACTCGCACAGAGATCCGATGCGGGGAGGACCGGGATGTTCTACCGCACCGTCGACCTACTCTCCTGGTCCGACGTGCGGTCCCTGCTCTTCCTCGGATCATCAAGGTCCAACGGCGAGCGGGAGGAAGCGCAGGGATTCGACGTCATACTCGACAAGTCGACGACAGACTCCATCTCAACCGGACCGGACCTTTGCTTCGTCCTCCATCCATCTCGTCCGGCGGCGGAGGTCGAAACGAGTCAAAAAGTGGTCGAGACCGGAACGGGGAGGAGGCGGGCATCGGATGATGTGGTCACGACATATCATTTCGATTTCGAGCGGGCTCAGGCGACGCTCTGCCCGCTCGTATTGGATCTTTTGCTGAGCGCCGAGGAGGATGCGGGGGGTTCGGGGACACGGCGATTGACACTGTCGCCCGTCCACCTCCTGTCGTTGCACATGGCGGCCGTGTCACGGCAGCACGCGGGCGGTACAGGCGAAGCAGGGACAAGGTGGTACTGCTTGAGCTATTCGGCGGAGCGGTGGAGAGACGTCGTCCCGGTCCGCGCAAAGTCGACAGGGCTTGCCAGCGATGTTGCGCCGAATTCGGAGCCGGGCGTGATGTGGTGGCCCTGGCGTGTCGTGGAGAGACAGCCGGTCGAGGTGGCAGACAACGGAGAGAAGACCGGGAAAGGGGGTGCGGTGACGCCGGTCTTCACGCCGGCTGTGTTTCACTCCGCCTATGTCCTCGAGTGGGTCGGCGAAACGTGATGCTAGTCGAACAAAGGGATGGGGCGGTCGCTCAAGCCTGAGCCTGCTGTGTGTTGCAGAGGGGCGAGTGCGAGCACGGAGGCGAGAACGGATGGCGTCAAGGTTCAGGTTCGTCTGGGCTCTTCGACCGCAGGTGGTTGCGTCGGCGAGTCGGGCCAACTTACCTTCGCACGAAGCAGCTTTTCGCGCAGCGCTTGCTCTCGAGCGGCCTCGTCGTCGACCTGCCTTGCGCGCTCCGACGGGCCCTCGTCGTCGCTGTCGTCCCACTTGCTCCTCCTCGGCCTGCCGCGGGTGGGCTTCTCCGCACGGGGACTGGCGTCGCCGACATCGTCACGGGGCCTCCTCACCGACGTGTCCGCGCTCCTGCGGTATCTCCTCTCCGGGCTCCTGTCGCTGCTTGGGCTCCTGCTCCTCGATGGGCTCCTGTTCCTGTCCCGGCTTCTGCTCCTGCTTGCGCTCCGGGCCCTGCCCCGCTCGCGATCATCGCGATCGTAGCGCTTCGACGACCTCGCCGAACCTCTGGCATCCCGATCGTCGTCGTAATCTCGAGTGTCTCGGCGCGGTCGTTTGTTCCTCGAATAGTCTGGCGTGACTGATCGATCCGAGGGTGGACCGCGAGTCTCTTTGCGGCTCCTCTCGGGCCTCGACGGCCTTCTGTCCCGGCTTCGGCTTCGGCTCCTGCTGCGACTGCGACTCGGGCTTCGGATGTCGGGCGATCGCCTGCTGTACCTGCTGCTTCGGCTGCGATCCGGCTCTCGAACGTCTTCGCGGTAACGGCGGTCGCTGCGGCTGACGTCGTCTTTTCGGTATCGGTCGTCGACGCGGTAGCGGTAGTCGTCTCGGTAGCGGTCGGCTGCTTGTCTGCGATCGTCCCGCTCGTAACTGCCTCGCCAGGGGTCGTCCCTGCGCTCGTGCCGATCGTAGCGGTCGTAGCCGTACCGCGATGATGAGGCGGGTGGAGGCGATCTGCGATCGCGATCGCGGTCGCGGTAGTCGTCGCGAGCTCGTTCGTTTCGGTCGTACCCCGCCCTGCCATCGTCGTATGCGTCGCGGCCTCTGCCGTCTCGCTCATCACGGCGGGAGCCGGGGGCGTGTCCGGAGCCTGACTCCTGCGCAGCCGCTGGAGGAGGTGGTGGCGGCAGAGAGCGTGATTCGTTCGGATGAGGTAGCCCGTCGCTCGCGCTTGGCGTTGCTGCGGCCGGCGTCCTCGCTCGCGCGCCCCAGCCCGTGTCCTGGACGCGCTCGGTGACGTTGCCGCTCTTGTCCTTGAACACCCGAGGCCCCTGCGCTTGCGCCTGACCCCGGCCTCGGTCGAAGCCTCGTTGCTCGAGCTGTCCCGGCACGGGCACAGGCACTGGGTCAGCGCCGCCTCGGTCCCATCTCGATGCTCTGCTGCGTGTGCCACCGCCAGCGGTGGGAGCGGGAGGCTGGGCGGGGCCTCGACCTCCCTGCCACTGGCTGATCTCCTGCCGCTCCCTGACCTGACGAAGCATCCTCTCGTCCTCCTCCCTCTTTTTGCGCATCTCCTCCTTCTTCTGTTCGACAAAAATGGCCGGGATGCCGCCGGGCGACTCCTGGGCCGAAAGCAGCAGCGTCCAGAGTTCCTTGAGGAAGGGTGCGGTCTGCGACTCGAGGAAGCCGGTGAGGGAGATCTGCATCTTTTTGGGGTCGGGGAACTGCACAGGTGCGTGTATATGGCGCGAAAGCATCGATACCGGTGTCAGTCGCAGCCGCTATTGGACCTGGCCACGATCGACAGCGGGGACTGCGCAAGCGATAGCGGTGCGAGCGTACTCACCCTTTCCTCTTCGAGCATGCCCGCCACGTACTCGAGGACGACGTCGTCCTCGAACCCGAGTAGCTCGGTCACCTTGTTGGCCATCCAGGGCTTCATGACGCTGAGCTCGACCTTTTTCATGTCGACCTTTTTGTCAAAGTTGGAGGGGAACTTGAGCGTCTTTAGCAGCGCGGCATCCTTGTTCTTGAAGCGCGAGTCCTGGTCGGCCGAGATGCCCCGGTAGCCAGAGTCGCCCATCTTTGGCAAAAGGTTGCGTCCGTCGCTTCAGCGGCGGATCGGAGTGAGCTGGAACGAAGCGGAGTGAGCGGGTCGGAACGTGAGAGTGATGGTGGAAGGAGAGAAAGACGCGGATCCAGCTTCTGAAGTGACACGAGGCCCCCGCCCAACCTGCATGCACGCACCCGCACGCGAAGGCCTTTCCTCACAGGTCCGCGAAAAGAAAAAGTGGAGCAGGCTGAGGGTCACCTCGTTGGACCGCGCAGGCCAGGCCGCTCCCGCTCTCACTTCGAGCAAACGACATCAAGGACCACTCATGGCATGGCATTCGCAATCCAGGCTGAACACTCTGCGACAAGCGCGAAGGCATTACGGGATTCACGGCGCCTCAGAGCTTGGCGAATTGGGGCTTCTGCTTCTGCATCACCGCCAGCATGGCAACTGGCAGATCGTCGGACTGCAGAAGGCCCGAGTTGAGCGCCTGCGTGTACCGCAGCCCCTCCTCGACGCTGCGGACCGATGAAAGACAGGCGATAGAGCAACGTCAGCCAGTAGCTCTACGGAGACGCAGGACGTTACAGTCAGCTTTTCGACGCACCTGTGGTCGCGGCCGTGCAGCATAAAGATCTTGGTGGCCCGCACCGCCACCGGCGCCTTGGCAGCGATGTCACTAGCCGTCTTGATCGCAGCGGCTGAAACGGGAGAGAAGCCAGAGGAAGGACTCGCGACGTCAGCTCGGTCAGTCCAGGACCCACGTACCAGTCTTTGCGACGACGACGACGACGACGACGACGACGACGACGACGACGACTCACCGACCACCTCCTCCCGGCCGCCGTCGACGATCCGGCCGAGGAAGCCAATCCTCAATGCCTCGTCGGCGTCGAATTCTCTCGCGGTCAGGGCGAGCTCCCTGGCGATTGAGTCGTTGCCGACAATCTTGGGGAAGCGCTGCAGAGTGCCGATGTCGGCGGCGAGGCCCGCATCGACCTCCTTGATGCTGAACCTGGTCCCCTTTGCGGCGTATCGGATGTCGCACGCCGACATGATGTCGACGGCCAATCCAAAGGCGACGCCGTGTGCGGCGGCGATGACGGGCTTCTCGACATGCTCAAACCAGCTGATGGCCTCTTGGAAGTCGGCCAGGTGGCGTCGCATCAGCACCGCCTTGCGCGCCGCGTCGGGCTGGGCCGCCATGACATCCGACAGACTGGCGTTGAGCAGGTCAAGTCCCGCGGTGAACGCCCTGCCTTCACCGGAGAGGACAATGACGTTGACGTCGCCGTCGTCCCGGACGTGCTTGAGGATCGCCTGCGTCTCCTGCCACTTGGGGTCGATAAAGGCATTGACCGGGGGCCGGTTGAAGGCCATGTGCAGCACGCCCTCTGCCGCCAGCTCCAGCTTGTGGTACTTGGGCGAGGCAAAGCCGGTGTAGGGTTTAGGGAACGACATGGTGATACGTTGTGCGGTAGATCGAGGACGGCGCAAGGTGATGGACAGGCTGAGATGGCAGCCAACGAGCGGAAGCCAATGCCTTAAGTACGGTTGCACCCCGGATTGCGGGGCACACACAGCGTCGGGCCCTCCCCGCCGGCCACTTGGCGTGAAAGGAAGCCGGAAGGCACAAGCTGCTTGCCGGTTCGGATGCCAGACCCGAATCCCGCGTCGATGCTGCCCGGGCAGCTTCCATTGGAACAGACTAAAGACTGCAGCTTGTGTTGAACTTGGCAACATCAAGTTATTAAATTTTTGGCACGGTCTGACACGCAGCCAGGTTGTCATGCACTATCAAGCATCACTGCAACTGATGTAGTTCCTGCAGAGCAGCAACACAAGCAAGAATGTTGATTCTCATAGAGCTCATGGCACTTCCTGAAGGCACCTGCATGACAAGCCCATTGTTTTGCATTTCCAGGCCAAGCAGGGGCAGGTCCTGTTGCAGTCGAGAGTGGCGCACCGGCTGCACAGCCTCCCCATGAGCCACGGCTTTTCGATGCCGATCCCCAACAGCTTGACCCAGCACAACAGTGCAGCTCAGAACATCCTCGTAGAATCCTGGTATTTCAACCAGTGGAGGGGAGGTGCGAGGTGGCTTGGAGGAGAGATGCTGGTACTGCTTGAGTGGGGGCTGGAGGTAGGGAAGGGCAACTTTTTCCCGGTTCCACAGTCGGTGCTTACAAAGGTCGCTGAGTACTACGAGTCCGACACCCCTTCCCTCCTCACCCCTGGACCCCCTGGTTGAGCACAATGTGCTCAGCTGGAGCGAGCAGCTCAATTTCACCCTCCTCTCTGGACTCAACATCAACAACAAGGATGTAAAGTAGCACATCCTCTTCAGGCAACAGCAACTACCAAGTGATGTTCTTGAACATTGTTTGACTTGGAGCTGCAAGACACCCTCTGCACATGAGGCCAAGCGAGCATGACCGCCTCTCAACTGCTGCACAACTAACAGCTCTGGTCCCGTCTTGCTGCAGCAAGCTGCAGACAAGGTTGTCGAGCACAGCTGCAACAGCAAAAGCAACAAGCAACAAGCAACAAGCGTTCGCAGATCCACAGTCGATGTGCGCAACGGTGATGGAAAGACGGTGTGCATCAGATTAGCGGTGCAAGGAGCAGGTCAAAAAGGCTGACTAGGTGACATAGCTGCGGCTACTGCAGCCGGGGCATCTCCTTGCCGGCCTCCTTCCAAGCGTCGAGCACGACGTTGCGGAGCCGGACAAAGGCCTCCTCGACGTCCTCTTCGCGGATGACACTGAAGCTGGTGCGCACGTAGCACGTCTGGCGGCCGTCGGGGAGGAAGGCCATGCCGGGCACGGCCAGCACGCCCGCTGCCTTGGCCTTGTCGCTGATGAGGGCAAACGAGTCACCCTCGTCGCCCTCACGGTCCGAGGTCGGGGGCAGGTTGAGCTTGATCCAGAGGAACATGCCTGCCACGGGTCGGACCCACGAGGCGACGCCCGACGCGCCCAGCACGGCCTTGGCCTTTGCCTCGAAGTTGTCCCGCTTGCGCTCGTAGTAGGCGGCGACGTTGTCGGCGTGGCGCAGGAAGCCGTCGACGCCCCAGAAGCTGAGGATCTTGTAGGCCACGACGCTCGACACGCCCGAAGGCTGCAGGTTGCTGACAGCCGTGTTGGCGTCGATGGCGTCGAGCAGCTCGACGGGGCCCGTGGCGAAGCCGAGACGCAGGCCGGCGGCGAGAATCTTGGAGAACGACTCGAAGCGCAGCACCCGGCCGGTGCCGTGCACGTCCCTGCCCTCCTCCTCGAGCGACCAGTAGCTTCGCGAGCGCTGGCGGGTGACGGGGTCCTGGCCGAGCCCCTCGAAGTTGATGTAGTAGTACGGGTCGTCCTCGAGGATGACAAAGTCGTACTCGCGTGCGACGGCGAGGATCTGGCGCTTGCGCTCGTCGGACGCCGTGGTGCCAGCCGGGTTGGCACCGGTGGGCGTCGTGTACAGGCACTTGGGGCGGGGCAGGCCCTTGGTCGCTGGCGCCGTGTCCCAGTTCTTCATGGTCTCGACGAGGGCGTCGCCGCTCATGCCCTGCGAGTCGCTCGTCACGGGTACGACGCGGGCCCGAAGCATGACGAGGGCCGGCAGGATACCGGTGTAGACGGGAGAGTCGGACAGGATGACGTCGCCGGGGTTGAGGAGCGCCTCGAAGGCCTTGTTGAGGAGGTCCTGGCTTCCGACGCCGGACGTGACGCGCCAAGCCGAGCGCCCTGCGACGCCGTCGAGCTTGTCGCCGGGCTTGACGAGCTCCCTGCCGTGCATGCGGACCTGCATGTCGGTGAGCCAGTTGACGAGCCTTGCCGGGCCCGAGGTGGCGCCATACTGCAGCGCCTCTGCCAGCTCCTCGCCCTCGATCTCGAGCTTCTGAGGCTGTCCCGTGGCGGCGTCGAAGCCGGACTCGGCTTCGGGCTTGAGCGTGAGACTGATGTTGGCGAGCGGGAAGGTCTGAGGTGCGGGCTTGCCGGCAAGGAGCGAGAGCATGCCGGGGATCATCTCGGCTGGGAAGAGGGCTCGGATGGCCGAGGCTGGCCGGAGCGCCACGGCGTCGGAGAGGAAGCGGGCCGGGTTGACCTTCTTGGCCTGCAGGGTGGTGCTGGCATCGCCGTTGCTGCCTCCGGCCTGCTTGGTCGAGAGGGGGACGGACTGCTCCATCGAGGGAGGGATGACGTCTGCCGTGGGGGCCATGGCTGCGGGTTCTGAGTAAAGATTGGTGACGAGTGTGGTTGGGCTGCTGAGCTAGCGAGGGCCGCTTGATGGGCAGACGAAGCTGGAAGCCGCCTCTTGGTCGCGGCTACTTGTAGGGCTGCTGTAGTTTATCGATCGGGTAGGTCTCGACCACGGGATGAAACGGAGCGCTGCTGTCGAGAGAGGCGTCGAGATCGATAGCTGAGACAGGGTGTTCCGGAGCAGATACCAGCGGTGCAAGTGCAAGTGAAGCTTTTACGAGTGGAAAGGAGGCAGTGAAGGTCGGCGAAGACTGTCCGATGCGTGCGTGTGTGCAGACAGAGCAAGAGGTAGGTGGTGGTGTGGGGGGCAGGCGACAACAATGGCTGGCGGGGATGGAGGTTGAGGTCGTGGCTGAGCTGGCGGAAAGGTGAGAGGAGACCTCTGGAAACGAGTCGGCCAGCCAGCATCGAAGGGCCTCGCCGCCGCCGCCGCCGTCGCCTCCTCCGTCACTTTCGGCCTCGGCTTCTTCCCGTGGCCTGGCTGCCGCCCAAAAAACCCATAACCTAAAGCCGATACTTCATCCTCTGTAGGCAGCCATCCCACTCCCTCGCCGCTGCGCCGCATCGACCTGCGGTCCGTGACCTCCACTGCACAGCACGTACGTACTCTGTTGGCCTTCATTGATCGAAGAGGAGCGCAGTGACAACGAGCCGGCCACCTGCGAGCGTCGCCACCGAGGGTTGGAGCGGGCCAGGCATGCTGGTGGGTTCGCCCATTCCTCGCCCTGATTTCCGCCTTTCTCTGACTCGCTCGGCAAGTCTCCGGCCGCCTCACGACCGACGGGCCCCGCTCGCCAGCTCCTCGTGGCCACGCCAACTGCAGGTTAGGTCTTGGCTCTGGGTTCGGGCTTTGGGAATTTTGAATTTTTTTTTCCCCTCTCGTGCTTGCCAGACCTGCCGCCTCGGATTTTTGGGCGGGCGCGGCGTCGGCAAAATAGCCGGAAGCTGGGCTGGCCCGCTTTCGCCCCGTTGCATGCCTTTGCTGCGCTCCGCAATTTCGGTTCATCGGTCTTTACTCCATCCCGAGGCCGACGCTATCGCATCTCATTCTCGCCCTGTGAACGGCGAGCAGGGACGACGACGACAACGGTGACGCCGGCGATGGCGACGGCGACCAGACAGAGTAAGAGTATGAATGAGGTGGTGGGCGTACGTGCAGCACGCATGCCCGACGGCGGCTCAAGCTCAAGCATCACAGTCGCCGAGTTCGGGATCGCGTCGACGACCTCGCAGGGGAGCCGACTCTTGCGGAACCGGTCGCTCGATCCTTCACGACCTCATCTCAACGGACGATGCTGTGTCATCGCTCGAGGCTCCTTCATCTGCCATGACTCGGCCTCGGTCGACGACGAGGTGCGGGGGAGGGCCTGCGGACGGGCAGCGTCGCGCGCAGCCTGCCTCGAAGCCGCGCGTAGCCGAAAGCCGAGGCCGGATCGGCCGACGTAGAGCCGACCACCAGCGACACTATTTCCACCATCACCCGTTGCAACGAACAGTGTTTGAGCATCGTTTGAGCATTGTATACGATGATGAGCAGCGGTGGTGATGGTGCCATGCCTTGGCACCACGTGGATGATGTCTCGTCCTTTGCGATAGACTCTTTCCGGGACCCCGACAGTGGACCTCTATCCCTGCACCTGTACGCCCTCGGTCGACTTGGCCGTCGCCTGCTGCGAGAGCAATCTGCTGTTCTCGCGTTCGCGGTACCACGTCCGACCGCCCTCAAAGATGCCCCAGCCGATGGCGCTGCTCGCTGCCTTTCTCGCGCACCGCAGCCCTAACCCATCGAGGAGCGCTCGAGGACCGGACGTGGCCAAGAGATGCCGCGTCATGGCGACAAGAGAGGGCCGTGGCGGCCGACCGGGTCCCAATGGCTTGCCGCTGATCTCGGCCAGCAGCTCCGGCGGTGTGGTCTGCATCCTCGTCTTGATGATGTCGAACGGATGCGTCAGGACAGTCGCCAACGTACCGGCCACCAGACCTGGGAGCGCACGGACAAAGGCAACAGGTCAGCAAACAATGCCTCTGAGGCTCTCGCCTTCCGCTGGCACGCTAGCGTAACTCACCGCTCGCCGTCACGACGCCCCAGCTGCCCGTCCCGGACCCTGCGGACCCGTCCGCGCTTCTTGTGAGGGCTGCGAGCTCCACCTTGCACCCTTCATACAGCGCCAGGTAGAGCCCGGCGTACGGTGCGTCTCTCAACGCCGTGGCAGTGAACCCCTGGAAGAAGCCGCGGAAGCCGCCGTGCGAGTAGATCTCACGCAGCGACGAGCGCAGGGACGACTCGGCGGTGTGCGAAAAGTTGGACGACTGGAAGCGCATGAGGGGCGTGCACGGTCAGCGATGCAGTGCGGAGCGACGAAAGGCAATACAGGCGAACGGCAGCATGCTCACCTCGAATCTGGCCTTGACCACCGTCACCGGGCTGAGGATGAAGCCGACGGCGACCCTCGCCACGGCGCCCGTCGCCAGGTTGCCGACCGTCGAGAGCTTCGCCATGGTGCTCGTGCTGCCGCTGCCACTTTCGAGGTTGGAGCCGGTCACCGAGACAAAGGGCACCTGGTGCGTCGACGCAAAGGCACGCAGGCTGGACACCGAGTAGAAGTAGAGGGCGACGCCGGGCACGTTGCGCACGACCGTCGGCACCGTCCCTCGCCACAGGCCCCGCCACCCTTGCGTTTCGACGATGTTGACTGTGACATTCTTGAGCTTCTGCGTGCGCGACAGGTGGGCTAAGCTCGCCGAACGGGGCTTGCGAGACTCGGATGCGTCGAGCTGCTGTAGTCTCGTCTTGAGCAGGTCGAAAGGCTGCAGCAGGATGCACGATGCACCCCCCGAGAGCGCACCGAAGGCGAGCGTGGCGATGGGCGAGACGCCGCCCTTGCCCTTGCTCTCGCCGCCCGCCGCCGCCAAAGACTTGGCGGGTGTCGATGGATTGGCGACCGACATGGTCGGCTGCGAAGCGGATGGAGGACGAGGGGAGAAGCCTGGTGCTGGTCAAGAGCGCGTGCAGAGGCGCTCGAGTCGGACGGCGACGTAAGGGCAAGGCGAGGAGTTTGAAGCTGGCGGAAGCGGGTGTTCTATACCATGCTAGCTGAGGGCGATTCGAGGCGTTGTGGCGAAAGCGAAGATCGAGGGTGTTCGTGGCGACGACGAATGGGCTACAGTAAATGTGATGGACGAGAGGCAGGCCGGGTTGGCGGTCAGCCACAGCAGGGGATGGCCCGGCCAGGAAGCTTCCCGGAGCGAAGGGTGCGCATGGGGGGTGATCGACGCCTGCAGCTTTCGGGTCCAGTCCTCACGTAACCGTGCGCCGACCCAGAGGACCGCGTCCCGCTCCACACGAGCCGGCACGTCTGGCGCGTTGCAAAAGCGCCACCGCCACCAAGACTCTCACGCGCCCGCCACGCCGGCCCGGCGAGGCGATCCTTGACACGGGCATCCCGAGGTGAGGGTTGGCTGTGCACACACAGTCAATCGATTCGTATCGTAGCAGTCACCATGGCGGGCCCAGTATGAGACTCTCTCCTCGTCAGTCTGCCCTCTAAGGAAATCGCTTGCCCATCTACTTGGGCGTGAGGACGATCTCGAACCTCTTGCCCTTGGATTCTTCGGTGACCTCGATGGTGATGAGGCCGGCCTCGGCATCGTCCGATGCCTTGGCGACCGAGCTGTCGGGGCCCTCGATCGACACATTGACTCCCGAAGCGTAGAGGCGCTTGTTGTCGTACTTGATCTGGAAGCTGTCCGAGCCCTCGCCTGTGGGAGTCGAGAATCCGAGAGGACGAGCACAGCAGGCAAAGGATCAGCTACAACTCTTCAATGCACGACGGAGCCGTCACGCTGCGCTCGGCCAGACTCACCAATGTAGTAGCCGGTCCACTTCTTGGCGCCGCTGGTCGCGTCGGTGCCGTCACCGTCCTCGTACTTGGCGTGGAGCATCGACGTCTTGTTCCGCTGCTGGCCAGAGGCGAGGATCTCGTGGGGGGCGTGGCCGTAGGTGTAGAAGGTGTCGCGGACACTGCCGACGCACATGGGCGTCTCGGTGGCGATCATCGAGACGACCGAGGTCGGGATCGAGCCTGTCGATGGGCGCGAGCAGTGTGCAAGAGAGCCAGTCAGTGGGACGTCCATCTGCTTGCTAGGAGGGTTGCATCCCTCCCCGTCGCCCGCCAAGGCTGTCATCGGGGGAGGCGATGGCACATCTGCACTCACCGTTCAGGTGTACCTTGACGACGTACTCGACCTTGGTGTTGCTGCCCTCCTTCGTGAGCTTCCACGCGCTCACCTCGAGCGTGGCGCGGGTCCGGCTCTTGGAGTACGAGGCGTCCTCGCTGACGTACTGGTCGGCCGAGGTCGAGGTCTGGACAATAATGATCTCGTCGCCGTCGTTGTTGATGAGGTTCTCCTGGAGGCCGACAATGTCGCGCGCCCACACAAAGTACGACGGCGACTTCATGACGCTATAGAACATAAAGCTCTGCGGTCCGTAACGCTCCAGCGCTGCAAAAGGTCGAGGGTCCACGGCGTGCGGGTCAGCGTCGAACGCACCGGCCAGACGAGCTCAGGATCGACGACGAGGCGTGCAGACACTACTCACACTCTCCGAAGTCGAAGCGGCCGTCCCACCTCTTCCTGAAGCCGGGGATCTGGACGACGGAGAAGACCTGGAAGGGCGTGGCATTCTCGACGATGGTCTCGCCCTTGACCGTGGGGACGTCGTAGGCGTTCTCCGGGTTCGTCTTGCGGTAGAGCTTGACGCCTTCCTTCTCGCCGGCGTCTTCCCAGTTCGAGGCCGGGTCGTTCTCGGTCTGGAACTGCTTGAGCGCCTTGTCGAGCGTCTCGCGGTGTGCGGCGGAGAGCTCGAGGTAGTCGGCCTGCTCGGTCACGTCGGGGATGTGAATCGACATTGTTGCGATGGAGTAGCGCTGGCTGTGAGGGAAACGGTCGAAATCGAGCGACGGGGTATGGATGGAGGAGCAAAAAGGGGGCCGAGGGCGATGATGGTGGTCGGACGTCAAACCCGTCTTCAAGGCAGGTGCGGCCAAAAGAAGTTGAGCACCGGCCTGCGGCTCTCGAAGAGAAGAGGGACGCATGGAGCCGCGCTGCCCAGCTAGCATATCCGCTCGAGCTAAGACGCAGGCGGCAGGACCCAGCATACAGCGGCGGCTGGCAGGCGGACCTGCCGCCCTCCTGGCGATGTCGGCAAGCAGGCGGGGTCGCGGGGTCGAAACAGCCAAAGTGGTCAGCCTGCAGGGGCCCCAAGGCAAGCAAGCCTTCCTCGTCGATCCGCCTTTGCACATGAAAGCTGCCGACTGAAAAGCGTGCCCGATTCAAAATAATCGGGGGGTCACCCAAAAATTCGGATTGCGGGTAAGACGGACAGCTTTTTGCACCCCGGCAGTCAGCCAGCCAGACGGCCAGCCAGCGGGATGGACCCAGCTCGAGGGCTGCAGGGACCGCCTCGACAGGCCAGCTGGAACGATTTTGGGGAGCACCCTTTGCTAAAGCGCTCAACTTGCCCGCCCACCACATCGTCCTGTTGCGCCGAAGCTGCCTACATCGACCGACGCACCACCCTATCACGGCGAGGCGGATCCGGTCTAGCGTGCTAGCGAGGAGTCAACGAGGGGCGTCGAGCCACGAAGCCTTGCTTGCGCCGACACACACAATGCTGTCCCGCTTCGTCCAGCTGTTTCTGCTGGCGTCAATGATCCTTTTGATCCCTTCGCTCCTCTACCTCAGCCACGGCCCATCGAACACCTACCTCGATCCCAAGACCGGCCTCGCCTATTCCTCCGACTCGATCCGTCCCGACGTCAACCCGCTCTCGAACTCGAACCCGCTGGCGCAGACCTCGCAGGGCGATGGCGTCGATGCGCAGCAGGCGCACAAGTGGTCCGGCTGGACCTGGAGCGGCGTCAACAGCGATGTGATCAAGAAGCCTGTTGAGAAGTTCGAAGGCACCTGGAAAGGCTGGATGGACGCTTGGAAGAGCAGCGGCAGGGAGACCTCACCACTGGTGCAGTCGAGCACCACCGACGGCTCCGGGGCCGCAAAGGCGGCGGTGGCGGGGTCGGCGGACGATGCAAAGGTCAAGAGCCCTTCGAAGCAGACGGAAGAGCGCATCGACGGCATCATCATGCCAAAGATGGGCAACGCGACCGCAAAGTAAGTTTGGGCTGGAGGTCCACGTCAATGAGAGTGAGGACAAGTCCGGGATAGCTGACACTCTTGGCCGCTGGCTGCTCCTCTCACTCACCCACTCCGCCGCCGCAGAGCCGCGCTAGGCCGATCGACATGGCACTTTCTACACACCATGACGCTGCGCTTCCCGGACAAGCCGACAAAGGAACAGCGAAAGACGCTGCAGACGTTTTTCGAAAATTTTGCGCTGCTCTACCCGTGTGGCGACTGCGCGCGGCACTTCCAGGCGCTGATCAAGGAGTTGCCGCCACAGACGGGCTCGCGGATGAACTCGGCACTCTGGCTCTGCACCGTGCACAACAAGGTCAACGAGCGGCTGGGCAAGCCCGAGTTTCCCTGCGACAAGCTCGACGAGAGCTACGACTGCGGTTGCGGCGACGATCCAAAGGCCTCGGCGGGCGGCACGGCACCGGCCGCAACCTCGACCGCGCCGGCCGCGGCCAAGTCGACGCCGAGCCTGAGGCCCTTCAATCTTGCTCAAAAGCAGCGCCTCGAGGATGGCGTCAGGGCGCTCGGCAGGAGGGCGTTGGAGTTTGGCAGCGTCGGATCGATGGACGAAGGGGCGCAGCATTTGGCCAGACGCATGACGGACGAGTGCCTTTGCAGGGTGCGGTGATGGGCCGGTCGCTCGGTGCCGCGGCCACGAGGTGTGTTCGTTGGCGTTCTGTTCGCCGTTGATGTCGAGGAGCGCCATTTGCCCAAGCGTCGACGGCCGGGTATCGTAATGGGATTCGCAGCCAGCGCAGGATCGAATCGAGCTTGTCCGCTGTCGCTGCTAGGCATGTCTGGGGCGAGCCCTAGCCTGACGGGGAGCAAGGCGGGGCAGCCTTGGTAACACATAGTCGACGCCACCTGTGCTCGTCGACCTACAGCCTCACAGCGTGTGGCAAGTAGCGTCGGATCCGCAGCCCAGCAGGCAGGCAAGGATGAGCCCTTACCCCGCAATCTGAATCTCGAGGCGGCGGCAGCAGCAGGCAAGCAAGGCAGGGCAGCCAGGCAGCTGTGCGGAAATTCCCATCATCGTCCGTCAAGCTAAGCTGCTGCTGCTGCTGCTGCTGCTGCTGCTGCTGCTGCTGCTGCTTCGCTTGAATCCAAAACTCCGCCTGCGTGCTTGTTGCGCCAACGGGGGAGGGAGAGGCCCTGGCTCGAGGCGCCGCTGCTCGCTTGGCCCCGTTCTCGCCTGGCCTGGCCTGGTTTAGCAGCCGCCGCCTCTCTTTGTGGCTCTCGCCCTGGGCTGCCTACTACTCTGCCTCTTTCTCTCTCGGGTGCAGGGCCAGGGCCATTCACGCCAGACTTCATCGAGGATCGACCCGAAGAGAGGGCAGAGGCCAGGGTGGTGTGGCCTGGCCAGGCACCCCCCGCAGCCCTCTCCGGTCGCCGCCGCCGCCATCATCACCGTCACCATCTCCGTCTCCATCACCACCTGCCTCCTCCCCTCTCCTTCTCGTCACTGCCTGCTCTCCTGCCCCTCGATACCCGCACTCTCCTCGCTGTCCGCCGTCGCGTGCTTGTCACCGCTCCATTGGACTCTCGACGCGCTCAAAGCAGCCACCTTCTCTCCTTTCCCCTCGCCCCGTCGCGCGACTAGTCAGAACCGACCTCTTTGACTCTGCATCTGCCCATCCAACAGCGCCTTGTCCTTCCACAACCTTTGGAATCGATGATGATGCCGACACGCTCCCTCCTCGGCGCCAAGGCAGCGCTCTCTCTCGTCCTGCTCGTCGCCTCGCTTGTCGCCCACGTCTCGGCGCAGCAGGAATCGTCGCGCTCCGTCGACCCTCTGAACGGCAGCACCCTCCCCACCAACATTTTCACCCCCGCCCAGACCTTCACTCCCGTCACCACATTCGCCCAGGCCACTGGCGGTCAGCAGACGGTCCTCACCGGCGTCGGCCCCTCGGTCGACCCGGGCACCGCCCTCTTCACCTACACCCGGCCCACCGCCTCGGTCGCTCCCACGCCCAACGACGCTCTCAGCGCTTCTCTGGCCTCCTCGGGATACCCCACCGCGACAGACGCAAGGAACCTCGCTCCTAGCCCCAACAATCTTCAGGTGAGTGGATCGCAGCCAGGTGTTCAGCCGCATCGCAGCGCCTCGGATGCCATCCACCCGCTGACATCCATATAAAACCGGTCATGCACCTTGCCGCGCTGGCCCCTTCCGTGACAATGAAACCGCCCATAGATCGCCGACGACGCCGTGCGGACCGGCGCCTCGCTCTTTGCTCTGGCTGCTAGCGCGGCGGTCGGGGCGCTCCTCGTCTTCGGTCTCTAGTGGCGGCGCATCCGACGGACCTCTCCTAGCTCCTCTCCCTTCCTCGCACCCATCTCAACATCACGCTCGTTTTCCCCTACCTCTGCCTCTGTCGCGCCCGCTCCCTTGCCCACTTGGCCCTTGCCTGCCAGTCCCTCTGTTTCTGTTGTATACCCTCCTGCCTTGCTCTTCGTACTCGATGTCATCTTTGCTGAATCGGCTCCTTCTGCCGTCGGGGCGCGCTTTCGAGGCGGAGTACCATCTCTGTCTGTCCTGATCGCTTCAGTGTGGCAAGGAGCCGAATTCCCATGGCCATCGACGAGATCATGATGGCATGCGTACCTGGCAGCAGAGGCGCTGCTTCTAGCACCGCCGACTCAGCCTTGATGGCAGGCTGGGTGGTCAGACAGCCTCGCTGCGGTCCGTCGCCTTCGGGACATGCGAACAACGCTACCACGATGACCGAGGTAGATCGAGCTCCCTCATGCTTTGCCTTGCCATGCGTCGGGAAGCCGTAGAAGTACATCATTGGATACGATAGCCGGCGAACGTGCTAGCCCAAGTCCCTAGAGCGAGCCGTCTGAACCGGGCGCGCCCGTCGCTTTCATTCCGCCACGCCGCTCTCGACGGTACTCGTGCCGCCGGGTGGCGTATTCCCCGATGCAGCGGGCGGAGCGTTTCCTCTGAACCTCTTGCGCATATCGAGCTGCGATTGAGCAGGCGTATGGAGCAAGAAGCAGGCTAAGTCAGCGTGTGCCCGACCTACGCCACAAACAAGACGGTTAGCGAGGAGCGGCAGGACGTACCATGCCGCGCCTGCACTCGACGAAGCTCTTGTAGAGGTGCTGGCACTCGATGGGCAGCTCTGCCATGTGGTGCTGCAGGCAGTCTTGCGCGCTCCGCTTGTCGACCAGGAAGCAGTCAGTCTTGAGGACGCACGCTGCCAGGTCCTGACGGATGTGTTGGCACTGTCCGGCGTCGACGAGCGGGACAAGGAACATGTCAGCGCGGCGTGGCGTGGGGAGAGCAGAGATGGCGCAGCGAGGCACTCACTGAGCCGACCATGTTGTGCGATGCTGTGGGTTGCAATGGAAAGCGGTTGACTGCGATCAGGAGGCAGGGCGAGGTGTGGCCGAAGTGATGGACAGCGAGGAGGATCGTGTGTGGTCAGCATCGAAAGGCGAAAAGGCGCCGAGGGGGGCACCGAGGCCAAGGTGGAGAAAGAGGCGAGCGGCAACGCCCCGACTTCCGAAACCTCGGCCAGGAAGAAAGTTGGGGGCCCTCGAGCTCCTGCATCCTCCCCTCCTTCGTCTCTGCCCTCACTTGCCATCACGACCACGCAACGACGACCTGATCGGCCAGTCGCTCCCGGCCTGAGCTGACTGCCTACGATGGCCTCTTCGACCGATCTATCGGCTCTGGCCGATCCGACACGCCGCCTGCCCCCACTACGCTCCGAGCCCTCGGCAGTGCCGCTCTTCACCGCCCTCTGCCACCTGTCGGAGCTCTACTCTCCCCACTCGCTCACCCCTTCGGAGCGACGAACGCTCGCTTCGCTATCCAACCCATCGTCGGAAGGTACCGACTATCGGGATACGGAAGCATGGCAGGACGCTCTGGACAGCGCGAGGGTCGACGCGAGCGAACAGCGCTACGCCATGTCCTGGCTCACCCGCCTCATCGCTACCGGTCTACCCTGGATCGACGCCGAAGAACACCATGGTAGCCAGATCGATGCCGAGACACTTCTGGATCTAGCTGGAAGGGTGCTGGGGGGACAGGCCGGTCTGGAAGAGGCGGGCGCCATCACGAGGGACTTCTACTTTCCCCTCGAACGATCCGTCATCGAGATGCAGGCCTCGAGCAGCAGCCTCGGTGCGGTGCACATCCACATGCGCGACGAGAGCCTGCCTCCATCAGAAAGCAAGCCCCGACATCGTCTAGAAGGAGAAGGCGGAGAGATCACGACGAACGGCGACGACGATGGGGAAGAAACCTCGAAGAACGCCGCGGCGGCCGTGGGCGTGCAGACGTGGGCGGCCGCCGTCATCCTGGGCGACATGTTTCTGCGGCGTCCCGACCTCTTCCATGCCGATTTTGTCTCCCTCGTTGATCCACCCTCCTCTGGGAATGAAGGCGCTGCCGCTCAGCAGCGACAGCGACAGCAGCGACGACGAGGCAAGATGCGGATCCACGAGCTGGGCGCCGGTACGGGCCTGGTGGGCATGGCAGCCGCCAAAGGCCTGCAAAACCGCCGCTGGCCCGCCACCGTGACAATGAGCGACTTCCACGACCAGGTTCTCGATAACCTCCGCTTCAACCTCGAGCAGAACTTTGGCACGGCGGCGTTGGCATCGGCATCGCAAGATGATGTGGTTGATGTCCGAGTCGAAAAGGTAGACTGGTCGGTGCTTCACCAACGGCGTCTTGCGCCCTCTGCCGCCACGGCTGCAGACGAGGGAGCAGAGGGGCGGTCGCACCTGCTTCTCCTGGCCGACGTCATCTACGATCCGCAGCACGCCACCTGGCTCAAGTCGAGCATCGAGACGCTCCTCCTCCGTCCCCACGAGGAGGAGGGGGAGGTGGAGCAAGACGAGGACCGGGCTGGGTCTACAGGAGCGCGAGGCAAGAGCGGCCGGTCGAGGGCGCACATTCTCATCGCGCTACGCACAAGCGGCAAGTTCGAGGGGCTGCACAAGACGGTGGAAGAGGTGTTTGGTCGTCTCGATTCAGATCGACCTCCGGGTGGCGACGGGTTGCAGTTGCGGATCCTAAAGGTTACAGAGTTGCAGAAGCGGCAGAGGCTGGGGAGGGACGATGAGCAGGGGTATCTATGGTTTGAGATCGGCTGGATCGCTGTCTAGATTGGGGGCGTGCGGACGGTCGATGCAGAAGATGGGGCGGAAGGCGAGGGCGTCGGAAGGACGCGGGGCTACTTGGACGACTTGGCCCTTGTATCGAGCACTTGCAAGAACCTGCGCGCAGCGGTGCAGAGGCGACCGACGGGTCAGCTTGGGTCTCCTACGTCGCCACATGTTGAATCTTCCTGGAGAAGCCAGGACGGACGCGCCACTCACTTTTCAGTCGGGATCTGCACCTTGCCGAATCCCATCGTCTTTAGCCGCTTCTTGCCCTCCTTTTGCTTGTTGAGGTGCTTGAGCTTGCGCTCGTAGTGACCGCCGTACAGTCCGGCGGTGACGTCCTTGCGGTAGGCGCTGAGCGTCTCGCGCGCCAGCACCTTGCTGCCTCCGAAGCCGGCCTGGATGCTGACCTCAAACTGCTGGCGCGGCACGACCTCCTTGAGTTTCTTGACCCAGCTTCGCGCCGTCGAGATGGCCTTGGAGCGGTGCAGCACCATGGCGAGCGCGTCGACGGGCGCGCCGCTCACCCAGAACTGCAGCTTGACCAGATCCGACTCGGCATAGCCGTCCTCGACGTAGTCAAAGTTGGCAAAGCCCGACGAGCGCGACTTGAGCTTGTCGAAAAAGTCGCTCACAATCTCGCCGAGCGGCAGACGGTACTTGATCTCGACCTGCTTCAGGCCTTCCTTTGCGCCGCCGTCCTTGCGCGTGTTGCTGAACTCGACCATCTGGAAGTCGAGCTGCTCGCCGCGGTGCTCCGAGCAGAGGCTCATGATCTCGCCCGTATACACCTCTGGACAGCGCACGGTGCCGAGCACCATGGGTTCGGACAGCTCGACGACCTTGGACTTGCGATCCGCATCCTCGGGGAAGTCGATGGGGTTCGAGATAATCTCCTCTCCGCGCGACGGGTCCTTCCACTGCACGCGGTATGGCACCGACGGCGACGTGACGAGGATGGCGTGGCCATACTCGTCCTCGAGCCGCTGCCGGAAGACGTCGAGGTGGAGGAGTCCGAGGAAGCCCAGCCGACAACCTTGGCCGAGGGCCATCGACGACTCGCGCTGCACCGTGACGGAACGGTCGTTGAGCGCCAGTCGGTTGATTGCCTCCTCGAGCTTGAGAAAGTCGGTCGTCTCGACTGGGAAGATGCCGGCATAGACCATTGGCACCGTCGGTGCAAAGCCCTCGAGCGGCTCGACCTTTTCGTGCGCCAGGTGGAACGTGTCGCCGATGAGCGCCTCGCCCATGTCCTTCATATTGGCAATAATCCAGCCGACCTGTCCCTTGCGCAGCACCTCTGTGGGCACCATCTCCGGGTGGTTGACGCCGAGACTGAGCACCTCGTACTTCTTGCCTGTATGGCTCGATGTGATGCGGTCGCCCTTTTTGACTGCGCCATCGGCGATCGAGACGAGCGAGACGACGCCGCGGTACTGATCGTACCAACTGTCAAAGACGAGCGCGCGGAAGCCAGGGCCCTCGCGCCCTTCCAGCTGGCCGTCCTCGGTGCCATCGGGTGCGAGTGTCCGTTCTACGAGCGCGCGAAGCACTTCGTCGACGCCCTGTCCCGTCTTGGCCGAGATCAGCAGCGGCTCCTGGCCGGGCATCGTCGTGTCGAGGCCGAGGACCTCCTCCATCTGCAGGACGCAGCGTTCCGGGTCGGCAGCGGGCAGGTCGCTCTTATTGAGCACGGGGACGATGAGCAGGTCCCGCTGCCTCGCCAGCTCAAAGACGGTGATGGACTGCGCCTGCACGCCCTGGGTTGCGTCGACGACGAGCAAGGCGCTCTGGCACGCGCTGAGGCTGCGGCTGACCTCGTAGGAGAAGTCGACGTGGCCGGGGCAGTCGATGAGGTTGAGGAGGTACTTGCCCGGCTTGGGACCGACCTGACCGTCGCGCGGGCCATCGTAGTGGTAGACCATGCTGACGGCCTGGGACTTTACGGTGATGCCGCGTTCGCGCTCGACCTTGAGCTTGTCGAGGACCTGCTTGTTGGCATCGTCCTTGGATATGGTGCCGGTGAGCTCGAGGAGGCGGTCTGCCAGCGTCGACTTGCCGTGATCCACGTGAGAGATGATGGAGAAGGTGCGTGGCTCGAGGCGGTCGAAGGGGATCTGGTGTGAGGGAGAGGAAGCGGACGACTTGGAGGGCGACGGTGGCGAAGGTGCGGCGGCATTCGCTGCTGCCGGTGATGATGCTCTAGTGGACGCATGTCTCTGATGCGTGGAGGGAGATCTGCGGTGGCATGGGGAGGGGCGGGAATGGCTGGCCAATGATCGAATGGCGCTGCGTTGCTGGACGAGCGGTGGCGAGGGGCGAGGTGTGGCAACGAGGCTTGCCCTGAGCAGCGCCCTCTGCGCCCACAATCTGGCAGAGGACGACGATGCGGCCATGCTTCGGTCAACGGCACGGCTTGCTTCCGACGAGATGGATAACCAGAGGACCAAGGCAACAACGGTGGCGGAACGAGCCGAGCGGAGGCAGACGGCGAGAGAGGAGAGGCGATAGAGAGCCGGAGGTGTTGGAGAGATAGACTTGCGAGCCAGTCGAGACTCGCTTCCCTCGCAGACCGAGCAAGAAGAAATGCACAGCCTCGGGATTCGGGCTCAGGAGCCCAACCAGACGGCACAGCCCCGCCCACGCCCGCGCCAGTCTCCCTCCTGCCTGACAAGGCTGTGCGCAGGGCGGTGCTCCCCCTCCACCTTGACTTGGCCCGTCCGAGGGTCAGCTGCTTCGTGCGTGATGCAACCACGGCAAGCTTCCGTCGTGGTTGGACGTGGCCGTCCCGTATAAGAAAGTAGCCAGGGTCCGCTGGATCCTGCCCTTCCTTTCAACCACCATCCCACGGCCATCCGCCCTCTCATCACAGACGCCAAAGCTACGTACTACTCTCTTTCTCCCACAACCGCACCGCAGCCAACACCGCACGCACGCCATGGGTTTCCTCAGCAACCTCGCCGGAAAGGCGCCCGGCGCAGCCGCCCCGCTCGCGCCCGTGCCCCGCCCCATTGGCGTCATCCCGCACTTTACCCAGCACTCGACCCAGATCGCCCTCCAGGTGCGCGAGCAGAAGATGTCGATGAGCGGCGACGACTTTTCCGTCAAGGACGCCGTCACCGGCAACACCATGTTCAAGGTCGACGGCTCCTACTTTTCCATGCGCGACAAGAAGAACATCACCGACGCCTCGGGCAACCCGCTCTTCACCGTCAAGAAGAAGCTCATCGCCATCCACTCGACCTACGTCGGCACCTCGCCCAAGACCGACGACGTCATCTTCACCGTCAAGAGCTCCTTCAGCCTCGGCACCAAGCTCACCGCCACGTTCAAAAACGTCGCCGGCGACGGCCAGGAGACTGAGCTTGTGCTCCGCGGCGACCTCCTCGACAGGAGCGCCGAGATCACCACAAAGGATGGCATCCCCGTCGCGCGCATCGCCAGGTCCTTTGTCAACGCGGGCGAGCTCCTCTGTGAGTTTCCGTCCCGCGCTTCGTTTCGTCCCGTGCGCCCGAGAATTGAAGGCTGACGCCAGCTCATCACGATCCTGTTGCCGCCCGATCCGCTTTCCGGTTTCCGCTCCGCAGTCGACAAGCAGACCTACGTCCTCACGGTGGCCCCCGGCGTCGATGCCGCCCTGCTGCTCGCCATTTGCATCTGCCTCGACGAGAAGGCCAACGAAAAGTAGCGTGGTCCGCCAGTCTAGGCGGTCAGGAGCTCGACGGTTCCGCGTTGATCGGCGCGATCCGACCACATCCACCCACGTTCACAGCCATGCAAATCAATTGAAAGGAAGGAAGCACCGATACCCCCGACCCACCCCTACTGTAACTTAGTGTCGATACCAGCGCCATTGCAGTCCGTCTCACCGATCTTTCAACATAATCACAAAGGCTTGAACCCGCGGGAAAACGGCTGGTCAGCTGTCCTGCCTGTAGAGGCCCCACCTGTCTGTGTCTCAGCCTTGCAAAGACGACGAAGGCTAGCTTGGGCATGACCTGGCATGCTGCCGCAAACCCGAGCCTTGCCCACTCCCGACCATGAATGCGCCCTTGAAGTGAAACCGAGAGCTTCTGGTCATCCGTCCGCAGGTTCATGGTCGAGACGGGATCCAGCCACCTCCAATCTCCAGTGCAGACGGAAGCATGCCATCTCTGGGCATGCTGCTGCGCCAGGCAGGCTGGACGAGCACCTCTTGTTTGGCCTCGGCACGGATAGCCGGGCCTGCTTCGCGCCCGCCGCCGGGTCCTCGTCCAAGGATCCGACCGAATCACGCCAGAAAGCGGCTCACTCGAAGGCACGAGCAGAGGCAGGACACCGACCAACACCATGCTCGCTGGCCAGGCGCGCCAATAAGAATAACAATAAGGATTCCCATGTACGTATGCGCGACTGGGCCCTTTTTGGCCTAGCGTCGTACGGAATGCTAGCCGGCGAGGTGGGGGCAATGTGAGCTTCGGCTGCCTTGTGCGCCTTTACATACACTCATACGTGTCGCGAATGCAGATGACCGTCGCTGCTGTCCGGCTCGGAGCCTGTCTGCCTGACCTCGGACGAGGCTAGTGTGAACAACCCACCTCTTCGCCGCCGAGATGGTCCGCTGCCCCACCTGGCATAGCGAGCGCGACATCTGACAAGATGGATATAAGTAAATCCAACCGGTAGGGACAATATCTGTGGACCATCATCATCCCCGCGTACCCCTCCGAGCTCTCTCCCAAGTCGCTCCCTGCCAATGCCTTCCCCTCGCCGCGCTGGCGGCAGTGACCGGAGGCGCCTGGCGTCTCCGCATCCTTTGCTCCTGCTGCTGGCCCTGGCCTGCCTCCTGATCTCGACCCTTGCTCAGCCTAATCAGCGCTCCTTCCACGCCGAACCTCTTCATCATCTACCTCGACAGCATGTTGACCCGACCTCGAACTTCCTAGACAATGACAAGAGGGGCCCTTCCCAGCCCAGCGGCAACAACAAGTCCGGTCCCGCTCGTCTCGACGGCAGTAAGCAAGGGCCTGCGCAAGCCAACACCGGCAGCAACAACGTCGCACCCGCTCAGCCAAATCAGGGCAGCGACAAGGCCGCACCCGCTCAGTCTAGCAGCCAAAAGTCTGGCGTCGCTGGAAAGAATGGCGCGGCAAGGGACGCGTCGGACGATGCAACATCTGGAAATCTGACGAGCTATGTCAACGTGTTTGTCGGCACGGCGCAGAACGGCGACCCCGGTGAGTCGAGCATGCTCCTTCGTGCCTCTTGTCCGTCAAAGGTCCCTGGTGCTAACCTCGGCTCTGAAACTTGCGCCGGTTGTCTTCAGGAAACGTCTTTGCCGGCGGAACGGTGCCGTTCGGCATGGCCAAGGTCGGCCTCAACGTCGAGGGCTACTCTCCCGCCGGATACGTGAGCGACAACGTCCAGCCCACCCGTGGCGTCTCGCCCCTGCACGATTCGGGCACAGGCTCGTCGGACGGCTCGTATGGCAACTTCTGCGTCATGCCCGTGACGTGCAAGGGCAACGACCTCGACGCGTGCCCGACGCTCCTCGACTCGCGCCTCCGCTTCCGCAAGAACGGCACCGACGTCGGCCGTCCGGGCTACTTTGCCACGATGCTCAACAACTCGATCGGCATCGAGCTCACCTCGACCCGTCGCGCCACGCTCGAGCGCTATACGTTCCCCACGTCGCTCCTCGACAAGGAGGGCTCCACCGCCCACCTCGTGCTCGACTGGACCAACGACTCGCCCGGCACGTTCCGCAACGGCACGCTCGACGTCGACTGGCAGGCAGGTCGTCTCAAGATGAGCGGCTCGTGGCGTAGCAGCTTCGGCCCGAGCTTCTTCTCCTACAACGCCTATCAGTGCGTCGACCTTCTCTACAATGGCAAGCAGAACCTCGGCAACCACGCCGTGTTTGGCGGAGACCGACTCGGCATGGACGCGAAGCGCACCGACGTGACGCACTGGACGCGTATCCACCCCAACAACGGCCAGCCCATCCAGGCCGGCGTCGTCGTCGGCTTCAAGTCGGCTCCGGCCGGAGACAAGGGCCAGACGGTCACGATTCGCCGAGGCGTCTCCTTCGTGTCGGCCGAACACGCGTGCCAGAACATGGAGGAGGAGATCCCCGACTGGGACTTTGACAAGGTCGCCGGGGCCAGCAACGATGAGTGGGAGGACAAGCTCAAGAGGATCGAGCTGGCCACCGACACCGATCCGTACGTCAAGGAGCTCTTCTATACCTCTTTCTACCGCACCTTCCTCAGCCCGGTGAGTCCTTGCCACTGAAAAAAAATGGCGCGACGCGTCGTTTCTCACGGCCTGGCCTGCCGTCTCCTCGTACTTTCTGACCGCGTCGAGCCTCTGTCTCCTCTTCCATCCAACCCTCAAGAACAATGCTACTGAAACCGATAATTTGCGCTTTGACGGCGAATATTGCACATGGGACACTTTCCGAACGCTTTTTCCGTTCATGGCGCTCAGCTCGCCGCGCGATTTCGCCGACATCGTCGAGGACTACATCGATGGTTACAGGAAGGAAGGCTACCTGCCCGAGTGCCGCGCCAACCAGGTCAAGGGCTACGTGCAGGGCGGCAACCACGGTGTCGAGGTGCTGGCCGACTTTGCCAACAAGTACCGACACTACGGCGACTCGCTGGGCGTCTCGCTCAAGGAGCTGTACGAGGCCATGGTGCACGACATCGACGTGGCCTCGCCCGACTTTGAGTACGAAGGGCGACAGGCGGTGCCGTTCCAGAAGTACGGCTACATCCCCTACGGCTACCTAGACACGGTCTCGGTGGGCGAGCCGACCCGCGAGATTTCGAGGTCGCTCGAGTACTCGTACGGCGACTTTACGGCCGCCGTCACGGCCCAGACGCTCAACCAGTCGCAGGCCGACGTGGCGCGGTTCCGTGCCTCTGCGCTCAACTACCGGAAGAACTACGACCACAGCGCCCGGTCCGACGGCTTTAGCACGTTTGTCCAGCAGCGCTACGCCAACGGCACCTTCCGCCGCACCGACCCGACCACGTGCAGTCCCAAGGACACCGACTCGAAGCACTCGTGCTCGTTGCAGCCGGAAAACACCTGGGGCATCTACGAGTCGTCATCCTGGGAGTACAGCCTGTACGCGCCCCAGGACGGCGCGGGTCTAGTGCAGCTGCTCGGCGGCAAAGATACCTTTGAGCGCCGCCTCGACCACTTCTTCCAGGCGGGCTACTACCAGCCGGGCAACGAACCTTCGTTCGATACGCCATCGCAGTACCACCACATCGGCAAGCCGTACAAGTCGGTGCGCCGCGTGCGCAACGTCATCGGCACCTACTTTGGCCTGGGCACCGACGGCGTCCCGGGCAATGACGACAATGCGGCCATGGCCTCGCTGCTGTCGTGGTACCTTCTCGGCTTCTACCCGGTGCCCGGTACGCGCGAGATGCTGATCCTCTCGCCCCTGGTCCCGTCCTACACCGTCCACAACGAGCTGCTGGGCGACCTCACGGTGACGGTGACCAACTTTGATCCGCGCAGCGTACAGCGCGATGGCAAGCTGCCTTCGGGCGCGCGCGCCTTTGTCAAGAGCGTCAGGATCGACGGACAGCTCCATCCCTCCATCTGCCGCATCTCGTTCGACGACTTTTTCCCCGCCGCTGCTGCTGCCGCCGGTGGCTCCACGGTCAAGCGCAAAATCGAAATCGAGGTCACTAGCCAGGAAATCGACGGGTGCGGCCAGGGCGAGATGGCACAGCCCATGTCCCTCAGCACTGGCGGCTTCTTGGGTCAGGTCGGAGCCGCCGCGCCTGCGCCCGCCTCTGCTGGTCAGACCCGTCAGAAGAAGATTCGTTCCGCACGCCAGCCTTGACCGGGGGGGCGCTCCCTCTTATTATCTCGATACTCGCAGTTACGGCAAGGCACAGGTGTCTATATTCTCGTTCTAGATGAATCGAGAGTTCCGGCCGAGGTGCACAGCGCTCTCGAGAGCAATCACTGCTCGACTGAAGGTCTCTCTACTAATCGTCGTCCTCTTCCTCGTCCTCGTCGCTGTCGCCCTCGTCTTCCTCGCCGAGGAAGGCAAAGGCGTTGCTCCCGGCCTTTTTGAGCTCCATCTGCTTCTTCCTGCTCCGCTCCTCCTCGTCCTTCTTGACCTTTTCGAGGCGCTTCTCCTTCTTCTTGGCCTCCTTTTTCTCCCGCCGGATGGCGTCGACGTCGATGCTCAGCATCTCGTCGACGCCATCCTGGAGGACGTACTGCAGCATCTGCCTCTCGGCGTTGGAGAGTTCGGCCTCGTACCGTTCCAGCGGCGACGAGGTGGGCGAGGCGGACGAGAGGAGGATGCGGTGGAAGGCCTCGCCGTTGACGACTTGGCTCGGCGTCTTGTCGAGCACGCCGGGCACGAGGCGGAGGGACTGGGCGAGGTGCTGGCTCGAAATGAGCGTCAGTTGCAGCGACGTCTGCAGGTGGATCGAGCGTGTCGTCGGTGCTGCCCCCGTCGCCGCCGAGTCGAGCGAGAGGACGTAGGACGGCCGCGTCGCGCTCAGAATGGCAGCGATGATTTCGAGCTTCGTCCAGTTGGACTTGACGTACGACTCGCCCAGGCGTTCGCGTTCGCAGATGATGAGGAAGCGGAGCGTGGCGAGCAGCAGGAGGTAGCCCCGCTCCCAAGCATGGTCGCTCGGCAGTGACGGGGCGCAGTGGGCGTAGAGGTAGAGCGAGAGGCGCGTGTCCTGGTCTGCACCTGCGACCGGTGCAGCGGACGGTGAAGTGCCGTCGTCTTCTTTGCCGCTGAGGAACCCCTTCAGGGCTGCGGGCAGCTCTTGCTGCCTCGAGCTGGCCGACTCGGCGAGCAGCGTGCGGATCGGTAGGATCTCGCACAGCTCTCCGACCAGACGATCGCCCCGCCTCGCGTACTCGACCACGGCCGGAGGAGGCTTGGGGCCGGCCTCAGCCTCGTCGAGCTGCTCGTCGTCGCCGTTGACGGACCCCGGTCGAGAGGGCAGGTTCTCCGGATCGACATCCGCCGCCTCGTCTTCGCTGTATTCGACGTCCGACTCGGCGACCGAGGATCCGTCGACGCTCGAGGGCGGCGTCTGCACCTGCACCAGCTCATCGTCGTCGCCGTCCTCGTCGATCCAGCTTTTGCCCTTGCCGTACAGCTTGACCGGTCGGCCCTCGCCATCGACCTTGTCGCCCTGACCGTCGTCGTCTTCGATCTCCGGCTCCTCCATCGTCTCCCTGGCCCAGTCCATGCCCCATACCTCGAACAGCACCGCCCACAGCCACCTCCGCAGCGCTCGCGCGTGCGTGACCTGGACACTGCGGATGTCTGGGTCCTCGGACGACAGCTTGCAGAGGTAGAAGCGCTGCGTCAGTGCCTCGACGAAGCTCTTGTCAAAGCGGCCCGACGCGTAGAGCTGCTGATACTCGCGGATCAGCGACGCCCTCTCCTCGGACACCGAGGCTGCGGCAGACGACGAGGAAAAGTTGAAAAATTTGGCGTTGGGGCTGGAGAGGTGCGGCGCCGACGAGAGGGTGAGGAGCGAGTAGGTGCAGACCGACTCGATGATGCTGTCGACCACCTCGGCCTTTTCGCCGCTCGAAACGTAGCGCGCCAGCGCAGTATTCTCGGCCCGCGCCAGGATGCGTTCGACGACGCCCTGGACCATGTCCCGAACGGGGTCCACTGGCAAAGCAGCGAGGTCAGGGGCAGGGTGAGGCCCGCTGCGAGTGGGCGTTGCAATGTCCGATGCGGCCGAAGAGTAGCTGGATGTCATACCGCCAGCACGGGCGGTAAAGGCCAGCGGCCCGTTCCGGCGTGGCAGAGGCGTCGATGCGCCTGACCGCGCACCTGCAGTGGCTGGCGTCGAGCGGCCGGAGGCGACCCTCTGTCGCTCCTCCTTGAGTATCGCCGCCACCTTGGTGATCCGATCCGGCCCATTCGGCAGCGCCTGCCCGAGTATCTTGGTCTGGACTGCAGAAGAGTAGTCATTGCCGACGATGGCGGCAAACAGGGGAAGCATGCCCAGCGGGATCTCGAGCCTGGACGCCAGCTTCATGGGCGAGTACGAGGAAAACCTGACTCCTATCAACTCGCCCTCTTCGGCGCTCTGTGGCGGTCGGCTGGCGACCGTCTCCGGCGGCAATTCGAGCGACGATGCTGCCGCCCCTTGCGACGACTTGCCCCTCCTGCCCTTCTTGCCGACTTGCGCGAAGCCATCGTCGTCACCTTGCGCATCGCCAGCCTGGGATGCAGCCTCGACCGGTGCGGCCTTTGATGGTAGCCTGACGAGGTACTCGAGCGTATCGATGGGGACGTAGCCCTTGCAGCCGACGCCGCGGGAGCAGAGGATGAAAAAGTCGCTGTCGTTGCTGAGCGCCCAGCCCTGCATCCTCTCTGCCGTCTCTGCGACGGCCGAGTCGGCCTCGCACTCTGCAATGACGATCTCGACGCCCTCGTTGCGCAGCGTCTCGAGGGTGCAGTCGTAGAGGAGCGGCGGGACGATGCCCATCTGGGCCTGGAAGCGGACGCTGGAGCGGGACGTGGACCTCATAAAGGCCGAGTTGATGGAAGCGAGGTCGTTGCTGCGCTTGATGACGGTGGGCAGCTTGAGGGGCAGGTAAGGCCCGTCAAAGACAAAGACCAGGTCGAGGTCGGCGGAGCGGAGCGCCGAGACGACCGACGAGATAAAGGCCGAGTATCCGGCGTAGTCGCCGCCGCGCACATTGTCTGGGAAGTGTGCGAGAAAGATGGTGTAGATCCAAGCCCAGCCGTCGACGACCAGGGGACCGGGCCTCGTGCCGCTCGTGTTGGGCACGGGCAGCGTCACCTCGTCCGAGATGGCGCGCGACGCCGAGCGGACGAACGAGGTCAGGCCCTTGACGCCCATCTTTGGATATGGCGCGGGCGAGGAAGAGGAGAGTGTGTAGAGCGAGGGGCAGGGAGGCAGAGTCGGACCAGCGCCGATGTCCGTCTCGACTGGATGAGGCTATGGCGGATGAGGGGTAGAAGAGATGGATGACGAGACGAAGAAAGCCGGCAGCGCAGGAAGCGCAAAGTGGAGGCAGCCAGGCGCGGGCCGCTGCGCAGCGAGGCGGCTCTTCCGAAGCGGAAGCAGCCCGCGCCCCAGCTCCAGCCCGCCCACCTTGCCTGGCTGCAGCTTCTCGTTCCGCCCATCCCCTTTGCTTGGTTTCGCCTCTCGCACCGCCCAATGGCCGACCCGACACCATCGCAGCAGCCGGCCGCGTCGGCAGGTTCCGACTACCCAGCCTCCTCGGTGGCCGGCACGGTCCGCAGCTCTCGGGGCGATGTGGCCGAGCTCACCTTTGCGCCTCTCGACGAGGCGGCCGCCATCCGCGCCGTGTCGGATGCCGGTGCGGGCGCCAACGTCCTCTTCTCCGGCACCACCCGCGACAGTTTTCAAGGTGGGTATCGATGCGGAGCCCTCGCTCAGCTTCCCGGACTGCTCAGCGGCAGCGTGCTGATCTCGAGCGTTGGCGCCATCCCCTCCTGTCTCGACACGCAGGCAAGCAAGTGACACGGCTCGAATACGAGGCCTATACCTCTCTGGCCCTCAAGACGTTGCGGGGCATCCTCGAAGCGGCACACACGACCGCACCCTTCTCGGTATCGTCGCAGCCGCCATCACCATCGCCGCCTCCCGCATCACGCATCACCAAGGTCTACGTCTCACACCGTCTCGGCATCGTGCCCGTCGGCGAGACGTCGATCCTCATCGCCGTCTCGTCGCCGCACCGCAAGGAGGCCTTTGTCCTCGCAGAGTGGATTCTCGAAGAGGTCAAGAAGGAGGTCGCAATATGGAAGCGCGAGGTGTACGCTGATGGGCGTCAGATTGTCGCGCCCGATGGACAGGGGCCCGCCGCGGTCTGGAAGGCAAACTTCCCGGCATCGTAGCAGGCGGTGGGCGTTGCCATCGGGCAAAGCGTGCTGCTCCGCCGCTGGATTACAAGGGAAGGCATGTATGTACAGACCGCCTCTCGACCTCTTCCGCTCCTCTAGGGGTTCAAAACTAGTCATCGTCATCGCCGTCGCCGTCGCCAGTGTCGCGGCCCAGCCGCTCGTCGCCGCCCAGCAGCGTCCAGGTCTCAAACTCGCGTCCCTTGCCGTCCTTCTTGATGAGGAACTTGCCCCCGTCACCCTGCTCCTTCCATACGAGCTGCAAGCGCAGAAGCCAGACACGAGGATGGCAATTTGGGCGTCAGCGCGTGCGAAAGCGAGTCAGTGTCGGGGCCGGCAGCGCTCTGCTCACCTCTCGCGTCCTTCCGAGACTCTCAATGGCCGCGACGCGGTCCATGACCCGCTCGAGCTTGTCACCATAGCCCTCGGACTCGGCCACGCGGCGGAAGGCACGCAGCAACGGCATCGAATCGGCCCGGATGTGGTGGTGTCGGTCAATGTGAATGACCTGCAGGTGGTGCGCCAAGGAGCGAGTTATCAAGGGGCGTCAGTAGGGCAGCTGCATTCCATCAGACGCTCGCATCTTAGCCGCTCGCCGCTGGCGACACTCAACGTTGAGATGGTCGAGCTCCATGATGTAGTCCGGCCGCGTCATGGTCTGCCTGGCCTCGCCCCACGTCAGGTGCGGGTTGGGCACGTCGGCGCCGCGCACGTCGGCCTCTTCGTCCATCGAAGGGTCCGTCATGATCGACTCCGTTACCCTCCTGCGGTTCGAGGCGTCTCCGTCCTCGTCGTCCTCATCGTCGTCGACCTCGTCGCCGTCGTCGATGCCATCGGCGTGGTGCGGGTGCCTGTGCTTGTGCAAGCTCGTCATCTCGACCCCAGGGACGGGCGCGTTCCTCGCCTTGAACCAGCCGGCCTCTGGGTCGAGCTGGGCGGCGAGGCTGCTGTACTTGCTATCTTCGCCGCAGCAGAGAGACGCTGGCAGCCTGCCGCCGTGATCACGCAGCAGGCCCTCGAGCTCTCTCTGCTTCTCGGCGAGCTCGCAGAACAGCAGCCAGCTGCACGTGCTCCACTTCTGCTCGTCCATCACATCGTCGTCGTGGTCGTCGATGATGCCCGTCTTGCTGAGCACCCACTGCATGTCGTCCTCGACGAGCTGCCGCGCGGCGCGCAGCATGTCCTTGCGCCGCGCCACCTTGTTGAGCAGGCCCAGCCTGCCGCCGCAGATCTCGTAGACCTCGTGCAGCACGCTCGGATCCTGCGACGAGGGCTTCTCGCCCCAGTACTGCTTGCGGCAGCCGCGCAGCACGTTGACCGACTGCTTGCGGGTGAGGTCCTTGAACGAGAGCGTGTCCATCCTGTTCGAGGCCTTGCGCAGCACGTCGTAGACCCAGTAGTCTGCCGTCGTGAACACAAACGTGGCCGTCCCCGCCGAGGCCCACTTTTCGGCGCGCTGCTGGAAGATGTGCAGCAGCTTGGTGCCGTCCTCGTCCCGAGGAAGCAGATGGGCGCTGTTCATGACAATGATGGCAGGCTTCCCGGTCTTCTGCCGGCGGTTGATCAGGGCACGCTCGAGCTTGTGGAGCGCACGCTCGAGCTGCTGGAAGTACGACATGCCCGAAAGGTCAGAGAGGCCAAGGAGGGTGCCGAGGTAGTCGCGGTTCATGCTGTAGTTGATCGCCTCGGAGAAGCGGTCGACGACAATCGAGGGGTCTGGGTGTGCGTCGAAGAAGGCGCAGCCGTCAGCATCGATCTGGGCCATGGCCTCGATGATCGACGTGGCCTTGCCGGAGCCCTGAAAGATTGGGCAGTATCGAGGGGTCAATGGTCAGCGCTGGTGCGTGAGCTCGTGCTCGTCCCTAGGCTGCAAGAGCTGCGATCTCACCTTGCTGCCCATGACCAAGAAGTACCTGCCGCTCTCCTTCCCACAGACAATGCTGGCGATCATCTCGTCTTCGGGCCTGGGCGGGTTGATTTTCACGTGAGCGAGCTGATCGCCACTCTTGGCCAGGCTGAGCACGGGGTCATAGCCGGGATCGAAGGCAGCCTCCATCTTTTTGAGTACATGGGACTTGTACCAGGACTGGTAGACCATGGCGGCGACGCCGAGCAACAGGACGCCAGCCGAGGCGCCCATAGCCGTCTCCCAGCCGGTCGAGTTGAAAAAGGCCTTGACGTTGCCACCGTCATCGTCGTCTCGACCCCGATGGGACTGTCGGTGGTGCTGCTGATGCTGCTGATGCTGTTGGTTTTGAGGAGGGAGAGAAGGTGGTGGCGCAGCCGACTGCTGTCGCGGGCATGCCGTCGAGGTGAGAAGGCGCGAGGAAAGACGCCGCTGTGGAACGACTCGGAGGCTGGCTGTAGGCGTCCTGATGGCCGATGCCAGGAGGCGTGTGGATGCTGCGGCCCGCGACGCCATAACGGTCGATCCTTTCGCAGTCGGTGCGGAACAGTTGTGAGGTTTGTGTCAGAGGAGCACCAGAGAGGTCGAGGCGGGTCAGGAGGATGGCCCGATGAGAAGAACTAAAGGTCCCACGAGCCAGGTCCACGCCACGCCCTGCCGGCGACTCCAACCAACCTGCTGGCCAGCGTGCAGGCATCCGTGCACAGCATGCCAATCTGGCTGCAGGGCCGGGCTGTGCACTCGGAAGCTATTTCGGGAAACGGCTGCCGTGGCTGCGTCCGTTTCCGACATCGGGCTCCGGGAAATCAGGCAGATGAGCCCGATTGCACCTGCACCAGACGATCACCCGCGGGCCTCCATCTGGAAAAGTTGGGGGGGGGAGCCCTGGCCATGCCGACACCACCGACGTGCCCCCCTGGCCCTTTGTATCCGCCTTCCGCCCCGCACCTCACCCCGCCTGCCTCTCGCCACCGCCCAGCCGACCCTTTCCACTTTGCATTCGTTTTGCCATGTCGCTGTTCAAGAAGTTCGACCCAAAGGTCGACGTGGCCTCGTCGACGGCCGTCAAGTCGTCGGTGCAGCGGGGCATGCGCAACAAGCTGCTCGAGACCTACCCGGCCCTCTCGGAGAACGACGGTGCGCTCCTCGAGCAGATCTGGCCCAAAAAGGAGCCCATCACGCTCGTCAAGTTTTCGCGCGAGCACGTCCAGATGCTCGTGTACAAGGGCGAGGTCCTCTTCTTCCAGCACTTTGACGAGCCCTACCTCCCAAGTCTCAAGGTCCTCCACAGATGTGAGTGGCTCGACCCCTGCCGCGGTGGCCGCTAAGCTGGCGCTGGAATGGCGATCGATGCTGATGCTGCGAGCCTCTTGGTCCCCGCAACTCGCTCTTCGAATCACGTCCAGATCCGTTCCTGTTGCCCTCGGTGCAGGTGGACCGGGGAGCGATCCGGTTCCTCCTCTCTGGTGCCAACATCATGTCACCAGGTCTCGTCTCGGCAGGCGGCAAGCTGCCGGATCCATCAGCCGGCGAGACGGCGCTCGATATCGGGCAGGGAGTGGCGGTGCGCGCCCAGGGCAAGGAGGAGATTGTCGCCGTGGGGCTCATGAAGATGTCGAGCGAGGAGATCCGAAAGACGGGCAAGGGCATCGGCGTCGACAACATTCACTACATCGGAGGTGAGTACGGCGTGAAGCGTGCCTTCTGAAAGAGCGAGCTGTCGATGATCGAAAGGCGATACTGACATCTGTGTTGCGCTTGTTGCTCTGTCTCTTCCGTGGTGATGGGCACTGCAGATGACCTCTGGTTGACGCTGGCCCGCGGCGGGCTTTAGACAAGGAATCTAGCTTCGCTCTCATCCTGCCTCATCATCATACAGTCTGCATCATGTATTAGTCCTGGTATTCCAAACAAGCCCTCACTCTCATCCCAAACGAAAAGCCTGCAGCGGTGTCAGAGAGTAGTGACGCGGAGAGAGGGGCAGAGGGGAGGGGAGAGCAGGTGGGACTCAGCCGACAGTCAGTCCAAGTCCAGAGCCCTCCACTTTGCAGCGCCGAGGCGTCGCGCCGTTGCCATCCTCGGCCTCGTCGAGAAGAAAGTCGAGAGCGAGGCGGCTTTTGTCAGCCATATCAGTCTTCCGGTCGTTGCCAGACCACCACCACCATCAGCGCCACCACCTGGGACCGCCTTCACCATGTCACTGGCAGCCCGCCCCTGCACGCGCATCCCACCACCGCGGCTACAGCCCGCTTCGTATCGCCTCGCGTCCACCTCGGCCACACCACCGACACCGCCGCGCAGCCCGGCGCCGGCGTCAAAGCAGCTCTCGCCGCTCGAGTTGCCTCACAGCTACCTCCTCGGCGAGCTGCAGAGGCGGGACTACCCTTCCTTCCTCGCGCACTACTTCTACCCGCGGCACCTCCAGACCCACTACCTGGCGATACGCGCCTTCAACGTCGAGGTCGCCTCGCTCAAGGATAGCGTCTCGAATGAACTGCTCGGACAGATGAGGATGGGGTGGTGGCGCGAGGCCATCAAGGGTGCCTTTGATGTAAGTCGGTTGCCTCGAAACTCCCCTCTTCCTCGCGGAATGGCACCTCTGACTGACGCTGTGCGCTTCCCGCTTACCCTGCGAGCAGAATCGACCGGCCAAGCATCCCGTCGTGCTGGCGCTCCGATCCGCGTTCCACGATCCAGCCGTGCTCTCGTCGCCCTCGGGCGGACTGTTGGAAGACCACTTCCTCCGCATCATTTCGATCCGCGAGGCCGACCTCTCCTCGTCGACGACGACGCCCTCGCTCTCGGAACTCGAGACCTACGCCGAAGGTACCTCGTCGCGCCTCTTCTACCTCTCCCTCAACCTCCTCGGCGTCTCTTCGCCCGTGCTCGACGAGCTCTTCTCCCACCTCGGCAAGGCGACGGGTCTCTGCCTCGCCCTGTCGTCGCTGCCCTACCACTCGCACCCGCCACCCTCGGCCAGGCACAGCGTGACAAAGGGGGCGCGCAAACTCACCCTCCCCGCCGAGACGCTACAGAAGTTTGGCGTCGTCGAGGAAGACGTGTTCCGCAACGGCCCGCAGGCCAAGGGGTTCAAGGATGCCGTGTTTGACGTGGCGACCAGAGCCAACGACTACCTCATCACGGCCAGGACCATGGTCCGCGACGAGTTTGGCGGAAAGCTGCCCAAGGACGTCACACCCGCCCTCATCAACGCTGTAGGTGCAGCCCGGACGCTGCGTTGGTCGATGAAGCTCAGAGCTCGTTCATCATGCTGACTCGGGCCGGTTCCTTCCGCCCCTGCACCTGCACCTGCGTGTCCCTAGGTGCCGGCACGGTTCTACCTCGATCGGCTACAGCAGGCCGACTTTGACCCCTACACACCTAGCCTCCAGGCGAAGCACTGGAAGCTTCCCTGGCAGATGTGGCGCGCCAGCCGGACCCGCAACATCTAGGCTGCTGGGAGGCCCGGAGCCCGACCACCTTCCGTCGCAGATGAGTCGAGCAATGAGAGTTGAGATTTGCAGCGGCGGCGGCATCAGAGCAGGTATAATCGAGAACGCGGAACCAGATAGAGAGAGGTGGGGAGGGGGTCTACAGAGTAAGAGGAGAAAGAGAGAGTGGGTCCGATGCAGTCTACATATGATCCAGAGCAGCAAAGAAGACAAGAGCCCGTATCTAGTCATTGACGGAGCAGGAGCCGTATCAAGTGGAGCCGGTTTGTGGCAGAGGAGCTCGCGGGAAGGTTCGAGTCGGCCAGCGAGGCAAGCCAAGACGAGGCGATGGGCGCTACTTCTCCTTGCCCATCTTGGTGCGGGCGGCCTGGATGACGTCGCGCGCCGAGTCCTGGAAGGCGCGGCAGATTTCCTCGGGCAGGCGGTCGAACTCGGGCACGTCGTCGCACGAGACGGCGAGGGAAAAGTCGTTGGCGTACGAGATCATGCCGACGGCCATGGTGGCCTTGCCGGGGCTGCTGGGCGGCAGCACGTGGTAGCTGTAGGCCTCGTGCTGGCCAAACTTGACGGGCTTGGCGGGTCCGGGCACGTTGGTGGCGACGTGGTACTCGCCAAAGGCGCGGTAGAAGAACTGGCGGAAGCCCGGGTAGTTTGGCATGTAGGTGATGCGCCGCTTGCAGTAGAGGTCAAACACCTTGAACCACATCTTGGGCAGGTACGAGCCCTTGATGCGGTTCATCTCGCGGTTGACCTGGAGCAGCTGCTGCTCGATGTCGCCCTCCTGCTCCTTTTCAAAGCGGAACCAGGCGACGGTGCCCGTGGTGCGATTGCTGAGCGACCAGTCGCCCCGCTCGCGCACCGAGATGGGCACAAACACGGCCACGCGCTTGTCCTTGACGACGCCGTTCTTGGCAGTCCGCTCGGCGGCGATGCGCAGCGCGCGCGCCAGGATGGCGCACGCCACGTCGTTGAGCGTCAGGTTGACCTTTTCCGTCGAAAAGGCCTTGCGAATCAGCTTGATGTCGTCCATGCCGATGCCCTCGCTGTGGCAGTAGAGGCGGTTGACCGGGCGCTCCTTGCGCTTCTCCTCATACGTGAACGCCTTGCGCTTGCGGAAGTAGAGGCCGCGCGCCGTGTGGGCGACGTGCTTGGTCGTGCCCCAGACCGATGGCTTAGCCTCGCGCTGGCCGGGCTTCTTGACGCCCTGGTTCGAGTCGACCTTGCGCTGGATGTCGCGGATGCCGATGCCCTGCTCGAGGGCGCCCAGCGCGGCGTGGTAGCTCTGGATCATGCCCTGGCCGTCGGAGAAGCAGTGGTGGATCTTGATCATCAGGGCGCTGCGGCCGCCGTCGGCCGTGTGCAGCCCGTTGACGACGAGCGCCTCCCAGATCGGCTTGCTGTAGTCGTAGTGCCTGCCCAGGAACTGGCCCGCGAGCTTGTTGAGCGCCGCGTCGTCGCCTGGCGCGGCCGCATCGGCCTGCGAGATGTTGTCCTTGATGTCAAAGTCTGGCACGAACCTCCAGCGCGCCGAGCGGAAGAGGGTGCCGGCCTTGAGGCCCTTGCCGTAGCGCGTGCGGCGGCCCGGGTCAAACTTGCGCTCCTCCTTGGTCGACTTTTCCGAGTAGGTCGCCTTGGCCTGCTGCCTTTCGATCCGCTTGGACTCCTTGGGGTCGAGGTCGACGACGTAGCGGTACTTGGGATAGGTCTTGGCCAGGACCTCGAAGAAGTTGTCGACCGTGTCCAGGTCGAGCTCGCTCTTGAACATGTAGATCGAGAAGCACGAGGTCGTATATCCGTCGTCCTCCATGAGCAGGGCGAGGTTGTCGATGCCCGTCATGGGGTAGACGGGCGGCTTGGGCGCCGAGCCGCGGCCGATGTCGGGCTGGTCCCTGTTTGAACTGCGGTCGTCGCGGAGGGCGCGCTGCTGGGCGATGAGCATCCGCTCCTTGCTCGGGCCCGTCGGCTTCTCTCCGCGCCGAACCGCTGCACCCTGGGCGGCAGCGCTGCCGGGCTCGGGCACCGCGTCGACGTCGCGAGAGACGCGCCTGCTCTGACGGCGCGAGGAGGCCCTGGTGTCGGAGCCGTCGTGGGCATGGGAATAGCGTGGCGAGCCGTGGCCGTGATGGCGGCTGCCGTTCCCGTGGTGCTGCTCCTCGTTGTCGTCATCGTCGTAGTGAAGCTTGCGATGGGACGCCCTGGGCGATTCGTGAGGCGATGCCAGCACCGAGGTCCGTGGCGATGAGTGCATGCTCCTTCGGACGCGAGCCGAACCCTTTCTCTGGGGCGCGGCGATGCCCGTCTCCCTCTCGGCGGCCTCCCGAAGCGCGGCGCCCTGCTCGGCGGCAGTGCCGTGGGAGTGCGATGGCGCCATCGTCTTGAGCGGGTTGCGGGGCGAGGGCGGGGCGGATGTGGCTGGCGACGAAAAGTCCTCGTTGTCCGAAGGGTTGAGCGAGTCGAGGTAGGCCTGCTTGACCTCCTTGCTGGTGCGGGGCGAGCCGAACTCCTCCTGGATGGCCTGGATGGACGAGTGGAACGATGTCGGCGGCGGGCGGTACTTGCGTGCGCGGTAGAACTCGGGCTGTCGAGAGCTCGAGTCGCGGTCGTCTTTCTTGGAGGTGGTGAGGCGGTGGTGGCGGTGGTGGCCTGCGTCTCGGTCGTGGGTGGTGGAACCGGCAGAAGAGACGGTCGAGGTGGCGGGCGATGATGATGAAGAGGCCTCAGAGGGGTTCCAGGTGGAAGGCGCCCAGCGTCGGACGGTGGATGCCAGTCCCATGATGCTGCAGCTTTAATTGAGCTCGGATCGGCCGAGCGGAGCGGTAGGGAGGGTTGAAGCCGAAGGGCCGAGTCGAGTTGCCAGGTTCCGATGTGCAGGCGGGGTGACGTGCTTGCCCTGACTTCCTGATGCGGACGCGAGAGAGACTCTGAGCGTGCCTATCGGTGTGCGCTGTGCCAGGCTGATCCTGTTCGCGCTTTGAAAGCGGCAACGGGCCGAAGCTGAGAGAGCGGGCGAGGGCGCCGTCGAGTCGGGAAGGGACAGGCAGCGGCTTGGCCCCAGAGTCACGGCCCGGAATGGAGCGAGGGAAAAAGGAAAAAGTTTCGGAAGGCCAGGTGGAGGGGGGCCAACGGCGGGCCTCGCGTGAAAATGGCGTCGAAAAGAGGGTCCTGCTTGGGATCGGCGTACGTGGCAGGCGGGCAGACAGGGCTCAGGATCGACGGGCTTGGGGGCTTGCTTGCTGCTGCTGCTGTCAGCCAGGCAGGGTCAGGCAGAGGGGTCAGGGCAGATGCAGCAGAAATCTATCCGCCGGAGAAAAAGCAAAAAAGAAGAAATCCTCGCGTGAGTGACGAGGCGGGCCAGGGGAGCGGGCCGCGCAACCAGGCACCGGACGGCCGACTGACCGCCTTGCTATCGCAGCTATCAAGCTCACCTTTGCTGCTCGCTCGTTCGCTCGGGACTAAGGTGAGCAGCCCCTGAGCTAGGTCAAGGTACCCGGTTGAATGGCGAGGGGAGGGGTCGGACCGATGTTGGGGACCCTGGGTTGCTGGCAACGGCTGGGAGGGCGTGTCACGGCTTGCCTTGGCTTTTCTCGGGAGCTGGACTGCGCTAGCGGGACCGAAGGCCGAGGAAGCTGAAAGCAGGTCGAGGGAGCGCGTATCGCTTCGCTCCGTTCGCTTCCCGAAGGAGAGAGGGAGAGAGGGTGACGTGGAAGGATGCCGGCGGGTTGAAAGCCTCGCGAATGCCGAGTCGGAGGGGAGAGGTGGCGTGCGCGTCGTCGGATGTTGCTGCGCGATGGCGATTGATTATTGGGTGGCGGCGGCTGTCGAGGTTGGTGTGGGTGCTAGCAACGTGCCACCAACCTCGGCGTCGAGCAGGGCCGAGTTATATACCAGTCCGCCACCCTGGGCGAGAGAGGTAGCGTCAGCGTATCAGGGGGGTTACGTGGCAGAGGTGTCAGTCACGACCCTCTCTCCCTCTTCTGTCGGTGGCTCGAGATCGCGAGTGGCCATCCACGCAAGCCTTTCCCCCTCAATTCCCGTTGGCTCAGCCCCGAGCGTGCGCCCGAGCGGCTGACCCCCTTTCACTTGTCCTCCGTAGTACGAACGAACGGCGTCGCTGGCAGCGCGAGCCCGTACGTTTCGAGGGTTGCCGGGCGGGCGATAAGGTGATTGGCGGCCTGGTCCACTGTACCCGGCTTCTTCGAGCAGGGGCCCGCCACCACGCTAGGCCCCTATTCGCTCTGTCCTGCCCTGCTCTGGCCTCCTAAGCTACGAGCTGGACTCCACGCCTGCACACACAGTGCGCGGCCTGCGCTCATCTCTTCGCAACCGCGTCGGTTCACCTCACCTCACCATCGCAAGCGAATGCTCTGGTCGATGTGTACTACTTTCTTGCAACGGAACGGGAAAGTCGCCGCGATGCTCAGCCTGGCTCGCTCGCAATGACCTCGAGTAGCATGAATAGCGCAGTAGGGACAGTGCCATCTTCTCAGGCTAGCGCATGGTTGCCACTTCTTCAGATCCCCTAGGCTGGGTATACGGAGCTCGGCGTATAGCTTTGGCGGGAAGGCAGTGCTCTCGCATTCTCTCTCAATGGCCATTGTCCTTGTGCGTGGCCGGCTTGGTGGGTGGCATCGCTGGTACCGGACCGAAGCGGTTCCGAACGACCCGTTGCATAGGGGAGAGTGGCCGGGGCGGGTACGTAATTCTCGCATGGCCAGGCGTGGCTAGGCTGGGCTACGGTATGTCGGGCGTCGACGACGTCGACACGATGGCGTGGTGTCCAAAAATACGGCCCACGATGCGGTGATGCTCTCGGAGGTTGCCGCCCGTCCAGCTGTGTAGGTACCTATGTAACACGCCGTCACTTCCTGGCCCGGCGTTTGACGCGACCAAGACAGCCGCGAGACCAAGCGCTGACCAGTTTCGCAGACGATCGACGTTCATCCTGATCCCCCGTACCGATACCGGCAGGTCCCGGGTGCTACCGTACCATGTACGGCGCCATCGTGGCGACAAAGAGCAAGCAAGCAAGCAAGCAAGGAGGATAAGGTGAAACAAGATTTCACACGAGGGTTTCGTGACACGAGCTGCTGCCGTAGACCCTGGGACGGCCTCGGGGCTCGGGCTCGGGCTCGGGATGTCGCTGCGCTGAGCTACGGACCGTACCGTGCCTGGCACCATGAACGAACGTGTCTCGGCACTTTTTACGGCTCATCTCTGCATCTCGCTGCTTTTCGCCCGAAGAAAGGCGCACGAGAAGGATGCCTGCCGGTCACCACCGTGCCAGGCGCGAGGGCGTTGGTGTGTCGCAATCATGCCGAACGGTGCATGGTCGGTCCAATGGCGAGCTGTCAGATTCGCTCGCGTGCGAGGGGGGCCGTTGATCCCGTACCGTAGCGTTCCGTCAACGTTCGAAGACGGCGCCGTTGTCCTGGACAGACAAAAGCGCGCCTCTCGGTCATGTTGTCATGCCGCCGCTGGGGACACAGAAGGTGGCGCATCGCCCTGGCCTTGCTTTTCTCGACCCGTGAAAACCAGGTCATGCCGAGGGGAGGGTGCACTTTCGATCCTCATTCGACAGAGTTGCTTACAGGACGGACAGAAGGCGTGACCGCCTGCGTGCTGCGTGCTCGACCGTCTCTGGCCGCCAACCGGAACGCCCACCGATCCATCGACGTGCGTGGGCGCCTGCCAGCCTGGCCTCGCAAGGAGAGAGAAAAGTTCCGAGACCAGGGCCTGGCCGTGGCTGCCTTTGTCGACCTGTTATTCTCCGAGCAAGGAGAAGCGGAACCGCAACGACGCCCGGTCGTGGGACAATGGGGCGTCCGTGGCAACGGCCTGCGGCGTTCTACAGGTACCTCGGCTGCTCTGTCCACGCACGCCGTTGCCAGAGACACCGCCCGTCCATGTGTCTCCTACCACTGTGCGCTGAGCTGAGACGGTACCACGAGCAGTCGACCACGTTGTTCACCCCTCCTTGTGGCCCTCTCGCTCGCTTCTCTTTTGTCGGTCTTGTCGTCCAGCGTCGCTGCCATCCTCACCGCCGTCGTCTTCTCACGTATGGAGCGGAGGTACAGTAGGCGTCGTTGCACAGCAGCCGATGCACAACAGCATCGGAATGGCGGAACCGCGCCGCTCGCACCGCGCCGCACCGTATCATATCACATCTCGCAGACGCCGGTGCGATATGACAACGAACGCTCCGCACGCGTTACGGCGCGACCGACAGCCTGGCCGGGCGGTGCGCTGCAGTCTGACCAGAGACGCCGAGACGGGGCCGTTCGGCCTCGCTGCACCGTATCAGTCCATCTCGATCGAGTCCTCGTGAAAAGAAACGCGGACCGGATGGGGTGGTGGGAGAACGTGTCCCCTCCTCGTTGCGTGCAGGGTTCCCGCTCCTCGCCGACGATCCGGACCGAGGAGACCGAGGCTGACTCTCTTTCTGCTCTTCATCGTCTTCACATAGGATCCCACGTGCAGAGAGGGGGAGAACGGCGCGCTCACATCGAGACAAAGGCCTGGCGTCATGATGGAAGACGGCGCGCCCGCCTGCCCGGACCGAGTGACGCCCGATACGTCGTCGGATCTAGCGGGGCCGCTCAATCGACTCTGCCCAGCCCCTTCACCTGATTGATGTGCGTACGATGCGGCTCCGAATGCGGCGGTTGGTCGATTTGGACGGTGGTCATTGTCTTTGACTCCACAATGGTCAGAGGCCGACTTTTGCGTTCGGTCCCCATGCACATCGAGCAAGGTCCGTGCCTCGTTCCCGGACACCATCTCGATACAGGAGCAACATCTCTTTTCCCTTTCGCGGCAAGCACCGAGAGTCGAGGTGGCACTCGATTGCCCTGGCCCCTACTTTCGCGATCTCGGCTGCCAAGATCGGCTCCATCGTTGTCAACTACCTCGCCCGTTGTCAAAGACGCAGGTACTCGAGCTGCGATCACGCGATCTGCCCGAAGAGAGGGCCAGCGGGCGAAGGCTGCACGCGACCAGCGCGCTGCGTCGCTTCGTCGCCTCACCTCCTCTTTTCGGCGCTCTTCTTTTCGGCGAGGGCGGTGGCCTGGGCGACGGCGTCGTCGGCCTGCTTCTTCTTGTCGTCGACGAGCTGCTGCACCTTCTTGTCGCCCCAGAAGCCCTTGCCGATCGCACGGCGGCGCTGCTTGATCATGTGCGTGTACATGACGTAGAGGCCTACAGAGTGGGGGAGGGCGGGAGCGCCGGGCGGGTGGGAAGGCGAGAGGAAAGAAAGGTCAGCCGTCATCGTCGAGTTCCAGCTGATTCACCGCCGACCCTGCCGCTCCTCGGCCGCGCACTCACCGGGCCACCAGATGATGAAGAGGAACGAGAAGACGTAGTCCTTGAGGAACCATGCCTCGGGCTTGTTCCAGGGCAGGGCGTTGGGGAGGGTGACGAACATGCACATGGCCTCGCTGCCGGCGCCGAGCGGGTAGAGGACGTAGAAGGTGGTGTACCTGAGCCAGAGGAGGCCGGCGGCGTCGGAGCCCATGAGCTGGTTGGCGTAGAAGGGGTAGCGGACGCACTCGGTGATGCTCCAGGCGAGCACCATGCTGGCGTACCACGGCGAGGTCCAGGCCTTGTCGTACTTTTCCGAGACGGCCCATACCATAAAAAGGCGCGAGGCGACCTGGATGGCGGTGGTGGGTACCGGGCTGCGCACCCATCCGAGCGCGGCGTGGACGACCTCGAGGATGGCAAACGTCTGGACAAAGGCGACGAGCGCGCCGATGTGGTTGTGCGACGACGAGGCGCGCTCGAGGAGCGTGGCGACGGGCTTGGGCAGGTGCGAGAACGAGGGGAGGTAGGCGATCCGGACGGGCCGCAGCGGCGAGAGGATCTTGGACGCGGTGCGGATGGGCAGCGACGTCGTCATGGGCCCGCCGGCCAGGTGCTTGAGGAGCGTCGAGAGGATCAGCATCCAGCCAAAGAACGAAGCCAAGTTGTAGGCGATCAGGTAGAACCTGACGGCCGTCGAAGGGCCTCGCGGCGTGGATCGGGAGGTCGTCTTGGGTGGCATGTCGGGCAAAGGTCAGGTTCGTGCACAGTGGTCGTGTCGGAGGAGCGCGATGGAGGAGAGGCGGATGGAGAGCTTGGGCCAGCTGGCGCCAGAAGAGGCCGCAGCGGGCCTGGGGCGCCAGGCCAACCCCGCACACCTCGGCCCGCCTGCTTTTTTCGTCTTTTTTCCGGTTTCAGTTGGGCGGCTTCTGTGCCTCTCTCTCTCGCACGCACCACCCAGCGTTGGGGGGCCGCGCGTAACGCTCCCGCTCGCCCCGAATCAGACCTCCGCCACCAGCGCTCACTTGGCGAGCGGCAGGACAAGCACAGCATCGAGGGGCGACACTAAGACTGCCGTGCAGGACACAAGGGCAGGCCAATGGCAAACAGACGATCGGCACCAGGTGGACGAATGCAATGAGGACGGGCATAGCGAGTGTGCGGCCAACTGATGGCGAGAAAGTGCGACATGCTCGAGGCAGATGCGGGGTGAAGGGCAACCTCTATAGAGCTGCGAGACCGGAAGATAGATGATGCTAGACGACGCGAACAACGTAACAGGTGTGTGCAGGGAGGGGCGAGACAGATCGAGAAGGAGAAAGCAGGCAGGACAGATCCGGGCGCGGTGCAGCAGGCACAGCGCTCACCAGTAGCTCTGGGCCCAGTCGACCATGGCGTTCCAGCCGCGGCCGACGGCGCCGTTGCCGACCGTCCCGAGGATCCGCCTCCAGTGCAGCACGACGGCGTCGGCCCGGGCCAGCCCGACGACGCCCTCCATGCCGCCCGCCTTTTCAAAGATCCGGTCAATGGGCCGGGTCGCCTCGGAGCCGCCGCCGAGCAGCAGCGAGCCAAAGGGGAACATCGCGACGATGCTCGAGAGGAAGCCGGCGTCGATCGAGCCGGCGCCGGGCGCGGCGGCATAGTCCTGCGGCAGCGCGCAGCTGAAAGCGAACCGGTTCTCGTGGAAGATGAGCGCGGCGCGGTAGTGGCAGACGATGGCGGCGACGATGCCGACGTGCCACAGCTGGTGCGAGTGGCCCCAGAGGTCGAAGCGGCCGGGTGCCAGGCTCTCTGGCAGGTGGAACGCGTAGAGGATCAGGCCGCCGACGTAAAAGGCGAGGCTGGGCAGGATCGGGCTGAAGAAGGTCACCGTCTTGGAGAAGCCATGCTCGAAGGCGGCATGCGAGAATGGGAGCAGCGCGGTGAAGCACATGGTGAGGAAGACGGCGATCCGGATGCCCTTGTTCTCGCGCTTGTTGAACCAGTCGGCCCACGGCAGGATGGCGCCGGCCAGGCCGACGAGCAGCGTCGTGATCGAGTAGGCGAGCGCAAGGTTGGGCTGGCAGTAGAAGGCGTTGTAGACTGTGGTGAGGATCGATGCCGCCACCAGCCACGCGATGCCCGTGTAGTCGACGCAGGCGAAGCGGCCAAACCACTTGTGGTCCGAGCAGCCCGCCATCACATGCCAGGTGACCGAGAGCGTCAGGCACTTGGCCGCCGCCACCAGGTAGACGGTCTGGACCAGGCGGTCCATCGGCGTCGTCTTATCGTCGAGGCCCTTGCTGGGCCAGAAGAGCGGCAGGATGGCCACCAGGCCCCACAGGTGCGTGTGGATGTTGCCCGTCTCGTTGTGCACCTGGAAGGTGCTCTTGAGCAGCGCCGGCCAGTTTTCGAGCGGGATGAAGCGGTAGCCAGAGAGGATGTGCTCGTTGTTCTTCCAGAACTCGGGCAGGTGCTCGTAGCGGATCAGCGCCTGGCCGTTGCGGGCGAGCTCGACGGCCATCTCGTAGAGCTTGTCTTCGGCCTCGTGGACAGCGTGGCCGGCGCGGCTGACGACGCTGTTGGCTCGAGCGCGGCCCTTGGCGGAGAGCTCGGCGAACGAGGCCTCGAAGCGCTTGACAATCGACCCGCCAGCGTCGTCCTGGGAGCGCGCCACGCAGTCGCGGAGGGCCATGGCACTCAGCGACTCCTGCAGCTCCTCGAAGCGACTTTGCATCTTGTCGACGATGGCGCGGGCGGGCGCGGGCAGCTGCAGGGAGAGAGGCTGGAGAATCGAGCTGAGATCCGTCTCGAGATGCGGCATGGCCGGCATGCTCGGCAGCGTGGGCATCTCGACCCGCGCGCGCGCTGCATCGGCGGCCGAACGGAGCGTCGGGATGGCCATCTTGAAATCCGGGGCAAGCGGCAGGAGCGGGAAGGAGAACGACGATGAGAGCCGCTCCCAGTCCTGCGAGAGCGACTGCGACCTCGCCGCAAATGCCGCGCTCGCCCGTGAGGAGAGCTCGGGCGGCGATGGGAACGCAGTGCGGGGCGACGGTAGCAGCGACATGAGCTTGCGAAGATCGTCCTTGAGCGCCTCGAGCTGAGCGAAGAAGGGAGCCAGGTGGCTGTCGGCCCTGGCATCGGCGTGCAGCTCCTCGGCATCGGCGTCGGAAAGCGTCAGATCTCCATCAGAACCAGTGGCAAGTGCGCCATCGGCGGACGTCGGTGATGCAGAGGGAGAGGCGGCCCTGCGGGTGTTGGCGTAGTAGCTGCGGGCCCGGGCCTCGAAGTCAGAGAGGTAGGAGAGCAGCTGCGTGCGGAGCGATGCGATCGAGTAGGGCAGCGAGGCAGGAAGATCGAGGTACTCGAGAGACTGATGCCGGCGCTGGCTGCCATGGAAGAAGGAGCGCCTGCCGCTGGCGTCGTACCGGTCAAACTCGTCGCCATCCTCGTCGTCGTCGGACTCGCCGGCGCTGCTCGAGTCGGCGCTGGTGCTGCTGTAGAATCCCCTCACGCGGCCAGCGGCGGGTTCGATGCCGGTGGCGCGGATCCGCAGTGCGGACGTCGAGGGAAGCTGAGGCTGCGAGGCGCGGCGGACCCGCCGCCTGACGGTGAAGGGACGGGTTGGCAGATCTGCGGTGTTGGCGAGCGCGGCAGCATGGCTCGACGACCGAGAAGACGATGCGCTCGATGGCAGCGTCGGGCTCGAGACCGAAGAGACGATGTGCGGTCTGGCAGAGACCATCTTGGCTCGCCGCTGGCTGGTCGGTTGGGGACGGGCCCGTTGGTCGAGTCGTAGGGTCAACTGATCGCTGGGGAGAACCTCGAAGGTGCCAGTAATGTGGGGATGTGCCGTGGATGGAGAAGCAAGTGATGGTGGCGGAGTCGACGGGCGAGAGGGGAGCAGAGATAAAGATGGGAGAGGACCTCGGAGGGATGGTCTGGCTGTAGCTGGCAAGGAGATGGGTGTCGGGTGGAGAGGGCGTCGAGGGGCCGAGGCTGTGCGTGGCCGGTGGTCGAACGTGGTCGAGGCGGCGATTCGAGGTTTGACGAGGCTGGTGCGATACGGTACCCCGCACGTTGAGGTGAGGGAGCAGGGTGAAGGCAGGCAGGCAGGCAGGCAGGCGGCAAAGGGTGGCAACACGAACGTACGACCAGCACGCCGCGGCAAATTTCCAGTCCAGTCCGGACCAGACCAGACCAGACGGGCCTGCCTGGGCTGGCTGGGCGCCCTGGCCTGCGTGCTTTGGGCGTTGCCTGGTTGAAGGATGAGCGCCAACGCCCCTCGCCAAGAAGATGCATGTGCAGCCCGAATTTCTCGCCGGCGAGCGAGCGAGTCCACCAGGCAGGCCAGGCAGGCCAGGCCAGGGTCGGCAATGCGGGTAAACACCGCCCGCACCGCCTGCCAGCCAGCCTGGCCTGGCCTGGCCTCGCTGGGATTTTCAGCCCAAAATCTCGGCCAGCCGGCCAGCCAGCCCAGGCGAGGCGAGGCGAGGCAGAGCGAGGCCCGTTTCCCCCGCACTTTGGGCCTGCTTGACGAAGCGAAATGCGAGAAAAATGACGTCCTGCCCGTCGTTAGCCTCATCGCTCCCCCCCCATCGTCGCTCCGCACACATTCGACTCCGATGCGCTAGGCGGGCGGATCGCGGCCATCGTCTCATCTACGGCGGCTGTCAGAGCGAGCACGTACGTCGTCTATCTACAAGGCAGGCGGGGCCGTTAGAGCGGCATGACATGGAGCGTGGGGCGGAGAAAAAGGGGACGGCGCCAGAACTGGGCTATGCGCGAGGCGGGCCGACACGAAGGGGCGCCTAGGGCGGGCGGACGGTTCCGACCAGCTGCCGCGGCCGACGCCCGCTACTTGGATCGACGACGAGTCGACATACATCGCCCAAGGGCGCAGAGCAGACAATGCCATCCGATGCACGCCGCCTTCAATCCCTCGGACGAGGCGCAGGGGGCGCGGCGGCCGGCGGCACCTTGGACGGCAGCTCGTTTTCCTCAATGGGGAAGAGGGAGAGGAACGCCAGCAGGCCCGAAACGGCGACGGCGACAAAGACGAGGTGCATCGACTCCTGGTACGCCTGCCTGGCGGCGTCGCGCAGCGGCTCCTTGAGCGTCCGGATCAGGCCGACGTCGCGGCGGACGGCTTCGATCAGGCTCGGCGGGAACGAGGCCCTCTCGAGGTTGCGCTGCAGGCCGTTTTGCAGCAGCGCCCCCGAGAGCGAGATGCCCAGCACCGAGCCCGTGGCGCGGAAGAGGTAGGTGATGCCCGTGCCCGCGGCCACCTGCGCCGGCTCGAGGGCGCTGATGAGGGCGACGAGCGTCGTCGTCAGCACGATGCCAAACGACGCGCCGCCGAGCGGCATGCTGATCCAGTAGACGAGCGTCGACGTGCCGCGGTGCCAGGTGCACAGCAGCAGCGGGCCGACGACGCCCAGCGCGCCGCCGACGACGAGCATCCGCTTGTACCGCCCCGTGCGCGCAATCACCAGGCCGCTGGCCAGGCTGCTGACCGAGGTGACGACGGCGTTGGGGATGAGCAGGTAGCCGGCGTACCTCGACGTCGTCTGCTCGACGGCGACAAAGTAGCTCGGCACCGTGTAGAAGGCGGCAAACTGGGCGATGCTGGCAAACCAGCACGCGACCGACACGAACCCGGGCGTCTGGCGGAAGACGACGTCCATCGGCATCACGGGCTCGCGCGCCACGTACCGTTCGACCAGCACAAAGACGGCCAGCAGCGCCAGGCCGCCGACGAGGCTGCCGACGACGACGCGGTCCGACCACGCGCGCTCGTTGCCGCCCAGGCTGAGGCCGACGAGGAGCAGCGAGATGGACGATACGAGCGAGAGCGAGCCGAGGCCGTCGATGCGCTTGATCTTTTCCAGCATGCTGCCCGGGCCCGCCGGGATGTCGACCTTCCAGCTGACGACGACAAAGTGGAGCACGCAGAGGGGCACCTGGAGCGTGAAGGCCGCGCGCCAGCCGAGGCCGCCGTCGGCCAGGGCGCCACCGAGCGGGCCGCCGAGCGCAGCGCCCGCGGCGCAGACGAGGTTGCCGATGCCCTGCCAGGTGCCGCGCGACTTGAGGCTGACGAGGTCGGTGGTGACGATGGTCGTCATCGACGTCAGGCCGCCGCCGCCGATGCCGGCAATCGCCCGCGCCACGCACAGTTGCCAGAAGGACTGCGAGACGCCGCACAGGACGCTGCCGGCCAGGAAGACGGCCGAGGCAAACAGCGTGGCCGCTTTGCGACCAAAGATGTCCGAGGCGCGGCCGTAGAGCGGCTGGAAGGCCGTCTGGGTGAGGAGGTAGCTCGTGCCCAGCCAGCCGACGTTTTTCGACACCTTGAACTCGGAGCCCACCTTGGCCAGGATGACGGCCACAATGGTGCCGTCGAGCGCCGCCAGAAAGCACCCGACCCACATGGCGCACAGGATGACGAGCACGTCGGCCCGCTTAGCCGGCGGCGCGTGGTGGCCGGCGACGGGCGCGGGCGCGGCCACAGCGTCCAGGGATACGTGGCTGACGTCGGCCGGCGGCGGAAACGCGGACGCATTCGGGTCGACGCCGTGCGCCAGGTCCTGCACTGTCGGCGGGCCAGTGGCGAGTCAGAAGCGGGCAGAACAACCAGACAGGTCAGAGGAGGCAGGGAAAACGGCGAGGCGAGACGAGGCGAGGCTGCTGGCCAGCGTCGCCGCCACTCACCCGCGCTAAAGGCGCTCTCGTGCGCCACCGCCTCCTGCTCCGGCTCACTGAGGCGGCGCGAGTCGAGGCTCTCGACGTAGCCCGTGCGCGCGCCGGCGTCGGTCCCGCCCAGCAGCAGCGGCGTAGCCTCGGTGTGGTCCCGCGGCGGCAGCGGCGGCATCGCAGGGCGTGGCCGCATGGTGGCAAGGGGGAGGGTGAGCAGTAGTGGATATGGTCCGTCGTGGTGGTGGTGGTGGTGGTGGTGCTTCAGAGGCGAGCCGGGCATCAAACCACGACCGGAACACAAACGCCCGGCCCCCTCTCTGCACGCGCCAAGAAGATGCCCGGGGAATTGCCCGGCCGTCTTCGGAAGCCCAAGCCGCCGTCTCCTTTGTTATTCCCCTATTTTCGACCCCGTGACATCAAGAGGCAATCTGTCCGAGTGGTCAAGGAGTACGTCTCGAACTAAAACGTGGTTTGACCCCCCTTGGGGGAGGAAACGTATAGGCTCTGCCTGCACAGGTTCGAATCCTGTGGTTGTCGCAACAATTGAAGTTGCACCCGCGAAAGCGGGTCGCCTCCTTTTTTTCATTTTTTACCTGGCATTTCTTGTCTTCTTTTTTTTCCAGTCGCTTCACCTCGACGCCGCTTCACCTCGACGCACGCCCTCTCTGGACTCTGCGGTTCCGACCTCGGCTCGATTCCAACTTCGACTCGATTCCACGGCCAACCTACTACTACTACATTGTCTAGGCGGCGACGCGGATGACGACCTTGCCGACGTGGGCCTGGCTCCACTGGTGCTGGTAGGCCTTGGCGGCGTCGTGGTAGTCAAACACCCTGTCGACGGCGGGGACGATCCTGTGCAGCTCGAGGATGGCGTTCATGTGCTCGAACTGGTCGCGCGATCCGACCAGGAGGCCCCTCTGTTGTCGGTCGGGATGGAGCGGAGGCAAGGGCGAGGCAAGGAAAAGAGAGAAGGGCGTGCGGCGGGCGGGCGGTCAGCGACATGTCGGATTGATACCTGGGGGCAGGCAGACAGGCTCGACGGCTCGACTCACAAAGATGGCGCCCTTGACGAGGGCGTGGAGTGCGACGTTGACGGGCTCGCCGTCGCCCTTTGCGACGAAGCCGATGGTCGAGATGACGGAGCCCTGCTTGACCGACTGGAAGCTCTTTTCGAGGGTGCCGGGTCCGCCGACCTCGACGATGTGGTCGGCGCCGAGGCCGCCGGTGACCTCGAGCACCTTTTTGTCCCAGTGCGGGTCCGACTTGTAGTTGAACGTGTGGACGAGGTGGCGCAAGGGTTCGGGGACGAGCGAGACGACCTTGCGCAGCTTGTCGTCCGACGACGACGTGATGACCGTCTGGGCACCCGCGGCGACGGCGAGCTGGAGCGCAAACACCGACACGCCGCCGGTGCCCTGCGCCACGACCGTGTCCCCGGCGCGGAGCTGGTGCGAGGGGATGCCGTAGAGGGCGTTGTAGGCCGTCACGGCGGCGCAGGGGAGCGTGGCGGCCTGCTCGTACGAGAGGTGCGAGGGGATGCGCACGATGCCGTACTCCTCGAGCACGACGTACTGGGCCAGCATGCCGTCGACGCCGCCGCCGAGCGTCGAGCTCAGGTCGGCGGCGCGCGCCGTGGATCCGGAGAGGTGCTTCTGGGTAAAGATGCCCATGACGCGGTCGCCGGCCTTCCAGCGCCCCTCTGCCTTGACGCGCTCGCCGACGTCGACAATCTCGCCCGCGCCGTCGCTGGCGGGGATCAGCTCGTCGTCCTTTTGCTCGAGCGGGTACTGGCCCTGGGCGATGATCAGGTCGCGGTAGTTGAGCGAGACGGCGTGCACCTTGATCAGCACCTGGGTCGGCGCCGGCTTGGGCATGGGGCGCTCCTTGAGCTTGAGGTCGTCGAAAGACTTGCGCTCCGACGGCCGCGGCAGCGTCCAGACCTGGTTCGTTGTGGATGCCATGGTGGTGGGCAAAGGATCCAGGTGGGATGGGATGAATCCGGGTGGTCGTAGAGATATAGAGAGAGAGAGATAGATAGAGAGAGAGAGAGAGACAGAGAGGCGTATACGAGATGCTGTCTGGTGGTGGGCGAGCGGGTGGCTGTCGCTAGGTGACCGCCGCGTCTAGCAGCTGCTCTTATACCTCGACCGGTCGTGCGAGCGAGAAGCAGGCCCAGCTGGGGCGGCCGTGGCATGGAGCAAGGATGGGGGCAGGCGTCTCCTAAACGCCGAAGGCCGGCCTCTCCACATACATCTTGGCCGATCTTCGCTTGGCCCTGCGTCGTCGGCCGTGGCGCGGGATGTTGTGTTGCATCATCCGCGGCGAGCGTCGAGCCGGCGTACCGTACCGTGGCGTGCCGCTGTGGGTTGGCGCCGCAGAAGTCAAAGCAAGTCGACTCTGAAGCCTCCACCTCAACTTCGGCTTCGGGTGAATTCAATTCTGATTCTGATTTTCCTGCTTGTTGCCGCCGCCAACGAGCGACGGCCCGCGTTTTTACGAGGCCGGCTGGCAGCCAGGCAGGCAGGCGGGCCCACGCGGCAGACACGGCAGACCGGGCCCGCCCAGCCAGCAAGAGAGCCCAGCGAGCCGCCTTCCTCCTCTCCCGCCCCTTCCATCGACAGCTTCCCTGTTCCCCTACCGCACCAAACTCATCACCGACGACGACGAGGCGACAGAGCAGCATCACTACGTATTGGTATATTCCGACCGGGCAACCAGCCAATGGCGACGACAGCGACAGCAGAGCAAGAAAGGCAGGGTATCGAGAGGAAAGGGTAGAGCAAGCAGGCGGCTCCTCGCTACGGTCAAGCCTCGTCCTGCCGCCCGCTCTCCATCTCGTCGTCGTCGTCGTCGTCATCATCATCATCGTCGCGCATCTCGTCGGCTCCCACAGCGACGAGGGCAAACGCATCCCGAATCCTCCGCACCGCCAGCCGGTACGCCTCGTCGCGCATCTTGGCCGGCTCGCTGTCCTGCTTGGTCATCTTGTCCCAGTTGTGTCCCTGCCCCTGCGCCGTCCACAGCGTCACATCGCCATCGTACCTATCACCATCGCCGTCGCCGTCGCGATCGCGATCGCCGTCGCCGCCGGTGCACGCCTTGTGCAGCCGCTCGGCCAGCTGCGCCGCTTCCCGCGCCAGCGAGTCTCGCTCGCAGTTGATGATCGTCACGCTCGGCGGGAACGACGACGGCGCGGCGTAGAGCGGCGAGATGTTGGGGTCCTTGCGGTCCGGAGCCAGGTGCGCCGGTACGTAGCACTCGTACAGCATGTACCGCAGCCACGGCGGCATCACACCGCCCGCCGCCCCAGCCTCGGGCGCCAGCTGCGGCTTGTCCCACGGCGACTCGGCCAGGTTGGTGCTGTCAAGGTTGACCGAGGGGGCGGGAGGCACAAGACGAGTTTATCGAGGCTCTCGATTGTCAGCCAAGGGGGGCGACCCTGCTTCGATCCTTCGCTGGGCTGCACTCACGAGGGGTAAAAGGCGACGACGGCCTGCACGCCGCCATTGTGGGGCTTGCGCGTGCCGCCAATCAGCGCAAGGTTGGCGCCCGAGCTAAACCCTGTCAGGGCGATCCTCCTCTCGTCCCATTCCCACTCGACGTCACCGCCGCCAAACTTCTGACGGCTCTTGCGACCCTCGCGCGCAAACGTGCGGGCCCAGGCGATGGTGGCGTCGACGTCCTCGACGGCCGCGGGCCACGGGTGCTCGGGGGCGTGGCTGTAGTCGACGTCGATGACGACGGCGGGGAGCGAGGTGGCGAGCTGCGAGCAGAAGCGGGCGTCTTCGCCGTGCGCGTGGAAGCAGAATCCGGAGCCGTGCAGGTTGATGACGATGGGCAGCACGGCGTTGCGCGGCGGCGACGAGGCGGCATCCGACGTCGCGGGCAGGTAGATGTCGGCCTTGAGGTGTCGTCGCGGCTTCTGGGCCGACGACTTGCCGCCGCTGCCGCTAGGAGAGGAAGGTGAGGACGGCTGTGGCTCGCCGGCTGCAGTCGATGATTCCGTCTGGTTCTTGCCGCCATCGCCGTTGGATGAAGGCTGGATGGCAGGAGAGGGGATGTAGGCCGTGGTGCTGGGTTTCGGCGGCGGGGGCTGCTTGGGGGTGAGGACCTTTTGGGCGAGGGGCACGATGCGCCGCACGAGCTTGATGCCGACGACGTTGAGGCTGTGCATGGCTCGGCGGGTGGCGGCGATGCTGCTGATCGATGGGAGCAAGTAGTGGGGTCTAGGGGCGGATGGATGGCGGACGGGTCAGAGGAGACGGCAGACGGCCGAGTTGACGCAGCTCGACCACGGCGGAACGCGACGTGGGGCCGGAGGAGGTTGAGACCCGACTTTTTTGGTGACCTCGATGTAGAGAGAGAGAGAGAGAGAGGATGGCGGCGGTGGTGGTGGTGATGGTAGGGTGGTAAGATGATGTCGGGCAGGGTCACCGTGGCCTAGGCTCGACCGGCTAAGCTAAGGAGGGGAGGGGGGGGCGAGGCTTTGCCCTCCTTGGCCATTTGGCCGCAGTGTGGAGGAGGAAGAGGCGAGTCAGGCAGGCCATCCACATGCAACAGAGCGATCCGCCCAGCTTCCACGGCAGCTAAATGACCTCGTCTAGGCAGACCCCGCCTCGCCCGCAGATCACAGCGAAAGAGGGTCAGGTTGATTGCTCTCCTCGCCGACGACCGGCGCCACCAGACAATTCAGCGGGCATTTCATTCGTTCACTCTAGCAAGCCAGCCACGCGCGGATCCCTCCAACGAGCCACCAGCCAGCTACGACCCAACACCAACGACGGACGCGTCTAGAAGTTGACGGCCTTGTGGGCGAGGAACCAGATGCGGAAAATGTAGATGATGCCGACCTGGAAGACGAGGGTGCGCACAAACGACTTGGCGTACGACTGCGTCTTGACGTAGAGGAGCGCGTAGATGGCGCGCGTCACGAGCCACACGGCCACGAACCGGTTCAGCTCCGAGGCGGGCAGCTTGGCGTAGTTGCCCGCCGCCTGCGCACAGAGAAGGGGTCGGGATCGGGATAGCAGATGCAAGAGGACCAATGTGGCGTGAGCAAGGCGTACGTATAGGAGAGGAGAGAGGGTGGCCCAGGCGATCCGGCGAGACTCACGATGGTGGCGGCAAAGAGGTAGGCATTCTCAAACGAGTTGGCCTGGGCCGCCTGGCCGCGCAGGATGGTCTGCTCGAGCGGCGTGAGCTTCTTGCCCGTGGCGGCCTTGGTGCTCAGCTGGATGACCCAGGACCGCGGGTTGACGTTGCTCCAACCGCCCTGCACCTTGTTGAGCTCGGCCAGCACGATCGTGTACCAGTGCGCTGCGGGTGCGTTCAGCAATTGGCGGCGGCAAAGAAAGGGAACAAGGTCAGCCAGTCGTGGGCGGGGACGCGAGGGGATGGCTGTCTACTTTTACTACGACGACGACGACGACGAAGACGACGACATACGGAGAGCGGCTAGGACCAGCGAGGCAGGCACGCCGAGGAACGAGTAGTTGGTCGTGGTGAGGTCAAGCGGCATGGTGGGCGGCGGCGTTGGCGTCGGTATCGAAAGCAGGGCAAGGGGAGCGACAGGCGGCGTGGTGGTGGTTGCAGGAGTAAGGAAGGCTGATTGCAGGAGTAAGGAAGGACGGATGGATGCAGAGATGGCCTCGAAGCTGGGTTGCGGATGGTGAAAAGAGGCCCTTTGAGAGAGCCGATCCGACCCGCCGCCTTCGCCTCCCTCCACCTTTCAGGTTGCCCCGCATCGAGAAGGCCGCCCAGGCCAGGCCAGCTCAGCCCAGGCCACAGCGAGCGGACCCGTCGTCACACAAAACAGCCCAACAACGTCGCGTGAAACGCAGCGCAACACCAGCCAGCCAGCTGCGCAGGCCTGGCCTCGTTACACTTTGGTCGCTCGAGCCGCCGCTCGCACACGGAACACGAGGAGCGATCCAGGACAGGTCCAGTGGAACTTCCATTCTCGCTTCTACAGACAAAACGGTGACGTGCCGGTACAGCAATAGACCAGCTTGGTATTTATCCTCAGAGCTTGGCGGCTGCGGCAAACTTGGCGCGCAGCACATTCTTCTGGACCTCTGTGCGCAGCGGCAACCGAGAAAGGGCGGGGACACAGCGGAGTGGGGGGATCGGGTCAGATCAGCTCCGTCAAGATCAGATCCTTCTCTCGTCTACGACATCGGCAGACGCAGCGACCGCCGCTGCCACCACCACCGACTCACTTCCGGTGCTCGTCTTTGGCAGCTCGTCGACAATGTCAAACCACTCGGGCACGGCAAAGCCGCTCATACGCGACTTGCAGTGCTTCTTGAGGTCGGCCACGAGCGCCTCGTGCTCGCGCGTGCCCGGCGCCGCCTTGCCGTGCTTCTTGGCGCCCTCGGCGTTGAGCACAATGTAGGCCTGGCCGCGCTCGCCCCACTTTTCGTGCGGCCGCGCCACGACGCAGCACTCGAGGATGTCGGGGTGCGCCGCCAGCTCCTGCTCGACGGCCAGCGACGAAATGTTCTCGCCGCCCGAGATGACTGACAGCGGTGGTGGCACGACAGGGTCATCAAGGGGGGTGTTCGGGGGGAAAGATGGGCGAGGGATGAATGGACGGATGAGCAACGTGACGATTCCCTGCACCCTTCTTCGCCTCCGCCTCCGCCTCCGCCCTCGCCGCCCGGCCACTCACTGATGTCCTTGCCGCGGTCCATGATCTGGATCTCGCCGCCCGGATGCCGGACGGCAATGTCGCCGAGGTGGAGCCAGCCGTTGATGACAATCTTGCTCGTGGCCGCGGGGTCCTTGTAGTACTCCTTCATGGCAATGTTGCCGCGCATGACAATCTCACCGGCCTCTTTGCCGTCCTGGGCGACGTCGACGAGCTCCGAGTGCTCGGGCCGGCTCGGGTCGACGGGGCGCACGACGCGGCACTCGTCGGCGACGAGGAACGAGTGGCCCTGGCGCGCCATGAGGCGGGCTCTCTCGTCGACGTCGAGGTCGACCCAGTGGGGTTCCGAGTAGCGCCGCGTGAACGGGCCATAGGTCTCGGTGGCGCCGTAGACGTGGACCGGGTGGAGGTTGAGCGACTCCATCTTGGCCAGCAGCGCGGCCGTGGGCGCCGAGGCGGCGACGCTGACCTTGACGATGCGGTCCAGCTTGCGCGCCTTCGGATGGTTGGTGATGCCAATCTGGACCGTGGGCGCGCCCGTGTAGTGCGTGACGCCGTGGTTGAGCAGGGCGTCCCAGATGACGTCGTTGTCGACCTTGCGGATGGTGACGTGGGTGGCCATGGCGGCCGTGACACCCCACGGGTAGGTCCAGCCGCAGGCGTGGAACATGGGCAACACCCAGAGGTAGACGGTGTCGGCGGCAAACTGGGCCTCGAAGGCGCCGGCGATGGCGGCGAGGTAGCTGCCGCGGTGGGTGGTGATGACGCCCTTTGGCCTGCCCGTGGTGCCGCTCGTATAGCAGAGGGCGCAGGGCAGCTCCTCGCTGGTGGGCGTCGTGATGAGCCTCCAGCCGGACCTCGAGAGGCCGAGGCCGCGCTTGCGCTGCACCTCCTCGGCGGCCTGCCACGCCTGGTAGCCGCGGTCGAGGAAGGCCTCGTAGGGGTCGTTGGGATCCTGTCCGCCCGAGTCGTTGGAGACGACGACGGCGACGCCGCTGGGGGGCGGGCTGGGGACGAGGTGGGTGAGCTGGTGATCGACGAGGATGATGGTGGATCCCGAGTGCTGGAGGACGTATTCGACCTCCTTTGGCGTGTTGCGCACGTTTACGGGCGTGATGATGCCGCCGGCGGCGAGGATGCCAAAGTGGGCGTCGGCGATGAGGGGCGCATTGGGGCAGATGACGGCGACGCGGTCGCCCGCCTTGAACCCGGGCACCGACTGGATGGCAAAGGTGAGGGAGAGGACGCGGGCGGCCCACTGAGCGTAGGTGAATTGGTAGCCGCGCTCCGGGTGCGAGATGGCGAGCTTGTTGGGCGCGATGAGGGCGGCGCGGGTGAGGAACGAGACTGGGGTGAGCTCGGTGCGGTTGTGGGGGGAGCCTGGGGGCGGCGAGAGGTTGAGGGCAAAGTCCGCCGGGGGCTGAGAGGAGCGGGGCGGCGTGTACGGCATGGTCGGCGGGGTTGAGGGAGAGGGAGAGGGGAGGGGACGAGATGGCACGAGTAACGAGGGCGGTGCGGATGGGGAGGGACAGAGCGGGGTCCGTCGCCAGGGGCGATTGCGTGGCGAGCTGGTGGCTGGATATATAGGCGTGTGGGTGGTCGGCGGGAGGCTGCGGATGACGATCCGAGGCCCTGGGATGATGGTATCTTCTTGGCACAAGATGCGAGGCGGGCAGCACGACGACGACGACGACGACGGCGGCGGCCATGTACGACGCACGCTACCTCACCGCGCCGGCAAAACCAGCCGAGTCGGCTACCCCGCATTTACACGGGTTAATCTGGCAGCGGCAGGCAGGCAGCGATAGCCCTCGAGGGCAGACCTTCCGGGTCAGTTGACCAGGCCAGGCCAGGCCACGCTGCTGCTGCTTGCACTACAGGTAAGACTGCTCGGAACCGGCCACTTTGGCGTGTCCGGTGGGCCGCTGACCTGCTGGGCCCAGGCCAGGCCAGGCCTGACCACGCCAGGCAGGGCCGACGCACCGGCACCGGAAGCCAAGTGGGCCCCGGTTGCCGTGCAGCCACAAACGGTCTGGAGCGTCAAAGCCGATCTTCGGTCCGCACCCGGCCCCAGCCCCAGCCCCAGCGCACGCACCACATCCCACCACCCCCCTCCCTCCCCAAGCCACGGGGCACCTCCTCTTCTCGGACTTGGACCCCACAATCTAGGCAACCTGCTGCCTCACCACCTTCGCTCACCACCATCGCCATCTCTCTCGCGGTGCTCCCTCAAACATCCCTTCTTTCTTCGACATGCTGCTCCTCCCGACAACGCCCAGCGTGGCGGCTCGATGCTGCGCCACCCGCTCGCTCCGACCCAGCTCGTCGAGGCTCATCTCGCAGCAGCTCCGCTCCTACTCGGCCGCGACCCCGAGCAGCGACAGGCTGGTCGACCTGTCCCCCCTCTCCACCCTGCACCCCTCACTCCCCTCGGCGCTCGTATCAGACGGCAAGGCGACGCGCAACGACGAGCACATTTCGGTGCTGACGCTCAACCGGCCCGCGGCCAAGAATGCCATCTCGCGCGCCATGGCCGACGAGCTCGAGTCGTGCGTCAATGCGCTGCGCGCCTCGGCCGACTCGCGCGTCGTCCTGATCCGATCCAGCGTGCCCGCCACCTTTTGCGCCGGCGCCGACCTCAAGGAGCGCAAGGGCATGTCCCAGCAGGAGGTCGACGCCTTCCTCCTCCAGCTCCGCCGCGTCTTTACCGGCATCTCGAAGCTGCCCATGCCCACCGTCGCCTGCCTCGACGGTCTGGCAATGGGCGGCGGGCTGGAACTCGCCCTCTGCGCCGATATGCGCATCGCCGGTCCCGCCGCCTCCAGGCTCGGTCTGACCGAGACCAAACTAGGCATCATCCCCGGTGCCGGTGGCACGTCGCGGCTGGCGAGGCTCGTCGGCGTCGCCAGGGCAAAGGAGCTCGTATTCAGCGCCAGGCTCGTCGACTCCCTCGAGGCGCAGCGTATCGGATTCGTCGACGTCGTCGCTGAAGCCGACCCGGTCGCCACCCAGGGGCAGGAGGCGTTTGAGCGAGGCGTCGTCATGGCCAGGTCGTTTGCAAAGAACGGTGAGTCGACGTCGCCCTCTCGCACTCCTCGCCCTCGTCTCGTGCCTCATCGCTGACACCCTCTCTTGCTCCCTTCCTTTGCTCCCTCGCCCACCCGCAGGCCCGCTGGCGGTACGCGCGGCCAAACTGGCAATCGACCGCGGCAGCCAGATGGACCCAGAGACGGCCCTCGACTTCGAGCGACAGTGCTACGAGCCAATCCTAAAAACCGAGGACCGCCTCGAGGGCCTGCGCGCCTTTGCCGAAAAGCGCGAACCCGTCTACAAGGGCCGGTAGCCACCTTCGCCCACAGAGGGGCAAAGTGCCGCGTTTGCGAAATCTCGGTTGAGACGGTGCGTGGAGCGGGTGCCGCGAGGCAAGAAATCGACGGCGCCGCAGAGGACGACGTCGTCGACAGAAAAGGAGGGGAACGACGAATGCTACCGACTTTGCTGTATGTGATTGCGCGAGAGTCAAAGATGAGGGTGGAACGGTCGACGAGACAGATTAGAGGAAGCCAAAGTCAAGAGGGGGGGTCTAAAGACGAAGTGCGATAGGGCCGAGGACCGCCGCAGCGATCCCGTCATTGTCCATGAAGAATGGGGAGGAGGACGGCGGAAGAAAAGGAGAGGGGTCACATCGGGGACCGTCTCGGGAGCAGGCTGCACGCCGACAGAACCGCCCGCAAAGAGGCCCGACGGGACAAACAGACTTGCAGAAGAAGCGCAAGGCGAGCGGGCGGATGGACGAGAGCGGGCGAAGAGGTGCCGGTGACTTGGGAGGAGATGGCGAAGGCGTGCATGCGCAAGCTTGTCTATGCCGATGCAGCGACGGGCGCCGACGCCGCGAGCGTGCCGCCCAGCTTCTCATTGGGGTAGGCCGCAGCCGCGTGGGAGCCGCCAACGACGGCATCCTCGTGCGCCTGGCCCTTTTCCAGATCGCTCGAGGCCGCCGCCGACGAGGGCTGGATGAGGGCGGCGGCGACGTCGTCCTTGAGGTTGAAGGAGCACCCGGCGCGCTTCTCGATGTTGGCCTTCCACAGCGTCTGGATGACAAACTGCGGCAGCGTCCAGTAGCGCCACGTCGCCCAGCGGAAGAAGATGCCGACCTCTTCCTGCCGCGTCGTGGCAAAGTCGTCGGTCATGTTTTTCCGCAGGTCCTGGAACAGGGCCGTCTTGTCGGTAAGGACCGCCTTGACGCCCCACCGCGTCGCCTCGATCATCTCGTCCTTGCGGTTGACGGTCCAGACGTAGATGTCCTTGCCCGCCTTTTGCGCCTCGGCGACAAACGCCTGGCCCTCGGCGCCGACGAGGCAGGCAAAGTACATGCTGAAGCCCGAGCAGTCGTTCCAGAAGTACTCGCGCGCCGCGGCGGGCGACGCGCCGATGTGGATCCGCTTCATCGAGGGCACGTTGACCAGCGCCGAGCGGAGGAACTTGGGGTGCCACAGCCCGAGGATGAGGCGCGGCGCCAGGTCCGTCTCAAAGTCCGGGTACGACTCGATGATCTCGCGCATCAGCGGAAAGAGGCGGTCCGGGTCGTTGTCGGGCTTGATATCAAGCTGCAGTTGCGGAGACGGCAGAGGGCGAGCAGCAGAATGCGATGCAGCAAGTCAGCGGCGGTCAAATCGACGAGACCCCGTCGTCCTGACACCAAGCTGCAGTGGCCACTCACATTGAGCTTGACGTGCTTGCCGTCGGGACGCATCAAGAGGTCGCAGACCTGCTTGAACGTCGGAATCTGCTGGCGGGGCTCCTTGAGCGTCCGCACGTGCTCGACGCCGCCCTCGCCGTAGTAGGCGTGCTCGTAGATGAGACCCTTGCCGTCGGTGGTGCGCTCGAGCGTCGGGTCATGGAACATGACAATGACGTTGTCGGTGGTGATGTGGACGTCTGTTGAGAGTGCGACGATCGGGTCCAACGAGGTCGGAAGAGAGTGTATGGCAGCACGTTGCAGACGTGGATGGGGGGAGGGTTGCAGGAGGGAGACGGGGAGGAGGGTGTCGGTATGAGAAGGAGCCCCGCGGCCGCTCTCGTCGAAAATCCGCCACACGGTGCGGTGTCCACCGCGATGCGCTGGTTGCCAGCACACCGCTGATGCTGCGCGTCACCGCCATGCCTTCCTCCATGCATGTAGAGGCTGATGTTTGTCGCCAATGCCGGCGAGACAGATCGGAGCAGAAGCGTTCGGACCAGGACACTAACCGCTTTCGAGACCTTCGGAGCCGTCCTCGATGGCCTTTTCAAAACTTGCGATGGTGTTCTCGGGGAAGGTCGCCGAGGCCTGCAGAGACGGAAGAGCGAGGTCGAGAGGGAGAGGGCGGCCGGTCAGCTTCTCGAGCAGCTTAGGACGAGGGACGGCGTAGGTCCGCGTGTCTGCAGTGGGCCTACTCACACCGCGGTGTCCCCTGAATAACACAGGAGCGTGACGAAGACGCCAGGATTGAGAGGAGCAGGTCAGCATGGAGGGTTTCGACATCGTTGGACGATTGCTGCAACGCGGCGACTTACCAGCACTCGGGCATCGAAGGCTGGATGTTCATCCTGAACGACTTTGTGATGGGCCGCATGGTGGGCAGGTCGGGGGCAAAGAGAAGGACGGACAAGACGATTCCAGAGATGGCAAGTTGCGGAAGGCGAAGGCGAAGGTGGCAGGGATCGTAGGGTTGGGCGAGATGATGGTGGCAACAAGAGAGCAGGGTGCAAGAAGGTAAGCATACTGCAGGGGGACCATCAATATACCGGGAAGAGGCTGGAGCGGGTTCCATCGAAGGCGAGGCAGCCGCTGCATCCCCGCCATGCCGGCGCAGACGTACCGTACCGGCACGGCCAGCCTGTGCATTCCAGTCTGTACTCACGTGTGGCTGTGGGGCGGTCAGGGGCGGTTGCTGGCGTGGTGCCGAGGGCGGTCGTGCACGTAAGGCTGCTGCGGCTGCGGGTACGACGAGCGCCTTGACTAGACCTGCGCCGAGGAGGAGGAACACGACCAGGATGGATGGGTGAACGGGTTGGTGGGTGAGGAGGCGACGACGGCAGAGACCAGTCTGCAGGCGAGCGAGGTTGGGGTGCGGTGGGCTGAGTTGGGTTGGGTTGGAATGCGGGAGAGGGCTATGGGCGGGGAGACGAGGGAACGTGGCTCAGTCGCGACGAGAGGTGGCAACGTGCGCAGCCTCGGGAATGGAGAGGAGGAGGAGGAGGAGACGATGATGAGGAGTCAGGAGGACGATGGTGATGATGGCAAGAGACGAAGCCGGTCCTGCCTGCCCTTGCCCTTGCGCACCTTCCGCGCCCAGGGGGCTGGCCCGTCTAGCGTGGCTTGTGCCTTTGCCTGCGGCCAGCTTGCGAGACGAAGGGAGTTGCCGTGGCGCAGCCCCCCGAGAGAGAGAGAGAGACAGAGAGGGAGGGAGCGGGTGGCGCTAGGGCCGGGCACGGTGGTGACAGCAGCGGACAGCGCTAGGCACGGCGGCACGGGGGCCCGGAACAAAAAAAGAGGACGGGGCCGTGATGCCGGCCTGCCAGAAGACCTGGCCAGGCAAAAGTGGAGCAAGCAAGCCAGCCAACGCGTGCCACGCCGGCCCGCCGCCTCAGGGCCTTCTGGCTGCAAAAGTTTTCCTGCGTACGCTGGGACGCCCCGGGCTTGCTTTGTGGCGGAAAGGCCCGAGCAGGGGTAGCCGCCCGACTACAGGGTCCTGCAGCGCTTGTCGGCCTCCAGCCGGCCCAGCAGCGGCCAGAGCGATGCGCACCCTCCAGGCCAGGCTGGCTAGCCCGACCTCGCCCTTGTCCTCTCGGCCCATCCGTGGCGATCAGCCCAACGGCACCGTGGCGGGATCGACCCGGCCTGGCCCGGCCTGGCACGACGGCATTTCGCTCAGTCTCTGCTCCAACCGCGTCGTCCTGGACCGCGCGGGCATGCCGAACTCACAGATGACGGCGCGGCCATATGCATGCTGTGACGACGTCGCGCGATGGCAACGACGCCGACGACGACTACGACGACAGGCAGGACAGGCCGGCTAGGTGAGGGTGGAGCAAAAGTTTTTCATGCCGTGGATGAGAGCGTGCGTGCGTGTGTGTTGCGTTGTGTGCCGGCGGTCGCTGCACGTCACCGGGAACAGAAGGCAGAGTACGGCAGGGGACCAGACGAGCGAAGGCCAGCAGGCCGGCTGCTCTGGGTCTTCTGGCGCAAAGTGGAGCGACGCCGTGCTCCCAGCAGAGGGCTCCAGGCTGTCCAGAGCGGGCCAGAGGGGTTGTGGCATCGACCTGCCCCCCTGGCCCTCGCCGCCTAGCCTGGGCCCCTGCCTGTCCACGTTGCACCCTCGTCGGCGCCAAGTCGGTGAACGTGGACCTCCCTTTCGGCCCAAGGCCGTCTTGGCAAAACATCCGGGCCGTCGGGCCGCCCGCCAGCCAGCAGCGTCAGCCAAACGCCGTCTGCCACCGTAGCCTGATCCGGACTCACTCGTGCGGCTCTTTTGTCCGCCTCTGCCACCGCCCTCGCTCGCACAGGCCCGCCGCGCCTTGTTTCCAGCTCCGCACCGTCTGGGTCTGCGGCAGGCGGGGATCTGCAACGCCAGGGCCATTTGCCATCTAATCAGATCAGATCGGATGGCCGCAGCTCCAACGTCTATCCTCCATCATCGTCGGCAGGCACATCGGCAGCACAGATTCGAGACGACAAGCAGGCGTTGCGATTAAAGAGCTCGACAGGCACGGGATCTAGACAAGTCAGACACACAGAGGCCAGGCCAGATCTACCGCTGCTGCTGCTGCTTGGCAGGACCAACGGCAAACGCCTTGAGCTCGCGCTTGAGAATCTTGCCCGAGTCGCTCTTGGGCAGCTTGTCGAGCAGCGTCACGCCGCGCAGCTTCTTGTAGTTGGCCGACACCTTGGCGTTGACGCTGTCCATGAGCGCGCGCCTGGCCTCGTCCCTCTCGGCCTCGTCGGCCTGCTCGCCGTGGAGCCGGTCGTGGTCGGTCAGGACGACAAACGCCCACGGCAGCTCCGACGAGTCCTTGGGGTCGGCGATGCCCGTCACGGCGCAGTCGGCCACCCGCTCCTCGTGGAAGAGCAGGTCCTCGAGCTCCGACGGCGACACCTGGAACCCGTGGTACTTGATCACGTCCTTGAGCCGGTCCGTGATCCGAATGTAGCCCCGCTTGTCGATCCGCACCACGTCGCCCGTCCGCAGGAACCTCTCTGGGTCGTCGATGGACGGCACAAAGGCGGAGCGGTTCGCCTCGTCGTTGCGCAGGTAGCCCTGCATCATCTGCGGACCGCGTAGCCACAGCTCGCCCTCCTCGTCGGGTCCAAGCTCTGCGTGCCGGGCGGAGCAGCGACGCGCGGCGAGGCAAGGACAGGCGTCAGCGGCCGGTTAGAAAGCATTGGATCACGCTGCACCGGCGGTCAGCTCTCACCGTTGCCATTGATGTCGACCACCTTGGCCTCGGTGCCCGGTGCCAGGACGCCCACCGTCCTCGGCGCAATCTCGAGGTCCTTGAGGTTCTGCATGCTGATGATGGGAGACACTGTGTCGGGGAAAGCGGGGCGCGGGATTTTCGTCAGCTGTGGCCATCGAACGGGACAGGGGCACCGCTGCGTCGAGCACTCACTCTCCGACATGCCATAGCCTGAAACGAGCAGGGGGGCAGAGACACGCGCGCAGACGAGTCCATCAGCACCAGCGCAGCGTCCGTTTCACAGGGCATCAGCACCATCCTTTCGGCTGCTCACCATCGGTCGACCTGATCCCGAGCCGCTTCTGCACGGCAGCCTCGAGCTCCGCCGAGAGACTCGCGGCGCCCGAGGCCACGCGCTTCAGCGAGCTCACGTCGTACTTGTCGACCTCGGACGACTTGGCGAGCGCCAGCACTGCGTTCAGCCAATGCAAAGGTCGGATGGAATGGGTCAGTCGCCCGCCATCGGCTCAAATCGACTCGCTAGCGGCCCCGGTATCGACTCAACTCACGGATCGGCGGGACGACAAAGCAGAAGGTGACCTTGTGCTGCTGCACGGCCGAGAGGAAGACGTCTAGCTGGAAGCGCGGCAGCACGACGCGCGGCGTGGCCGTGTGCAGCGCGACAAAGCCCATCAACAGGCCGTAGCAGTGGAAGAGCGGAAGCAGGTCCAGGTGGAACTCGCCAGACGCCGGACGTGCGCCGACGCCGTCGCTGTCCTTGGCTTTGCGCCCGGGGAGCAGGTCCGAGATGGCATCGGCAGCCGCCGAAATCTTCCTGCCGACGCTCTGCACCGTCAAGATGCCGTCGCTCATCGGCTTGTCGTCGTACCACACCGACTGCCCGAACAGCGGCGGATTGACGCGGTCCAGCAGGAGGAAGGTGGCCTGGATGATGTTGGCCACCAGCGAGGCGTGAGAGAGCCGCACCGCCTTGGGCTTTCCTGACGTGCCCGAGCTGGCATAGGGGTATGTCAGGGTGACGATAAAGTGAGAGGGTCTCAGAGGCGGATCTATCCACGAGCATCACGGCCGGATCTCGCCTCACCTGAAGCAAAGGATGGCGGTATCGTCGCTCGGCGACACCCTGACCTGTTCCAGCTCCTTTCGCGCCGATCCCCCTTGCTGCTTGCCGGCTTCGATGACCTTGGCCCAGCTCGAATCGTGGCTCTCTTCGAATACAAAGATCTCGGGAGGCTGCGCGAGGCCTTGGAGGTCCTCTTTGCCGTCCCGGGTGGCCCCCTCGGCCGCGGTGCACGCATTATCGTAGCTCGCAGCGGTGGTGAGGATGGCGCGCGCCCCGACCATGCGCAGCTGATGGGACAGCTCATCGGGCTTGTATGAGGGGTTGCAGAGCGCCACGCTCGCCCCCGTGACGAGGGCGCCGAGGACGCCGGCGAGGTAGTCGTGCTGGTTGCTTGCGTAGACGGCCAGCACGTCGCCCCTGCCCCAGCGCTTGGCGCCACGAGCGGATGCGGTGGCCTGCAGCCCGGCGGCAAAGTCGTAGGACAGCTCGCGCACCTGGCGAAGGCTGATGGGCTTGGCACCTGGCCGGCTCGTGTTGTCGGCGGGCGTGGGGTACAGCAGCGGCTCGTCGACCCGGTTCGAGCTGGACGGATCGCAGGAGCCAGCGTCGGCGACGGGCCGGAAGAGGAAGTGGTGCAGCGACTCGTCCCGCGGAGGGTCGAGAGGATATGGAGAGCGGAACAGCATGGCAGGCGGCGTGTCAGGCGGCAGTCGAGGCAGCGCAGATGGTGTGGCCTGTGCAGGTGGGCCAGGCGGGTCGAGATGAAGGATGAGGAAGGATGGCAGGCCACCGGGAAGGGCAGTCGGATGCTTCCTGAGAAGCCAGAATCAGGCTGCACTGGACGCGGCGTTTCGAGCAAATGCGACGAGAATGGTGGTGGTGGTGGCCGTGGTGGTGGATGGTTGCCATCGGATGATGGCAGACTTCGCAGCACCTTTGACCTGCTAGCCACCTTGTAGCTGCCATCCGTTGGAAGCGGGCCAGCAGATGAAGGAGGCAGAGGGCAAGCAGGCAACCAGGCAGCCAGCCAAGACAGGGTCGTCCGACCTCTAATTTGCCGCTTTCACGCCGCAAAAGGCAGGAATGTGCGCCGGTCTGCCTGCCTGCCTGACCTGGCTGTACGTACCGTCGAGGATGCCTCTGGACCCACCTGCAGGCCGCCGGCACCTCTAGGCCCGAAGGGGAATGCGAGACAGGGTGCGAGCCTCAGGCGCTCAATACTGGATCTGACATCGAGGGGCGGTGCACCCACCTGCTCCAGGCCCTCCTAGCCATTCGACGACCCGCTCAGCTCGGACGCACAGCACGACGCAGATGAAGGCGAGGACAGGGCGTGGCGAAAAGGGCCGAGATCGAATGCTGCGAGGCGCCGGGCCAAGGATGAAGTGAGTTCGAGGGGGAAGATGCTACAAGAGATGCTCTCAGAGATACGACGGACAAACGAGCGAGTAGTGAGTGACGGTGGAGAGCCCCTTGCGGCAAGACCCAGCGGTGGGAACAGGATCGGGTAGAGACGGGAATCGAGGAGCGCGGGCGTCCATGCTGTACGAGACCGGAAATGATCGAGAGACTGCGGGTGCCCAGCGAGGAGCAGGGGAGGGGCCAACCCCCCACCAAACGACACCGCGGAAGGGAGTGACGGGAATATGCCTGGACGAGACGGGATTGGAAAGGACCGATGCTTGCGGGACTGTATGCTGGGTCGGGAGAGGGGCGTCGGCCGATGAGAAGGAGCGAACCATGCCAGGATGCAAGTTGGGTCGAAGATGGTGCGAGCTGAGAAGGTGGTGGCTTGTTGGTTCCTATCGGGTGAGGCTCGAGGTAACCTGGGGGCCAAAGTAATCGACCTGAGGAGCGGTGCGAGGCCGCGACGAGCGCGGCGCGGTGCGAGGGGTGGCAGCACCTGTCGGCGTTGGCGGGCCGAGCTGCGGCGAGCCCTCGAGGGGCGTCGAGAGGCCGTACCGACCCAGCGACTCGACCGAGCTCAAGAAGGTCATCTGCTGTGCAGTGAGGCCGCGCTTGGGCGGCGAGAACTGTCCGCGGAGCAACATCGTGTTGAATGGCTCGGATGCCGCGCCATCGCCGGCGGTGTGCGTGGCGTCGGCCGTGAGGCTGCCGGTCTGCGTTTGGCGGCGCAGGAACGAGGGTCTCATCGTCGAGCGCAGCCGCGGCCTTTCGCCGTCCATCATGGCGCTGAAGCCGGAGAGTGAGCGGTGGAAGGCGCGAGGGCGCGATGAAGTCGAGGCAAGCGAGAGGTCCGAGGCGTTGGCGTCTTCCATGACGGGGAAGATCGAGGCTGCGCAGGGTGCCGGCGGTGCGTCTTCTGGGAGATGGGCTGTGCCCGCTGGCGGCGATGCCAGGAGCTCGTAGTCGGGCGCGGCCTCCTCGTGCGCTGCGGGCAAAGGCGCCTCGGCCTCCTGTGGTCCCTCGTCTGCGGCCGTCGGAGGAGCCGGTGCAGGGGCGTCAGCGGTCTCATGCTGCTCGAACGCCCCAACAAGACCAGAGCTCGAGTTGTCCTGCTGCGCCGGACGGTGAGGCGTCGCACGGGTCGAGAGCGACGTGACCGAGGGCTGGATCTGGAGGGTGGCGGCGAGTGCGTCGCGGGCCTCCTGCCTCGCCTCGGCCGCCTTGAAGAGGACCATCTCGTCGTCTCCGACCTCACAGTTGTACGTGGGACAGGCCCATACGCTGATGCTGTCGTAGTCGTCCGAGTCGAGGATGAGGGAGCCGCGCCTGTTCGGGTCGTTGCGCACCTGCCGCTGGCGGTAGGATAGGCCCGGCGGTTGCTGGTAATACTGGCGGATGGGGAGTGCAAAGAAGTGGACAAACGACTTCCACTTGGTCTTGAGGGCGCCGTTCCTGGTGCGGGACGAGGCGGGCGGCGCATCTGGACCATCGCCCTCGAGCTGGCGACGAGCGGCATCAGGCAACTGCCTCGTGGCCGAACGGTCTCCGCGGTGAGCGAACCGACCGCGGATCAGGGGCGCTGTAGAGACGGGCTGGAGCGAGTAGGCTATGGCGGCCATGTCGGTGTCGTTGCCACGGTCGCGCTGGTGGTGATGCTGGCCAAGGTGGTGGGTGGAGATGACGAGGGAGCGGCGACGATGTATCTGGCCAGCCAGAAGGGTCAAGAGGAGAGGACGAGATGCCGAGTCAGGGAAGCCACGAAGGAATAGGGACAAGGGTGGGTAGGGTGAGGGAGTGGGACGGTGATGGTGATGGTGCGCAGGATGGTGAGGCGCGGCAAGGTGGTGGGACAGAAGGAGACGAGCAGCTGCCTTTGCGACCCCACCAGAGAGGAGAGGCTCGCACACCAGCTAGAGGCCAGCCAGCCTGGCTCCCAGAGTGCGCCCGACCACGAGGCCGGGTCCATGGGAGGGTCGGTGGCGGTGCTCCCGAGCCAAGCAGGCAGCCAGGGCGGCGGCGGCTGCAGCGCTGCCTGCCTGCTGCGCTACCCCGCCCCCAGGGACGAGCGAATTTTAGGCTTCTTGCCTGCTTGCCTGTGCGCGGGAACCCCAGCGACAGCCGATAAGACACCAGCGGCGTGGGCTTGGCCTTGCCTGGCAGCAGGCAGGCGGGCAGCCCGGCAAGGGTGCTGGGAAGAAGAAAAATCAGAATCATCAACGCGGGCCACCCTCTCTTCGCTTGGGCCCTCGTTGGCCGGCAACGCCTACGGTACCCTCTGCCTGCCTGCCTGCAACGGCGCCTGCAGCCGGCCACTCTGGGGCCGGCATGGGGGGCCAGCCAGAAGCGGGTCAGGCCAGGCCAGGCCAGGCAGGGTTTTTTCGAGTGAGCGAGGGGCGCGCCTGGGCCACACACGGTTCGCCCAAGAGCCGCAACGGGAAATTCTCGGCTCCGATGGTGGGAAGGGGGTTGGAGAGGCGCCCAGCACAGCTCGCCCGCACTTCACAAAATCCCTCGTCAAGAGCTCTGCCAGACGGGACCCGGGTTGGCTGCTGTGCTCAAGCTCTGCCTTGCCCTGCTCAGCTCTGGAGCTGCTACGTATGTACTCTGTACGGGAGGTGGCGGGTCGAGGTCGGACGATAAGATTCGCTCGGTGCCAGCAGCACCCTCGAGCGTCAAGCTTAAGGTTGGGTGAAGAGGCTTTAGGGTCAAGCGCAAAAGCTCTACCTGGTTGGACCCCTGGGCCTCGGTCGGATGTTTTCCGTGGAATTCCCGAGGGCCCCTTCCGCGAGGGCAGCAGCGGGGCGGCGTCTTCATTTTTGTTGGCTGGCTGGGCACTCTGGTTAACGCCGCTTTGATCCTAGCTCGAGCTTGATTGGACCCACTCGACGCCGTACCGTACTCCTCATGCTCCTCGACGGCGGGAGCCGCTGGCACCCTCGAGGAAGAAGAGGAGCGGGTGGTGGTCGTCGTTCCCTGCACCCTTACTACCACTACTACCCTCACCACCATATCCACGCAAAGGGCCCTCCTCCTGCCCCCAGGCCGCTTCTTCTCGACCCTACCCGGCCCAACGCCAAACTCGCATCGGCGCAAACCTCGTCTTGAGGCCGGACATCCGCCTCGACTCGACAACAAGCCGCCTTCCGCGGGCTCCAGGCGCCAAGACTCGCAAGAAACGCCTCGCCCATAATGCTCGGCCTGCGACGCAACCGAGGGACGCGGACGGCCGCCGACGCTGCCGACGCCGCGACGGTGGCCACTTCGGATGCGGGTCGCCTCAGCGACGGATCGCTCGACAGCGAGGTGGCCAAGATGGCCGCAGAGATGGGCGTCGATGCATCTTACGAGCGCAAGGTCGCGCTCCTCAACAAGGCCATCAAGGACGAAATCGGCTTCGGCAAGTTTCAGCTCTGGGTCACGTTCCTCGCAGGAGGCGGCTGGGCCATCGACAACTTCTGGTTCCAGGCGCTCGGCATGGGACTGCCGCAGATTGAGCTCGAGTTCGAGCCGGAGCATATCCAGTTTGCCGCGCTGGCCCTCTACTCTGGCCTCCTCGTCGGAGCCACCGTGTGGGGCATCCTGTCGGACATCATCGGCAGGAAGGTCTCGTGGAACGTTACGCTGCTCCTCTCGGGCATCCTCGGCGTCGCCGTCGGAGGCGCGCCCAACTTTGTCGGCCTCGGAGGTCTGCTCGGCGCGCTGGGTGTCGGCGTCGGTGGCCAGCTGCCCATCGACGGAGTGATGCTCATCGAGTTCCTCCCGGCCTCGCACTACTGGATCCTCACCTTCCTCTCGGTCTTCTGGTGCCTGGGCCAGCTCTTCGCCGCCGTCATGGGCTGGGCCTTCATCACCAACTTCCGCTGCGAGACGGCCGACGCCTGCCCCAAGAGCTCCAACATGGGCTGGCGCTACACGTGGTTCGTGCTGGGTGGCGTCACCCTCGTCATGTGGGCCGCCCGCTTCTTCATCTACCCGATCCCCGAATCGCCCAAGTTCCTCATCGCCAACGGGCGCGATGAAGAGGCGCTCGAGGTGCTGCGCTTCATCGCGAAGGAGAATGGCAAGACGACCACGCTGACGCTGGCGCAGCTCAAGGCGGCGGGCGAGGGCGCCACCTATGCCAACAAGCAGGGCGACGAGGAGGCGGCCCGCGGACTCGACGCCACGCCGGACGAGAAGACGGATGCCAAGCTCGAAGCCGAGGTTCAGCTCGAGCAGGTCGACAAGGTCGAATCATCCTCGCCTCTCCAGCGGGCCGACAGGGTCAACCTGCAGCAGCTGCGCCGCTCCCTCAGCCAGTTTGACACCTCGCACATCCGGGCGCTCTTTTCGTCGCCAAAGATGGCGTGGAACACGTCCTTGATCTGCTTCCTCTGGGGCCTCATCGGCCTCGCCTACCCGCTCTACAACGTCTTCGTGGCTCTGTACCTTAAGAACGCCGGCGCAGCGTCGGGTGGATCGTCGCAGGCCGAGCAGTACCGCGACCTGGTCATCATCGCCGCGTGCGGGATCCCCGGCTCCTTTTTCGCCGCGGCCATGGTGGAGCTGCCCTACGCCGGCCGCAAGGGCACCATGGCGCTCTTTACGCTGCTGACGGGCGTCTTTCTCTTCCTCTTCACCACGGCACGGACGCCTCAGGCGATCCTGGGCTGGAACTGCGCCACGTCGCTCAGCCAAAACGCCATGTACTCGGTGCTGTACGCCATGAGCTACGAAGTCTTCCCGGCGCCCCACCGAGGCACCGGCGACGGCCTAGCCATGGCGACCCAGAGGGTGTTTGGCGTCGCCGCACCCGTCGTCGGCGCCTTTGCCGGCGACAAGCCGGACAAGCCCATCTACATCTCTGCATCGTTCTTTATCGCCGCCGCGGCCCTCATGCTCTTCCTGCCTTACGAGACTAGGGGCCGCGCCGCTCTGTAGACGGGCCGGGACGCTGAGCCTTGCTTGCTTGTACCATACACGTGATGATACCGACATGATATTGCTTATGGGCTCGTGCGCTGCAACAACAGCCACAACTCATCGACGTGGAGAGTACCGTCGTGGTCCACGGATCGGCGTGCGTCTCTCTGTCGGCGAGGAGCGTCAGGCCAGCCCATGCCAAGACCGGCCTGCCGGCCAACCTTGCATTGCCTGAGCGAGAGGCCAAACGGAGTCGATGTGCATCGTCCGAAGTTGGCCGACTCGGGAGCGGGTTCCGGCGCTAACGAGGCCGATCCGGGGGCGCCGAATAGTCGATGGAACATCCAGCGAACCCGTGCTTCTTGGCACGATCGAGGAGCAAAGAGGATTGGGTTAGTCACGGTGTCGCAAGGTGAAGATGAATCCGCAGCTCGGTCGGTGCTGAGCTTGCTTGCTGTCGGCGCCGTGATCTGATTCTGACTGAGCCAGCACCGAGGTACCGTACCAGACAGGTCAGGTCGGATCTTGGACCCCATCGCAGCGTCGATTGTTGTCGCCGTGCGTGTGGCGTGGCCCTATTGTCAAAGAGTTGATCTCCGCCTGGCCGCTTTGTGGTTGAGAGATGCATGGAAGATTTCGGTGCATGAGGCGCGTCAGGCGCGTGTACGTGTTGCGAGGCGGATGCCGCTCTTTGGCTGAGGCTGCGCACCCCACGCTGTGCGCGCGCGGGAGGGAATGCATACATGCTCACTTTTCATGGCCCGTCGCTGCGTTGCTCGCCCCGTCGGTCGGGTCGAAAGCTTCCTGCTTCACCGCAGGACATCGTAGCGATCGTACGTCTTCTTTCATCGCTTTGAAGTCGGCCAAGAGAGTCGGGTCGCACATCGACAGTCGCCGGAATGCCGTTGGCGAGATGGACGGACGCCAAGGAAGAGCGGTTCACAGGCGACCCACACGGGGCCTTGCGGGCCGGGGTTGGTCGTCTTCGGGCCGAAAGAGGTCAGCCGATCCCGGTGGGGTGCAGGCGGCTCCGTTGTCCTTGTCGTTGTCATCCGCAATGTCATGCCTTCCGTAGCAGCAAGACCAGGTGAGGCTACGGTTACGAATCAGTCCCTGACTGTGTGCTACTACTCGCAAGGATGTCGCAGCGCGGCAGACGAGATCATGGAGCGTACCGGCCAAGGGAGGACGGCGCTGGTCTGCACGAAGGATCTTGCACCAAAGGTGTTGTTTACCCGCCTCGCCTCACTCCTCACTCTCTCACACCCTCTTCGTCCCTGAAGATCTGTTCATGCTCCGACCAAGGCTTGCTCATCCCTTGCGATCCTCTGTTGCGAGCCGGGCCTGACTCACGCCGGCTGTGGCGGACGCTCTGACGGGGCTAGGCCCTTCCTCGTTCGCATTGTCGAGCCTGCGCACCGTCCCCGCAAAGCGCACGTCTACCAGTACCGGATGATCGTCTTTGCACCTCGATCGTACGTACAATGGCATTTGATCATCTAGCTGACGTACATACACAGTGCTGCACGCAGAACGTCCGCTGATCTCGATGTTGACAGGCCACCAACCGACGAGGTCGCCGGCCAAGGTTTGACAGGTGGAAAGCAAGCCAAGGCTCCATGGTTCCGCCGTGGCGATCCGAGTGCCGTACTGGTCATGGCCGACGAGCCAACTGGTCTGACCCGCGATCTGTGTGCCACCACGGCTTGCCCTCCATGTCGAGCGTGTATCTAACCCACCTCATCGCCTTTTTGTTTCGTCACTGGCCTAGCCTTGGCAAGACGTACGAGTTCCACCGGTGCGATTTGGTATCCTGACGACCAACGGCTGCGACTACCAAGTGAAAGAGTGCTGCACCTGCTGCCCTACTTGAGGCCAACGGCGAGAGCGATGCGGTGCGATCTCGAATGCACCGGTCAACGGCAACGACAAGGTGACGAATGGCCGTCAAGGGATGGAGGCGTTCCTCGACGAAGGGCCGCTCGGTTGCACCGCTGGGAGAAGGGCAGGGCAGGCAGGGTCCTGTATCTGGTCGCTGGAGGTCCGGTGTCGCATCAAGGCGGCTGGATGGCTGTCTGTCTGGCGATCCGCTTCGCTTCGCACCCCGCCTTTCCCGTCCGTTCCTTGACTGCTTGCTTGCTTCGAGGTCCGCCTGCCAGCCACGCTCGCTGCAGCCAGGGGACCCGCGGGACGGCGTTCTGTTCCCGCGCAAACGAACCCAACACCACCCCGGCACCCTGCGCGCGCTTGACGTACGGGCTCGCACATGTCGACCTCGACGGTCCAGACGAAACGAAACGCCCACGCCCCCCCCCCCCNCCNCGCNCNCNCNCNCNCNCNCNCNCNCNCNCGCCGCGC